CACCATCCATCCATCTATCCACCCATCCATCATCCATCCATCCACCATCCATCCACCCATCCATCCATCCACCATCCATCCATCTATCCACCCATCCATCCATCCACCATCCATCCATCTATCCACCCATCCATCCATCCATCCATCCACCATCCATCCACCCATCCATCCATCCATCCATCCAACCACCCATCCATCCACCATCCATCCATCCACCATCCACCATCCATCCATCCATCCATCCATCCATCCATCATCCATCCATCTATCCACCCATCCATCAATCCATCCATCCACCATCCATCCACCCATCCATCCACCATCCATCCAACCACCCATCCATCCATCCACCATCCATCCATCTATCCACCCATCCATCCATCCATCCATCCACCATCCATCCACCCATCCATCCACCATCCATCCATCCATCCATCCATCCACCATCCATCCATCTATCCACCCATCCATCCATCCATCTATCCACCATCCATCCACCCATCCATCCACCATCCATCCAACCACCCATCCATCCACCATCCATCCATCTATCCACCCATCCACCATCCATCCACCCATCCATCCACCATCCATCCAACCACCCATCCATCCATCCACCCATCCATCCACCATCCATCCACCCATCCATCCACCACCCACCCATCACCCATCTACCTCCACCACTCATCCATCTACCATCCACCATCCACCATCCATTCACCTCCCACCCAGCCATCATCAAACACGCCTGCACAGACACTGCTAAGGGCCAGGTGTTCCGTGCAAAGCCTAGAGCCCCCCTTCATGAGCTCACATTTCTGGCAGGGGTGAGGGGCAGGGGAGAGGCCCCCAGAAGGTGTGCAGTAGGACGTCTGGAGGTGAAGAGTACTAGGAAGGGAGATGAGGTGTGGTTATGGGGCAGAAGTGAGGGGGGCCAGAGAAAACACATCTGGAAAGTCCAGTTATGCGGGAGCCCATGCTTTGCCCGTCCCCTCCCTCGGGGGCTGGCCCTGGGAAGAAATGAGGGACACTGATGTCAGTGTCCCTGGGGGAGGAAGATTTGCACAGGGCAGGGATGGACATCCCCCACCCTGTGCGCGAGGCCTGGCTGGAAGATTGGAGGACAAGCAGGACCCTGCCTCCCAGTTGTCACAGAAGCCCCAATGGGTCCTGGTGCGGATGGGCCCCTCTGGTCCCCTCCTAGGCTGGCGTCCCTTAGTCCCCACACACGCACTGTGCAGCTTGGACTGGGCACCCAGCCAAAGCTCCCACCTTTCATTCAAATCCCTGTTTACGCCAAGAACTGGTTACCATGGAAATGTCCTTGGGACAGGGCGGAGGGTGGCCAGGGCAGCAGGGAGGGGACTGCTCTGCAGAGAAGCTGTCCTGAAGCCGGTTCCTATAGGCTGGGGTGTATGTGGGGAGGGGGAGGGTCTCGAGGTGCCAGCTCCCCAACCCCCTCCTCTAGCCCCGCCCCCCACAATCACCCTCAGAGGACACGTCCTGCCACAAAGGCCCAGATCTGAGGCATGGAGGTGCCCACTCTCCAGAGCTAGTGCCATTTGTCTGTGAATCGGGGTTCTCTTCCCTGGGAAATCGGTTCAGGAGCAGCCAGAGGGAGGGGCCTAGAGGTCAGAGTAAGGATCTGATTCAGAAGCCTCCATGATTAGGAGGCTCCAGAAACCAGTGATTTCCAGAGGGCGCAGGTGGGGAGGGAGGGCCGAGCAAATTAATGAGTTAGACCCGACTAATCCGGCTGCGTTAGCAAATCCACAGGGAATGCCAGTGAGGGTGGACAGATGTGTGTGTGCTCACGTGGCCAGTCTCCTGCGTCCCCTGGCGCCTGGCGAGACGGGCCTGCTGGCCGGGAGGGGCTCTCCCGTGGAGCTCACCACGGAATGACCACGAGAGCCCCCATCTCCACTGCTTGAGCCAACGCGAAGGGGAAGAGGACAGAGATGACAGCCAGTGAGCTGCCCTGGGCTCCTCCCTGTGCAGACGGGGAGCAATTCCAGCACCCACTGGGCCTGGGTTGGAATCCCACCCCTGGCCGTGTGCCCTTGGGCACATGACTTAACCCCTCTGCGCGTCCATTTCGTCATCAGTCTGCAGGGATACGCAGAGCCCACTTCCTAGGAATGTTGTAGGAACCCAGTAAAACCACTGTCTGCGTGGCAGGGGCCAGCCCCTGAGAAGCCGGTAGACAGAGCGACCACCACTGAGACTGCACCCTGGGCTCGGGTGTCCAAGCTCTATTTGTACCTGCCCAGAGTGAACCCCTAGCTCCTGTGAAATGAGTGGGGACAGGGGGGCAGGGGCTGTCGCCCATGGAAGTCGCTGTGTTGGGACAGAAGCCTATCACTCAGAGAACCTGCCTCTGGTTGGGGAGATGGAGGAGGAAACTGACAGACAGACAGACATTCTGCCCCTTCAGGGGCAGGGTGCCCCTGTGGGAGGAGCCCGGAGGAGTCTCCGGCCTCTCTTTCTCTGCCCCCATCCTGGACCCCAAGTCTCTGGGGATTCAGTCCTTCGCAGAGACCCAGGAGCGGGACGGGGAGGTGGGGGGGGGGTGGAGAGAAGACAAGAGCGTGGGGGGCGCCCTCTCCTCGCTGCAGACTGGTTCCGCTGCACGAAGCGGCCCCTCCTGGCCCCCACTCGGGGCACCTGCTGCTCCGGTGGCCACCACCTTGACCGGCCTGAGGGCGGAGCCCTGCCCAAGCGCCCAGCGCGGCCGCCCGCACCTCCGTTCTGGCCCCTAGTCTTGAGGGCCAGTCTGGGGGCGCCCGCGGTCTGTTCTCCTGGCACTGGGGCCCGAATCCCTCCACGGCCGCCCCACTGCCACTACCCACAGCGTGTGTGACGGGGTTGTCCTCGCCCCTCACAGTTCACAGGCTCCTAGGCTGCGCAGAGGGGGGAGCACGACCTGTAGGCTGCAAGGCGCGGCTTCGCGGGCGCTGGGCTCCTTCCCGCTCCCAGAAAGGCCGGCCGGGGGGGAGCTAGGCTCCCCACTGGACGCCCCCGGTCAGCCTGGGACAGGCAAATAGGGGTGGGTCTTTCTTGAATGCTTCTCCGAGCAGACGATGAGGGTCCTGTGATTTCCAAACTGCAAAGCCAGACGGAGGAGGTGATGGAGTTAACTAGACGCCATGGAGGCGCCCCTCCGTGCGCCCGGGGCCCCTGGGTGCGCGTCTCTGGGGCTGGGGACTGGGGTGGGGGTCAGTACCTTGTGGTCCGGAAACCAGACCGGTGCCAGGATCCCCGGGTTGCACGCAGTGACTACTACCCCCATCCATGGCTCGGGTATGTCCCCAACCCCGGGAGAACAAGGGAAACTTGACCCCCACGCGGGCCAAGCGCAGCTTCCTCCCCTCGCGTCCTCCCTGCCTCCGCCTCCTCCTCTCCTCCCCTCCCGCTGGAGGCGGGCAGGTCCGGGCGGGGCCTCGCCGCTGAGCCCACAGCCCCGCGCTCCCGCTCCGCTCAGGTCCCCGCAGGAGGAGCAGCCAAGCCCTGCCGGGTGGACGGAGCGGCCCGTGCGGCGCGGGCATGAAGTTGGGCGCACGCGGGCCTCGGAGCGGGGGCGCGGCGGAGCCGGGAGACGCCCGCGCGTAGAGCCCAGCCCGCTTGGTGCGCCATGGACCTCGGGGGTCCGGGGGCGGCGCCGCCGCCGCTGCTGCCTCTGCTGCTGCTTCTGGGGGCCAGCCTCCTGCCCAGTAAGTTTCGGGGAGCTGGACGGGCCCCTTTCGCCCTTTCAGGGCGGTCCAGGACCTCCGGAGCCAGAGGAGGGGAGGCTGCGGTCCCGAGCGGGGGGTGGGGGGGTCGCGCTATGGGGCAGCCGCAGAGGCTCCCACCCTCGAGAAGAAAAGGCTCCCCACTCCCCCAGACTCAAAGGCTGTTCTGCGGCGCCCGCTGAGCCTGGGGGAGGAAGGCATTAACCCGCCCCAGTGTGGGGTGGGGGCTGCTGTTTCAGCAACTGGACCCAGAAGCTCCAACTTGGGTGGAGAGATGCCGGCCATCTCACTCACCCCCGCCCCCGTGCCTGCTTCCGGTTTTGGAGACTCAGAGGGGTGGCCTCTGCAGGGGGGCAGGGTGGGGTTCAGCCCCCTCCACCTCCCCTCACCTGGGCTGCCACCTGGCTACTCAGGAGGGAGGGAGGGAACTGAACCCCTGGCTCCCCACTGAGGAGAGGCTGCGCTTCCCTGGTCAAAGGAACCAGGGAACAAGGTCCAGGCTGTGGGTTGGGAGTGCAGGGTTGGGGTCCAGGACCCACCCAGGGGTGCTGAGCCCTCCGCAGGCCAAGCTGAGAGGTGCAGGGGGTCTCCTCCCCACCTCCCCAAACCCCTCCTGATATTAGCAGGTGCCAGGGAGGCAGGGGGGCCATGGAACCACAGCCTGGCCTTGGGGCTGGGCCCCTCCCCAGGCCTCCCCGGTGGGGACTCACTCCAGCCTTCTTGGAGGACAGCCTGTGTGTCCGTCCACAAACACAGGCTGCTGGGCTGGTTGCAAGGGTCAGCACTTAGAATGCTCCACGGGCGTCAGCGATGGTGACTCCTTCTGGGCTATACTTGGGGTGCTGGCAGCCACTGAGAGCAGGCTCTGGGTGTCTCCTCCCCTGCTGTCTCCTGCCTGGGCCTGCCTCTGACCCCCCGCCCTCTGCACCCTGTCCTCAGTGACCCTCACCTTGTGCTCTGAGGCAAGGTTCTCAGGACTGCTGGGGGCTGGAGATACAGCCTCTGACCCTTATCCAAAGCAGTGCTTGTAGGAACTGCTGTCCACTGACGTGGTGAGGTGCCCATGCTAGGAAGGCCCTGGGGGGCTGGAAAGGCTTCCCTGAGGAAGTAGGGAGTAGGCAGCCCGTGCAAAGGTCCTGAGGTGAGCGCATGTGCCAGAAGAGATGGAAGGAAGCAGGGCAGCTGAGCACGGCTTGGTCTGCGACTGGAGGGGCGGCCTTGGGGGGCCGGCGCCCCGCCCCTGAGCCGTGTGCCTGCCTGTCCCCAGCGAGCAGCCACATGGAGAATCGGGTCCACGCAGAGGAACGGCTGCTGAAGAAGCTCTTCTCGGGCTACAACAAGTGGTCCCGGCCTGTGGCCAACATCTCCGACGTGGTCTTTGTCCACTTTGGCCTGTCCATCGCACAGCTCATTGATGTGGTAGGTGCGGGGGTGGCGCCGCGGGGTCTTGGCTGTCACACGTAGTCCCAGAGGTGGCCCGGGGGCTGCGAGGCCCGCTGTACAGGCCCCTGCCCAAGCCCAGTAAGTGCACCTTTGTGGTGTGTCCGGAGGGGAGGCAGGTCTGTGCACACCTGCCGCAGACCCGGCCCTTCTCCCCAACACGGAAACAAAAGTGCCAGGTTGGCAGCAGAGGGTCGGGCTGTGAGCTTCGGAGCAAAGAGCAGACGATGCCAGGTGCCAGGTCAGCTGTGGGGGCTTTTGTGTGAATGGGGCACCTGATGGGGCAGCCCCTAGCCTTGAGCTGGTCCAGGAGGCCCTGTTCCCTACCCGCCTGGAATGAGGGGTTTGGGGGAGTCTCAGATAGGTCTGGGGCGTGCTTACCTTCCTAGTTAATGACCAAGGGGGCTGTTGGGAGGATGCTGGGGTCCAGCCTTCCACTGGCTACTGCTCTGGAGGGGCTGGGGCACCCCCTTGGGGTGGGGACCCATCCTGGGGGTATGATCTGACTGGGTGATGGGCACACAGCCTGGGCTGGGCTCTGACCTGGCAAGGAGAAGGGGCAGCGCTCTGGGAGCCTAGTTCTTCCAGATGCAGGGGGCAACAGGTATCCCCAGATGCCCACCCTCCTCCTGCCAGGACCCCCACCTTGAGTCGGCTTAGTGGGGGGTGGCTGCCCACCTGTCTCCTCGCCTGCCAAGTCGGATGAGCACGTCATTGCCATCTTGGGCTCAGTGGGTGACATCCGAGGGGCTTTTGGGAGGGTGGAGGCTGTGGCCACCTTCAGAGGGACAGGGGCCAGCGAGGGTCCCGTGAGCGGGGAGACCCTTTCAGTGCCCTGTCCTCCGCCAGGTCTAGGCTTCTGCCCTCAGCTTCCTGGAGCGGCCCCCCAGTTCCTGCACAGCGCTCCTGCCTGGGGCAGCCAGGGGGTATTCTGGGTTCCCAGAGCTGCTGAGCTTTGCAGACAGTTCAGAGTGGCTGGAGGAGGCGGCTGCTGGCTGCACCACGGCCTGGCCACCTGTGTGCTCCTCGGGGCTCCTGCTCCCCACACGGACTGCTTCCCCATTTGCCCAGGAGCATCCAAGGCCAGGAAGGAGCACACCCGATCAGAGACCCGAGGCGGGTGGCAGCACCAGGCAGGGCGGGGCTCTCGGGCTCTGCGGGGGGGCTCTGGGCCTGACGGAGGACCCACCCGGCCACGTTGTGGGTGGAAGGGGCCGCCCCAAGTCTGGGCCACGCTGCCGTCCCTGGGGTGCTCACGTATTCGCTGCAGGTGTGTGCCATGCGTGGGAACATCTGCTTGCAGAGAACCCCAGGCGTCCCGGGCCTGGGGCCCTGTCACCTTGAAGCTCCTTGAGTCCCGGGGTGGGGGATGGGGCATAGCAGGGTCAGGCTCTCCCCCAGAGGGAAGGGAGGGGCTGGCAGCCATCGGTTCCTGGCTCTGCTTCGTCACACATGCTCCTCAGCACCCTTTCTCTGGGGGGGAGGGTCCCACTTGGTCAGCTGAGTGGCCTGTCCCAGGTGGACCTGCAGGAGAACAGGACCAAGGACAATGCCAGGGGTCAGGGGACGTGTCTCTTCTCCCCAAACTGGCCAAGTGGGGGATTTTCCCCCGAGGGAGCCAGAGGGCAAAGCACCCAGGCCTGTGCCTTTGGGATACCAGGCCCCACCCTAACCAGGGTCTGGGTAGTCGGGGGGTCCTGCCCAGCTGGGACAGAGCCATGCAGGTTGTCGGGAGAGAGGTGCCCCCCCTCTCACACACCCACCCACAGCTGGGGGCCAGGCCCAGCCACCTACGCCGCCATTGGCCTGTCCCCACGTCCCTAAGTCCCTCCTGGGCTCAGTTATCTCCAGAGATGAGGTGTCCTCCCTCCCACGCCCAGCCCTGGCCGGTCCTTGTGGGTGAGGACATTCAGGGCCAGAGAGGGGGACCCTGTCACTGAAGGGGCCACAACTCCTTTTCTCGTTTGGGTCCCAGGACGAGAAGAATCAGATGATGACAACGAATGTGTGGGTGAAGCAGGTGAGTGGGAGGGGAGCCGCTGTCACCCCCACCCCTCGGCCCTGCCCCTCCCGCCCGGGCCTCACCTCTCTGCCTGCCCCCCCCCCCAGGAATGGAATGACTACAAACTGCGCTGGGACCCCAGTGACTACGAGAACGTGACTTCCATCCGGATCCCCTCCGAACTCATCTGGCGGCCAGACATCGTCCTCTACAACAAGTGAGCCGGGGCGGGGTCTTGGCGGGCGGGGTGCAGGTGCCTGCCTCCAGCCGAGCCCCAGCCAGGCGAGAGCACCTGGGCTCCAAGGCACCAGACCTGCCCAGACCCCTCGGTGGCCACCTCCTGGCTCGGCCTTGGTCTCTGTCCCCAGGGCAGGAAAAGGGGCTTGGTCTAGACATGCGGGTTCTCACGAGGGCCCGTGGCACCCGACTGTCTGCCCTGTGGCTTTCACCTGGTCCCAGCCTTCCGTCTGGGCTCCGGGCCCCACCCTGCAGGTCATCCCTTTGGGACCCCAGCTGGCTCCTCGGGCTCCTGAGCAAACAAAACCACTGGCTCCGGGGGCTGAGCTGACCCCGAGAGTCCACACTGTAGACGGTCTTCTGTGTTGGGGGCCCGGGTTTCTAGGGGGACCCCCGGCAGACGGTGGGCTCAGACGTGTCCCTTCCCAGGACTCTCGCTGGGGTCCCTGAGCCCAGGGCAGCCTGCCGTCCCCCAGGTCCCGCTGTGTCGCGCTGAATCAGGCCCCGCTCAGGCTCAGGCGGGCGCGGGGCTCTGTGCGCACACTGACAGGCACTTAGCCCTCGGCCTGCCCCCATTCCTAGCCCCTGCCTCCCGCCCCAGACCCCTGCAGCAGCCCCTTCCAGGCCCCCGGCGCTGGGCCTGACCTACAAAGCGTTGCTCTTTGATTAAGAACAACGGGGCTCCTCTTCCACGGAACTGATTCCAGCCACGCAGAGGGAAAGGCAGCCGCACGTGAGCTCGGAGATGGACTCAGGAGGCCTGAGCGGGGTCAGCTGGGGGTGGGCGGGCAGGTCCGTTCTCTGCAAGCCCGGAGCCCTCCAGCCAGCAGCTTTCCCGGGGTCCACGCTCAGCTCCCCTACAACCCCCCAAGACCTCTGATCCAGAGAATAGGCATCTGGGATCCAGGGGACAGCCAGAAATTCCCTGGGGATGACTGCACCTCCCAGGAGAGTGGGAGCCGCCACCCAGACCCTCCGCCTTTCCTCCCTGCCAGGACCTGTGGGAGGCGGCTGGGTGGACGCCAGGCTCTCTGGACAAGGCTGTGGGGAGGGGGAGGAGCTGGTGGCCGGTGCTGGCCAGGCTACAGCCACGGAGGAAGCCCGTTTCGGGGGCGGCAGCTGTTGGCCGGAGGCATGCACTTGAGCTTGGCCGAGTGGTCAGGCCCAGCTGATGGGCGAGGGGAAGGGTGGGAATGGGGCCCAGGCTTTCTGATGGCTTTGGGGAACCCCCGTGTGGGGCACCCCGTGTTTGGAGGTCAGGAGCATGTCTACCTGAGGTTTTTCTACATGGTCCCTTTGGGGCAGAGGGTGTCGCAGGACCAGTCACGAGGCATCTCAGGGCCTGGAGCCAGAACCTGGACCAGCCCCACGGGCTTCTCTGCCCCCACCTGCCCCGGAGCTGCAGCCCCCACAGCTGGGGTGGGAGGTGGGGCCAGAAGCTTTGGGTGGTGTCTGTCTCTGCCCCGCACAGAGGCACCAGCTGGGGGGGGGGGGAGGCCCCGCTGTGGGGGTCACACGTTGCTGAGGAAGCTGCCCTCCCTGCTTCCCTGCTGGGTGGCCCGGCCCCTGTGCAGAGCAGAGGGCTGTCCCTCAGCCCCTCCGGGCCACCAGGGCTGGATGCGCCCTCTGTGGCGCTGGGACCAGCCTGATGTGGGCGGGCGGCAGTCCTGGGGGCTTCACAGGGCCGAGGAGACATGTCCTGTCTGTGTTTCAGAGTGAAAGGTGTCAGGACTGCTGCCCCGCCTCTGTGGGGACCCAGAGTGGGAGCCGGGGCCCCGTGGGGAGGCGGAGACACTCACACCGGCCCGGGCCCAGACTCAGCACCAGGTCCTTCCGGGCGGCAGAGTCTGCGGGTGCGGGCGCCTGGGGCGGGGCGTCGGGCGCCTGTCCTGTCTCACCCCTCTCTCCCTGCCCAGCGCGGACGGGGACTTCGCCGTCACCCACCTGACCAAGGCGCACCTGTTCCACGACGGGCGGGTGCAGTGGAGCCCCCCCGCCATCTACAAGAGCTCCTGCAGCATCGACGTCACCTTCTTCCCCTTCGACCAGCAGAACTGCACCATGAAGTTCGGGTCCTGGACCTACGACAAGGCCAAGATCGACCTGGTGAGCATGCACCGCCGCGTGGACCAGCTGGACTTCTGGGAGAGCGGCGAGTGGGTCATCGTGGACGCCGTGGGCACCTACAACACCCGGAAGTATGAGTGCTGTGCCGAGGTGTACCCCGACATCACCTACGCCTTCGTCATCCGGCGCCTGCCCCTCTTCTACACCGTCAACCTCATCATCCCCTGCCTGCTCATCTCCTGCCTCACCGTGCTGGTCTTCTACCTGCCTTCCGAGTGCGGCGAGAAGGTCACGCTGTGCATCTCCGTGCTGCTGTCGCTCACCGTGTTCCTGCTGCTCATCACCGAGATCATCCCGTCCACCTCGCTGGTCATCCCGCTCATCGGCGAGTACCTGCTGTTCACCATGATCTTCGTCACCCTGTCCATCATCATCACCGTCTTCGTGCTCAATGTCCACCACCGCTCCCCACGCACGCACACCATGCCCGCCTGGGTGCGCCGCGTCTTCCTGGACGTCGTGCCGCGGCTGCTCCTCATGAAGCGGCCGTCCGTGGTCAAGGACAGCTGCCGGCGGCTCATCGAGTCCATGCACGGGGTGGCCAGCGCCCCGCGCTCCTGGCCCGAGCCCGAGCGGAAGCCCGACTTCGTGAGCAAAGCCCAGAGCAGGGGTCCCTCCCCCACCCCGTCCTTCCGTGGGCCCCTGGATGAGCTGGTCAAGCCCCAGCCGGTCTGCACCTCGCCCTCAGACCAGGTTCCCGCTCTGCAGCCCACGGAGGCCAAGAAAGCCAGCCCCTGCCCCTTGCCCAGCCCCTGCCACCCGCCCACCAGCACCTGGACCCGGGGGCTCTCCAAAGCCCGGTCCCTGAGCGTCCAGCACTTGTCCAGCCCCGACAAAGGAGCAGAGGCTGGCGTCCGGTGCCGGTCCCGGAGCACCCAGTACTGCGTTCCCCAAGAAGAGGCCACCTCCCAGGCCAATGGCCCCTCAGCCGGCTCCCCGCCCTCCTGGAAGGCCTCCTGGGCCACGCCCCCACCCCGAGACCCGGCCTCCCCCTGCAAATGCAAGCGCGAGGATTCGTCCACGGGGCCCTCAGACACCACCTCCAAAGCCCGCGGCACCAAAGCACCGCCTCGTCCCCAGCCCCTGTCGCCCACCCTGACGAGGGCTGTGGAGAGCGTCCAGTACATTGCAGACCACCTGAAGGCGGAGGACACAGACTTCTCGGTGAGTCCTAGCCCCAGGCACTCTGAAGGAGGGAGTGGCCAGTGAAGAAACCCAGAAACTGGACCCGGACCTGGGCTGCCAGCTCGGGGCACCCAGCAGCCAAGCCTCACCCGCCTGCTCCCACGTCCCTGAGCCTCCCGTCCTGGCCAGTCCCTGACTGGAGCCGGGCCGGTGCCCAGAGAGCCTGCGGGAGCAGAGCATGGGGCAGCCTGCGGGCGGCGGGGGCGAGGGGCTGCCCACACCGGGTTAGCGGTAGTTCTGCGGGGCTGCCCTCCATCCGCCCCTGCAGCTGGTCCTGGTTTCTGAGCGCCTCTCGGGCTCTGGGGAGCGGTTTGGCTTCACACGCAGCCAGGATGTTTCATCCTCAGGGCGGGGTGCCGCGCGGGCGGGAGGGGATGAGAGGCAGTGGGAACAGCGTGGCCTCCGGCGGCGGCAGCGTCCTGGGGACGTTTATTTATAAGTGACCCCGTTTGCGCTCGGGTCTCCTGTGAAGAGACAGGCCGTTGAGTCTGGTCTGAAGCCATCGGGACACCTGAGCACTCTAAGGAATCGGAGCAGAACATGGCGACGAAGAACCCACTTTCCCTGAGCACCCCCAAAGTGGGGCGGCTGAGCCTGCCCCTCACCCGCCTGCTGACCCACAGTGCCCGGCCGGCTGGGCCCCGAGGCTGCTGACCCACGAGTGCCCGGCCGGCTGGGCCCCGAGGCTGCTGACCCACAGTGCCCAGCCCCTCAGGTGCCCACAGGCTGCCCACTCAGGACCCGCTGTGGCCCGGCCAGGCCTCCTCGAGCCTTTGCTCCTGGGGTCACCCTGGAGGTAGAGCCCCCGGTAGAGGCCAGAGGTGGGGTCAGGAGACGGGACCTCAGAGCTGCCGGCCGGGACTAGGGTCTGCTCCCCGCTCATAGTGTCTCTGCCTCGGCGTCCCCCTCTCTGAACGGGCAGTACCGCCGCCTTCCCCACGGCCCTCGGGCAGGTGGGGAGCTCGGCCTGCTCTTTCCTGTGCACTCACGCCCGCCCTCGGCCCTGGCACCCGGGACCCCCCGGGCCTCCTGCCTCTGCTCACAGCACCCGGGCTGTGCCCCACACCCTCGAGGGCTTGAGGGACAGAGCTGAGAACCCCACCAGCCTCTGAAGGGCCTCGGACCATGGATAGCCAGACCCCGAGTGCCAGTCCTGGGGGGAGGGCCATTGGGCCTCAGCTGTCCCCCTCGGACACCGTGGGACCCCTGGGGGCTCCTGTTAGAGGCCAGACCCCATTACCCAGGGTGCCAGGAGCCCTTGTCCTGCACAGCCAGGGGGTGTGGGTGGCCTCCCTCTGGGCTCACTTGGTCCATCTGGAAAGGGGGGTCACGCACTGGTCTCCAAGTCTCCCCCTCAGCTTCAACAAACTGGGAGCCAATTCCATCATCACGTGGCCTGGGCCCTCCCGGCCTCTACCCCAGTGGCTCAGGCACCCTGCCAGGCAGGTGAAGTGGGGGCACCCTCGCCCACGGTGGCTGTGAGGTTGGCTCCTTAGAAGGTGTCAACCCCTCTGAGCCCAGGCTGCTCCTGAGCCAGACATCAGCTGGCTCGTCACTTCCTGTGCCCCCCCACACAGGTGCCTCCGTGCAGGTGTCCCTGCGACCCTGTGACCCCGGTGGCAAGAACCGGAAACGGGGCCCTGCCCCGCAAGGCGCCGGGTTCCAGAGGGTCTTGCAGCCGCGGGGCGAGGCAGCGGGTGACGCGTGTCTGTGTTGCAGGTGAAGGAGGACTGGAAGTACGTGGCCATGGTCATCGACCGCGTCTTCCTCTGGGTGTTCGTCATCGTGTGCCTGCTGGGGACCGCCGGCCTGTTCCTGCCGCCCTGGCTGGCCGGCATGTTCTAGGGGTCCCTGCGGGGCCCAGCCACCTCCGGTCTGCTCCTGCTCCCCAAGGGACCGCACTGCGGGCCCGCCGCCCACCAGCCGCTCCGTCTTCCTCCTCTGCCTCCTGGGGAGCCTGCGTGGCCGCCACCGGCCTGGGGTGAATGTATTCTTACCTGCAGGGCGGTGTCCTCTCTCTGGCTCATTAAAGTTTATCCAGAGCACGGCCACTTCCTGCCAGGGCCTGGGTCTGACCACTCTGAAAGGTGCCCGCCGTCCCGAGGTCCTGGACCACGCCCCTCGCCCCTCTTGCCCCCAGTGCCCCTGCTCCCTGTGGGGCCCCCGAGTGTGGGGACACCGCCCTGGCCCTCGGGATGCTCCCCCTGACCCCACAGAGGAGACTCAGCACACACGGGTCTCACTGGCCGGCTGGGCCTACCAGGGCTTTTACTTGTTGTGGTAAATTCGTGAAAACCCTGGTTCTGTGCCCAGGGGCCTTGGGGGTAGGGCTGTTAGATCTGGTCCCCTTGGAGGAGATTGGGGGCAGGTCACCCACATGGGAGGGACCCTTGGGCTTGGGAAGTACGGACATCTGCTCCAGGGGTCCTGGGGGTGAGGGACCTGGAGTGGCATCCAGGGCCCAGGCTCCGGTGTCCCCATCTGGGCTCCCCCTCTCCGTGGGCTCTTCTCTGGGCACACACATGAGCACGGGCTTCCCTGATGGGGTCGGTAGCCATGGTGAGGCCGGGGGACCCTGAGGCCAGCTCACCCAGCGCCGAATCTAGGGCCCTCAGAGTGTGGCCCTGGAGTGGGGCCCCTGAGGGGGTGAAGGGGAACCCCCACAGGCCTCCTGCCCGTGGATTTCTCTGCTTGGAGCCAGCTCAGACGGCAGAGGGGTGGGGGCTGCCCCAGAGTGATGGTCCTGGGCCCTCAGGTGGTCTCCCCAAGGCACCAGCGATGTCCCCTGACACCCTGGGGAACATTGCCTCTGAGGGGGTGGAGAGGGGTGCTGCCCCCCTGCCCCCACCCCTGATTCTTTGACGCCCTCTCAGTGCTGGGGGGCAGTGTGTCCTCACCCCCCGAGTGACATCAGGAGGGGGAGAGGCGGCTATTCCCGCGTCCACGTCAGGCCTCCTCCTCCAGACCCTGGGCGTCAGGGCAGCCGGGCAGGTGGCAGCCGGGGTGGGTCCTGTCCGGCCGGTCCTGGGTCACCAGGGACGTGGAAGAACTGAGGGTGATTTGGTGAAGTTTAGAGCCGAGCTCACCAAGCACCCAGAGCTTGGGTTCATGCTGCTGCAGAGCTGGGGTTCCCGGGCCCCAGCCGGACAGCCGCACCCCTCACCCGGGCACCGTGAACCGGCCCCGACTGGAGTCCAGGGTCCTCACGCCCAGGAGAGGGATGCAGAGGCCCCTGCGTCTAAATCCCGGGTGTCCCCTCCTCCCCACGTGCCCAGCTTTGCTCTGCCCCTGCTTCCTGGGGGCATCGGTCCGGGGACACGGGGCAGCTCGCCCAGGTGGGGCCATGAACGGGGGGCGGGGGCGTCAGGACACGGATTTCAGACGCAAGCACCTCAATCCTCCTTATGTAAGCGGATCCGGCCGCCAGATGCGCTCTTCTGGGTCGTGAGGGAGACCCAGCAGCTGCGGGGACTGAAAAGTGTCGGGGAAGCCACAGAGATGACGAAGGCCCACGTTCCCACCGCAGCAGAGGAACCCCGCCACCGTGCGCCTCCGGGGGGTTTCCTGGTGTAAACTCTACAAGTGACAAAACACGCCCAAGCCCTCCAACGAGCGGGTTTTCTGAACTTGACCCCGGGACCTAGGGGACCGTTCCACAGGCAGGGTGCCCCCAACCCCTCGCCACCCCACGTCGACCTGTCTCCCCTCTCAGTGCTGGGGGGGCAGTGTGGCCCCCCGCCTGGGCTCCATCAAAGGCCCTCCCACGGTGGCCTCACCAGCTGCTGAGACTCCGTCCTGTCTCGTCCCTGATCGGTCCTGTTGCCGTGAGCCCTGTGCTTTGAGTAAACAGAACGTGGCTGTTTCTCGTCCCGAACTTGTCTCCAGGGCTCCAGGCTAAGGGTCCCGCAGCTGTGAACACGCGTGCGGTCTCCGTGGTCCCGTCTTCATGTCTCTGTGTTGACCACGCTTCTGTTCTTGTACCTTGTGCTGACATCTGGGGGTCATGCAGACCCGAGAGATTGTCCCTCCCAGGGGCGGTGGACCCCTGGACTTCATGTGCGGCCCCCCCAGGCCAGGGCCGTGTCCCCCCATCTCACACTCACACACCAGGCCCAAACCATCCCGGGCCAGTAAGGAGGGCCAGCCCAGTGCCCGGGGCCTGCTGAATTGTCCTAACTAGCCACCGCCGACTGCCTCCCTGCCCTGGCTGGCCCGCCCCAGCCCCCAGCCCCCTGCCCCCTGTCCCCTGCCCCCTGCCCCCTGCCCCCCGCCCAGGGTGGCGTGCCCACTTCTCTCGGGGGATTAAGTCATAGATTTTTCCTTCAGCGGTACTGGCCCCTTTCTGGTGTCCCTTGTTCACCTTGATAAGTCAGGGCGGGGCACCGAGCACTCCAGGTACACACCTGTGTGGGGTCATAAGTCACGGGGTGCAAGTCTTCCCACGTGGATACTCTCGCTCCCCCTGGCACTGTCTGCCAGTTGGTGTTTGCTCGCTGCTTTGTGTCGTCTGGTGACGCGTTGAGTCACCTGTGCATCCTGCGTCCTTGTCTGTCCCACCTGGTGGGAGGCCCCCCATCCGTCACAGTGATTTTCCTTTTCTAACGATGTCTTTCGAAGACACACTTTCATTCTGACGAGGGGCCGTGTCTTATTTTTCCTACGGTGGTTGCTTTATGGATCACGTCAGATCTTCCCACCCCGGGCTTGCGAATACGCCCCCTACGCTTCCTTCTGGAACGTCCCAGCTTTCCCTGGTCCTCGGGTGAAGGGTCTGGTGTAGACAAGGGCGGGCGTCAGTGTTTCTGACTTGAACCTCTAGGTATTTCCATTTTTTGTTGGAAATGCTGTCCCTTCCCCATAAAACGCCTCGAAACAGTAGCCCCCCGATCTGCTGGGCGTCCAGTGGTGTCTGCCAGGTGTTGGTCCCGCCGTCCTGGGCGGGAGCAGGAAGCTGGTCTGAAGCGTTTGGAGAGCACACCTCCGGCGACGCAGGTGTGCTCGGGTAACGTCCGTGGCCTTGGGAGCTGCTCCGCCGGCTCCCGTTTCCCTTCCGCAGGGAACATCCGAGCTGGTCGGCCGTCTTGAAGGTTATCCCGTCCCTTTGTCCCTCCTGGTGGCTGCTCCTGACTTAAGGCCGCTGTTTATATTGTTTAAGAGCTTAATGAGGTGACAAGAAGACTAACCCTCCAATGCCTCCCACACCCACAGAGCGAGCGTCCTGCTGCTCAGGAGTCCTGCCGCCCACACCAGCCAGGGAACCATCTCGATTCTCAGGTAGCTGTGGGCATGTCCTCTGGGCGGGCGTGGCTCTCCAGCCAGTGGCCACCTGCGCCCCAGGGCATCGGGCCGTCTCGGACCCTGTGCCACCTGCAGCAATCACCTGGTTCCCACGAGCTCAGTCCTGTGCAGCTGCTCGGACTCCGGCTCCTTCGGTAGAGTGAGGACATCACGGAAATAAAATCTGTATTTTTCCTTCAACACGTGGAGGTCATCACCCTGGCGGCTCTGACAGCCGGCAGCTTTTACTCCGCGGGTGTGTGAAGGCTGCTTTCTCTGCCGTCCTTAAGTTTTGTGTGAATGAATTTAAAGAAACAACACCATAAGGCGCTCTGAGCCTTTCAATCTGAGATCATAGGCGTCCTCTAATTCTGAAACCTAAAAACAACCGCTTCCAGCACTCCTGCCTCTTCTACGGGATTCCCGGCCAGATGGAGCTGGTTGGGAACCAGCATGTGCTTCCTCCTCTGCCCTACAAAACCCTTAGGGTCCTCCATGGTCTCACCGCCGAGCTCGGAGCTGTGACCTTGGCTAACGCTCTCCCCAACTCTAACCCGAACCCGAACCCCCAACTCTAACCCGAACCCTAACCCCCAACTCTAACCCGAACCCTAACCCCCAACTCTAACCCGAACCCTAACCCCCAACTCTAACCCGAACCCTAACCCCCAACTCTAACCCGAACCTGAACCCTAACCCTATCCCCAACTCTAACCCTAACCCCCAACTCTAACCCGTACCCTAACCCCAGACTCTAACCCGAACCCGAACCCTAACCCTATCCCCAACTCTAACCCTAACCCTAAAACTAACCCTAACCCTATCCCCAACTCTAACCCTAACCCTAACCCCCAACCCGAACCCGAACCCTAAAACCAACCCTAACTCTAACCATGACCCTAACCGAACCCTAACTATAACTCAACCTTAACCCTCACCCTAACCCTAAAAATAAAACCAACCCAAACCCAACGGTAACCCCAACACTAACCCTAACCCTGGCCCTAGTCCTGGCTCTAACCCTACTACTAATCATAACAATAAGCCTAACACCAAACCTAGCCCTCACCTTGCCCTAGCCCGAACACTGACCCTGACTCTGACCCTAGCCCTAACCCTAACCCCAGCCCTGACCCCGTGGGTTCACTCCTGCTGTTCTCTGTCCGCACCCCGTCGCTCCCCCTTGTGCCTCTGGGTTATTCCCGCTCACCCTCCCTCCCCGAAGACATGGTGTTTAGTTAATGGGCCACAGAGAACGCGTCCTCCTCCACCCGGTCTGTCCTGCTCAGCTTTGCTCTCGCCTGTTCTCTGGTTGATTCGTCTCCACACCTGGAGGCGAGTGCTGTGCGCATGCGGGTGCGTGCATGTGCATGTGTGTGTGTGCATGCGTGTGCATCAGCCGTGTGCACATGTGCGGATAGATGGCTCACGTGGACGACTGCACTCAGCCCACAGCACAGGTCACGGGCCGGTGGCAGGCTGTCTTCTCCAGCCCGGCCAGAGGCCGGTTGGCCCTCCAAGGGGGGTGCTGCTGGACGGGGCGGCTGCGGACCTGGCCTCTCCAGCCTCCCTCCCGTGATGGCAGCTCATTCGTGATGACAAAGAGGCGCCTTCACCTGCCGGCCTCCTTGACCAGACCGCCCCGGGCTCCGCCATCTTCTTTCCTTCTGACAGACGGACTCTGCACCCACACCCTCGGGCTGCGGCCCACAGCCCTCCCCTCTGGCCTCTGAGGGAGCCTGGGACACAGTCCCGGGACCAGCAGGCCACCTCCACCCCCAGGGAAGCCAGCCCCTCCGAGATGGTGGTGCCCACACTTCTGCCCCATGAACACCAGATTCAACCCACCACCACCCCCTTCACCACCTGCTGCTGCTCTGCAGCCCAGGGCCTGTTTCCGGGGCCCCCACAGCGGCTCAGCCAGGAGCCTGCCCAAACCTGCTCCCCATAGCCCAGCCGCCATCTCAGTGGACAACAGGGGACGTCCCCCGCTGGCTCCCCGAGGTCTTGTCTTCGGTGGTCTCGTCGGTTCCTGGCTCAGAACCCCCGTGGCGTCCAGCCGCTCTTGGACCGAACACAGACCCCTCCCACAGCACCGTCGAGGTCCAGCGCTGACCCCGTCCTGGCGCTGTGCTCGGCCCTCCTGCCATCGGGTCGTGCCTGCGGGGTCCCCCCTCAGGCCCCCGAGGGGTGTGCCCTGCTGGAGCTCCTACCCACTTCACACCCTCTTCTCCTGCCTCTGCTCAGTCTCCGCGGAAGCCCCCCGGCCAGTGTATGAAGGGGCCCCGCCCCGGGTCCTTCCCCGTGTTTAGAAACTGCCCGGCGTTGACTCAGCCGGAGGGACCACAGCCGCTGAGGTTCCCAGGGGAGCCAGTGGGCCAGGGCAGCCAAGAGGGGGGCCACTGGGGGGGCGCTGAGACCACCCAGACGCCGCCTCTGCGGGGGCTGGGCACCGTTCTCTTTCGTTTGTTTGTTTTTACTCCTCATGTGAGGATATTTTTCCATTGGTTTTTAGAGTAGAAAGATGGGAGGGAGAGAGAGAAACATCGATGTGAGAGAGACACACTGATGGGCTGCCTCCTGCATGACCCTGACCTGGGCCGGTGACCGAACCCGCAACTGAGGTACATGCCCTTGACCGGGAACCAAACCTGGGTCCTCAGTCCTCAGGCCGACGTGCTAACCGCTGAGCAAAATGGCCAGGGCCTGGGCACCGTTCTGAAAGCCGACCCCACCCGGGCGACGCGGCCTGTGGCTTACACTGAGGGCCCCGGCCTGGGCGGGGGCTGGGCTCTGGGACCCAGGTTAGGGCTGCGGGGCCTCAGGGAAGGAGGGGCGAGCCCTAAGGCAACAGGGAGACTGTGGGGTTGGAGGGAGGTCCCTGGGGTGGCTTCTCTCCGAGGTGGCGGGGACAGGGACGCGCACACCCTCCCGTAATGAGCGGCGCCTCCTTGCTGAACTCTGGGTTTATGTGATCGTGGGAAAGGTACAAAAATGCAGCCCGTCCCCCGCCCGTCCCCCCCCCGTCCCCCGCCCGTCCCCTCTGCCTCGGCGCCAGACTCTCCAGGCCCCCAGCACCGTCCATCTTGGTGTCTGAGACTCGGCGGGGGGGCTGCAGGTCACTCAGAGCAGCAAGGGGCACGTCCTGGCCAGAGGGAAGATGGAAGGTCTGGGGGGGCAGTGGACCGCTGACAGCCGGTCAGTGCCCCCAGCACCCCATCCTGTGAGCCCAGATGGGCCGTGAGCCCTCAGGGAAACTTGGCCTCGGGCATGCTCCCCGTGGCCCCTCTGCGCCCACCTAGTCCAGGTGTCCTCCCTGGTGCCCACCTGCCCCCGCTCCCTGAGTACTGACCCCTGGCCAGGGCCTCCCTGGGCCCCACTGGGCAGGCTCCCCATCCCTCCACTGCCCCCCGGCCAGGATCACCTGCTCCTCCCCGGGACCCTGGGGTCTTGCTCCCCTGCGGCCTGCGTGTCTGAGGGAGGGCTCCCGGCTCACCTGGGCGGAGGGGCTGGGGCTGAGGGCGGCAGGCAGGTAACAAGGCTCACTTTCCCGCCCCTTCTGACCGAGGGGAAGGTGAGTCCCTGAGCCCTCCTCCTCGGCCAAGGCTGAAAGCTCGGGGTGGGGTCCCTGAGTCCCAAACACACACTGATGGGGCTCAGGGCTGAGGTTTAGGGGGGGTGGGGCTGGGCAGGGTCCTGCCAGCCGTGTCTGGACAAGCAGGTGCAGACAGGTGCTGATCCCAAAGGCAACTCTGGGCCACTGTGGGCAGGGGCTCCCCACAGGCAGGGCCCCGCCCCCCACAGTACAGTGCTGCCACCCCCGTCTCCTTCCCCCCCTGAGGCTGGAGCTGGGCTCCATCTCCCTCCATCAGCCTCTCCGTTCATCTTGGCGTCTGATCCGCCTCCAAGCCCCAGCCGGGTGGACGGATGTGCAACAAGGTCCCTGGACTGTCTCCTGTGCACTGAGCGAGGGGGTGGGAGGGGAGGGCAGCGGTGGCCCTGAGCTCAGACACCTGGGAGAGTGGGGGAGAGGCCGCTCGGAGGACCCCAGGAAGCCAGACAGCCCCCAATTTTGTGGACGATCTCTGAGTGGCCTGTGTCCCCACCTGGCCACACAGAGACCAGTCCCAGGACAGTGGGGGCTGTGGTCCTCCCAGACCCCTCCCCAAGGGGGCCTTTACCTCTGTCCTCAGGGTGGGGGCCACCACGTCCTCCGTCTCTAGGGAGCTGGGCCTCACTTAGTGTGATCGGGGGCCCGGGGGCCTCCAAGATGGGCATGGGGGGCCTGGTGGTCTCGTGGAGGAAGGAGTCGAACTTCAGGACGTGTGCTGGGAGGGGGAGCAAGTCAGCAAAGGGAGGTGGGGGTGGGGAGGGGTTGGGAGGGTGGGGGGTTGGCGGGGTATGGGGGGACCCTCCTTGCTTCCCCAGGCTCTGTGGTGTGTGAGGGACAAGGCTGGGTTTGTTAAGGATGGGGTGGGGCTCTGTCCAGCCTGGTGAGTGTGGGCACAGTGACGAGTGGGGGGCACTGGAGACCGGGGGTCCTCACTCTGGATGGCGGACTCGCAGGCCTGGCTCACAAGCTGGTAGATGGTGGCCAAGGACTGCGGCTCACCCTGTGAGGAAGGGGCCACGGCGCAGTGACCAGGCCGCCCGGCTGGAGGCGGTGCTGTCCCCACGCCTCCGGGAGGTGCCCAGCACGACACACTCACCTTCTCTCCTCGATCCCCCTTGGGCCCCGGCAGCCCCTGAGCCAGAGGGAGGGGGGAAGTAAGCCTGCGGCAGGGAGGGGCCCTGGACTGGCCTCCCCCCCTCCTGACTCTAGGGGCAGCCCTGACCCCTCTGCAGCCTGGGGCTCTGTCCACCCGGAGGGAGACCAGGCATTGGGGTCCCCACAGGGTGGGCACAGTTTCTGATCCTCCGAGAGCCAGAGACAGGAGTCGCAGTGGGCAAAGGTCCCATCTCTCAGATGGGGACACCCCCCCAGGACACCCTCCCGTGGCCTGAGCCAGCCAGGTCTGTACAGAGCATATCCCTGTCCCGGCCCCACCTGCCTGTCTTCTGGCTCCTGGCTCCCAGAAACCTTCTGGGATCCAGTCTCCCCGTCCCCCACCCCCCCACCTGTCTGTCTCGGGCCTGACGGGCAGCCCAGCGTCCCGGCACGCACGGCCTCAATGCACAGAGGTGAGTGTACACACATGTGTCACACCCTGCTGTCTGGGTGGGGAGAGGCCTTACCGTGGGCCCCACGGCCCCTGGGGGTCCTCGCTCTCCGCTGGTCCCCCTGGCCCCCGCCAGGCCCTGAGAGCCCTGTGGAGACGCAGAGGTCATCGGACTGCAGCCTGGGAGTCTGGCCCCTCCTCCCTCCAGCCCAGGCTTGGACGTTCAGGTCCCTATGGCCCTGGACCAAAACCAGGTACCTCGGTGCGTCCCCAGTCTCCACAGGCCCACCTCGGGAGGGCAGCGGGGCCTCCCTGGCACCTGGCCCAGGACCCCAGTCAGAGTGGCTGCCAGGTGCTGAGCCCGGAGCCCCCTGATCAGCAGGGAGGGGCTGGGACCAGACCACAGCCGGCCGCCCAGACCCGGCCCCTCCCTGCCGTGTGGAATCGGGGGGCAGAAGCCAGGCCCACCCAGACCCGGCCCCTCCCTGCCGTGTGGAATCGGGGGGCAGAAGCCAGGCCCACCCAGACCCGGCCCCTCCCTGCCGTGTGGAATCGGGGGGCAGAAGCCAGGCCCACCCAGACCCGGCCCCTCCCTGCCGTGTGGAATCGGGGACTGGGCCGCACAGTTGCTGTGTCCCCACCGAGCTGCGGGCTGGTGAGAAGCCCTCCAGGTGCCCACACAGCCTCTGGCAAGGCCCAGAAAGGTGTCAGCCCAGGAGAGTGAGGCCTCCCAGGTCACCTTGTGGGGTGAACACGCTCAGCTCAGCCCCAAGGAAGCCCCAGGGGGTGTGGTGGGACAGGCCGGGGGTGCTCACGGGGAGGCAGTGCTCACCCGGGGTCCGGGGGGTCCGGGCAGGCCAGCGGCACCCTCCAGGCCTCTCATTCCCTGACGGCAAAGGAGGGCGGGTTGGGGTGGGGGCTTGGACCCCCACACATCCCTCCCACGTGGCCCACACCTGTGAGGGGTACACATCTGTGCCTCGCTTCCAGAGCACTGACTCAGCCGAGTTCAGGGACTGCCCCCTCCAACCCCACGTGGGTGCCATTCCCCTGCCCCCTCCAGGCCACAGGGGGGGCGGGATGGGTGGGGAAGGGATCAGAGAGGGGAAACCCCACCCACACCCGCCACCTCGAGACCCTCCCTGGGGTTCTCTCCCACCTTTGGACCCTGGAGGCCAACCTTCCCGGGGACGCCCTGGTGGCCAGGGGAGCCCTGGAAGACAACAGAGGGGCTGGCCAGGCTGGGGCAAGTCCGATGCAGAGGAAGAGGCCCTGTCCCCGAGACCCCCCGCTACCTGCACGCCGGGGAGTCCATGGTCCCCTTTCTCTCCTTTGACCCCTGGTGGACCCTGCAGGGGACAAAGTGACTGAGCAGCAGGGCAGAGAGGAGCCGGGGGGGGGGGGATGGGCAGCAGGAGGAGGGGTGGAAACACCTACCACAGGTCCCTGGACAGTTCGGCCCTGGGTCCCTGGCGACCCCTGCTGACCTCCAGGACCCTCTGGTCCGGTCTGTCCAGGTGGCCCGGGCTCTCCCTGGAGACACGGGCGGGGGGGGGGGCTGGGAAGGCACCAGGCAGCTCCCGAAGCCCCTCCCCAGGGCCCACAGCAGCACCCAGCCCTCTGGCTGGTCTGTGGTATCCAGACCCCAGCCCAGAGGTCTTCAGCCCCACGGCCGCCCCTGGGAGGGGACCTGCTGGGACCTGCCCCACAGCCAGGACCGGGCCGAGGCTGCTGAGCAAGAAACCTGAACCCCAGGCCCCTGGCGGCAGCGCTGCACCCCCGCCCGAAGGCACTGCGGGACGCTGTGGACCGTGCTGGTGAGTGATGCCGGTCAGCACACCCAGCTCCCTACAGAAAGCAAATTCTCTCTTGTGAGCTGAAGACCTAAACGGACCAGCGGCAAGAGTCAGCTCAGGCCCCGGGTGAGCGGCGTCCACAGCACAGCCTCCAGGAGGAAGACCCGGGAGAGGGGCTCACGTCCGCAAGAAAATCTCAGCAACTTCCAAGGGGGCGGCACACAGCCTGGGCATCGCCACCATCCCGTCCCAGGACCCGTCGAGGCAGATTCGCCAGATGGTGGGAGCGGGCCCTCCTGGGAGGCACCTCTCTCCTCGTGGAGCCCCCTCTGCTGGGGTTGGGCCATGTGGGGCTCCCCCTGTGCTCTTGTGAATGTGCTGGGGTCCTCCCCAGGAAGATAGGGTCCAGGCCCCCCCAAGCCCCCTGGGACTCCCCAGGACTTACCCTGGGCCCGGGGAAGCCCTGCTGTCCGGGGGCTCCTTTCCTGCCCGGGAGGCCCTGCAATAGCAGGAGCGGAACTGAGCCAGCATGGCAACGGGGCTGGGGGCCTGTCAGCCCCTAGCATTGCCCCGGCTCCAGTCCCCGGTGTCCAGAGGGGAAGGGAAGGGGCTTCCGGGGGAGGACATCTGGGCCCTCCTCTCCCACAGCCGCTGCCCCTGTGAGAGACTTGGGTGCCTCGGCCTCTGTGGTGAGGTCTGTGCACCATGGAGCAGAGTCCTCACAGACGAGTTCCCACTACCGTCGGCCCTGGAGGGAGCTCGGGGGTGGTGGAGGGGCTGGACCTGCCCCACGGTGGGATGGTCCTGGGTCCCTTCCCCAACCAGGAAAGATGGGACATGCTGGTCCCACACCAGAGCAGGGTTGGCTCCAGAGAGGGGGCAGGGGAAGGAAGGGCTTGCCAGGAGGGGTCCCGTGGGCTGGGGTGTCAGCAGGCTTGGGGACGGCTGCTGGGTCCAGGCTCCCATGTGGGGGCATGGGGGGCCACCCTCCTCTGCCAGTGGCCGCAAGATGTTGCTGGGGAGGGGCTGCTGGCCTCACCGGGGGTCCTTGGGGTCCTGGGGGCCCGGGGGTCTGCAGGGAACAGGTGCAGGCAGGACGGAAGGCCGGGCAGGTCTCTCCACCCTTCTAGAAGAGAGACCCACCATTAGGTGCACCATCTGCCAGGCTCCTGTCTGACCCTGGTGCTCAGGGAATGTCACCCACACCTGGGGGCTGGGGTCAGGGGTGGGGACCAGTCTGGGGGCTGACCCTGGGCTGCTCAGCACAAGCGCCGGGGCAGGAACCCTCTCCCACTGCCCAGCCGGCCCCAGTGTCGCCGAGCGGGGTGGACACGGAGTCCCAGACAAGAGCAGTGGCCCCATCTCAGCAGCCCCCTCCCTGCAGCTGGCCTTCCCGGGCGACTCCAGCTGCCTTGTCCCCAGGCCTCGGAGACGCTCCCCAAGCCACCTCCTCCAGGTAGCCCGCCCAGACCTCCCAGCACCGCGCTGCCCTGGGTGGCCTGTGGAGCCCACTGTGCCCTGGCGGGACCCAGAGCCCACCTACCAGCGCAGGGAGCTCGCAGCACCTGTCTGCCTCTGCCCAGGTGTCCCCACACACGATCTGCAGCGCCTGGAGCTGGAGCTGCAGGGCAGGGCGGGGCTCAGTCGGCCGTGTGGGCGGGGTGGGAGGGGCGGTCCCCCCCTCCCCACCGCCCCGACTGGCCAGGCAGAAGGACGCCGAGGCTCACCGTGGCCGAGCTGCCCCGGGGGCCCCGGGCCTTGGCCAGCCTCCCCAGCGTGATGAAGCTGGCGGCCGGAGGGCTGCCCGCCTGGCCGATGGGCCTCTCGGCCACCTTCCTGCAGTCCACGTACAGCCGCACCCTGTGGTGGCCCACGGCCACGTGCACCTGCGAGACAGGTGGGGAAGTGAGTGCCCCCGGGACCTGCCCCCACGGGGCCTGTTTCCCTCTGTGAGACGGGCCATGTGCTCCACGCGGGCCCCCCCAGGACTCCTGGGAGCAGAGAAGGGCTGGGACGCTGTTCAACCCACAGTAGACGTTCGGGTCAGAGGGACCAGGGTCAGAGGGGACCAGGGGGTAGAGGGACCAGGGTCAGAGGGGACCAGGGTCCGGGGGGCAGAGGGGACCAGGGGCAGAGGGGACCAGGGGCAGAGGGGACCGGGGGCAGAGGGGACCGGGGGCAGAGGGGACCGGGGGGCAGAGGGGACCGGGGGGCAGAGGGGACCAGGGGCAGAGGGGACCAGGGGCAGAGGGGACCAGGGGCAGAGGGGACCAGGGGCAGAGGGGACCAGGGGCAGAGGGGACCAGGGGCAGAGGGGACCAGGGGGCAGAGGGGACCAGGGGCAGAGGGGACCAGGGGCAGAGGGGACCAGGGGCAGAGGGGACCAGGGGCAGAGGGGACCAGGGGGCAGAGGGGACCAGGGGGCAGAGGGGACCAGGGGCAGAGGGGACCAGGGGCAGAGGGGACCAGGGGGCAGAGGGGACCAGGGGGGAGAGGGGACCAGGGGGCAGAGGGGACCAGGGGGAGAGGGGACCAGGGGCAGAGGGGACCAGGGCGAGAGGGGGACCAGGGGGGAGAGGGGAACCAGGGGTGAGGGGGACCTGGGGGAGAGGGGACCAGGGGAGTGAGGGGGCCAGGGGGTGAGGGAACCAGGGGTGTGAGGGGACCAGGGGGCAGAGGGGACCAGGGGGGAGAGGGGACCAGGGGCAGAGGGGACCAGGGGGAGAGGGGACCAGGGGCAGAGGGGACCAGGGGCAGAGGGGACCAGGGGCAGAGGGGACCAGGGGCAGAGGGGACCAGGGGCAGAGGGGCCCAGGGGCAGAGGGGACAGGGGGCAGAGGGACCAGGGGCAGAGGGGGACCAGGGCAGAGGGGACCAGGGGGCAGAGGGGACCAGGGGCAGAGGGGACCAGGGGCAGAGGGGACCCGGGGGCAGAGGGGACCAGGGGGCAGAGGGGACCAGGGGCAGAGGGGACCAGGGGGCAGAGGGGACCAGGGGCAGAGGGGACCAGGGGGCGAGGGGGACCAGGGGGGCGGGGGGGACCAGGGGGCAGAGGGGACCAGGGGGGAGAGGGGACCAGGGGGCAGAGGGGACCAGGGGCAGAGGGGACCAGGGGCAGAGGGGACCAGGGGGTGAGGGGACCAGGGGGCAGAGGGGACCAGGGGGCAGAGAGGACCAGGGGGCAGAGGGGACCAGGGGGCAGAGAGGACCAGGGGCAGAGGCTCGGATGGACCAGGTGGTTCTGAATTCGGGGGGACAGCCATGGCAGCGACGGCCTGCTGTTGGGAGGCAGGGGCACCTCCTGCAGAGCCCAGGGGTGTCTGTTCCAGAATGGGGGGCAGGGGAAGGTCTGAGCGGGGAGAGACATAGGCATGGTCCTTCCAGAACCTTCCAGGACCTTGTGGAAGCTCCCGAAGAAGATCCTCTTCACTTCAGGGAGGTCGAAGGTCACCTCCTGCAGCGCGGCCCTGGGGTCGTGGCTGAAGTAGGTCAGGGACTTCCTGCCAGCTGCCGGGGCAGAGTGAGGGGCCCATGAGTGAGACCCCGTCCCGTCTGCCGGCAGGGAATGGGGGGCCCGGCGTGGCCTCCCGATGGGGGTACGGGCGCCTCGGCCTGGCCGGGAGGGGTCTTGCTCCCTCCCGACTGACCGTCCAGCAGGACCCCCAGGACCGGCGTGGAGTCCTCGGCCGTCATCTGCCACAGCGCGAAGGCCTCGCGGGGCGTGTCCGGGAGGAGGCGCAGCAGGAAGAGGACCGTGTGCTCCGGCGGGAGGGTGGCCGGGAGGGTGTCGCTGTGGGCAGGGGGGCAGCACCCAGGCCTGAGCGGGCGGGGCCGGGGCACAGCTACTCCCCGCGCCCAGGCCGCGGACCAGGGGCTCTCCTGCTCCGTTCCCCCACGTGCATCATGGGGTGGAAGGAACCAGCTCTCTCCCGGGCTGTTGGGGTTCAAGCAGAAGTGCCCTGAGGGGGAGGCACAGCCCTCTGCCCCCCAGGCCGGAGGCCATTCCCCACAGCCGGGGCCGCCCCGCCCACCTGGCCCGGCGTGTCAGCTGCGCGTCCCTGAACAGCGTGAAGGTCCTGGCCGAGCCGAAGGCCGAGGGCTCCATGGCCACGCCGCGGAGGGAGGCGTACTCCTTCTCCACCAGCCCGAAGGCCGCCATCAGGTCGAAGCCTGGGTGCGCAGGGCGGGGGGACCAGGGACAGAGGGGAGGTGAGGGCGGAGCGGGCGGCGGGCAGAACGCCGAGGCCGGCAGCTGAGGACATGAGGGGACGCGTCCCCCCTCTGTGTCTGACCCCGGCCCGGCAGGCAGATGCCAGGGGCTGGTCCCACCCCCCACGCGGACTTGGCTGCTCAGACACCTTCAGCTCCTCCGACGTCCATGGTGCACAGTGAGCACGGAGCTCACGTCACTAGGCGCTCGGAGCCGGGAGCAGCTGGCCTGTCCCCCACTTCCCAGCCGGGGGCCCTGCCTGCGTCGGATCTGAGTGGCACAGCCTCACTGCTCTCTGGGGAGACCCCAGGGAGACAGCGTCAGGACGATGGCACCGTCCCTGCACCAGCTGCCACCAGCCCAGCGCCCCCTCAGGGCACAGCGGCCTGGCTCTGGCTGGGGCCCACACGTCGGCCTCTGGGGAGGGTCTCGGACTTGCCGAGTGATTCCAGGCCGTTCCCCAGAGGACCGGAGAGGAGGAGGAGGAGGAAGGGTAGGGCGGGGAGGGGAGCAGCTGTCACGGGGCAGGACCCACCTGTGAGGGAGCCGTCAGGGTGCAGAGCCGGGCAGGCTGCTGAGAGGCAGGGAGCCGGGTCAGTGGGGAGGGGCCTCAGCCTCCTCTGGGGCAGGTCCTGCCCTGTGGTCTGGGTGCTGCAGCCCTCGCCCCCTGAAAGCCCTCAGGCCGGTGGTCCCCATGCCTCAGAGATGGGGAGGGGCAGGGATGGTGTCCCGCCATCTCGGGGCTACTTCCACCCCCTGAAGGCAGCACCCGGCCACGGTGCTCCCAGGACAGGGTCCCAGCCACCCCGATGGGTCCCAAATGGCAGATCCAGGGACACAGTGACAGATCCTGGGACGCGTCCGTGGGTGAGGAGAGGGGCCCACGGGGCGAGAAGCTCTCCCCACCCACAACTCAGCAGCTGTCCCCTGAATAGTGAGTCCCTGACCGGAGCCCCTAGAGGGGACATGAGAAGATGAGGCGGCCAGGCTGCCCGGCCCCTGAGGGCTTTCTGCTCCCCGTTCTGGGACTACCCAGAGGACCGGCATGGACAGCAAACATGAGCTGGGTCCCCCAGCTGGGGCCTGGCCTGCGGGGGAGGAGCCCCAAACCAGTGATGGCATGTGCAGGAACTGGGAACCTCTCCCGTGGGCCCTGTGCTCCCGCCCACCCGCCTGGGAGCTGCTCCCGTGGGCTGGACGGCAGCCTGGCCTTGAACACAGGTAGGACAAGGCCGGCGTCCCCCGGCTTTGGGCCTTGCTGAGGGCCTGGCTGTACCGGCAGGAGCCTTGCTGGCCTCAGCGGTCTCTACAGTGAAGGCCTCACACGAAAACCCAGTTCCCTCCTGCTCAGCTCCGCAGCGCGGGCCGCGTGACAGGTCCCACTGAATGGCCCACAGGTTCCGGGTGTCTGCGGGCTGCCTGGGGCCGGGGTTTCGTGCCCACTCACCCGTCCGGCCTGTGGCGGACACTGCCGTACTCTCCCCTACTCCGTACACTGCTGAGACCAGGACCCTGTACTTGGTGGCTGCCAGCAGGTCATGGAGCGTCACCTGGCTGCTGGGTCCTGGGACAGAGACCTGGGGGACACCAGCACCTGAGCCCCGCCCAAGGTCTCAGCTCTTTTCCATGTGTCCCTCCACAGAGGAGCTCGACAGACGCCGGGCCACGCCCCCCGCCACGGGACTCCGGGCCCACAAGGGGGATGGCTCACCGATTTCTCTGGTCCTGAGCCTGAGGCCAGCGCGTACGTGAGCCGGTAGTGCAGGACTGGGCCGGTCGGGGGCGTCCAGCTGACCCGCAGGCTGTTGGGTGACTCAGAAGCCAGGGCCAGGTTGGAGGGTGGGCTCCGGTTGCCTGAGGGGAGGGGGCTTCAGCAAAGCCAGGGCCAGAAGCCAGGGAGAGGCCCACCATGCTCTGTGCTGCACCTGGCCACGCCCCCCCCAGCCTCCTACCCCACAGCCCTGCATCCCAACACCCCTCGACCCTCCCTCCCACCCCCCCCCATGCCTGCACACCCACACCACGCCCCGCTGCCCCGAGACCTGGGACAGACAGGGCCACAGGTCAGCCCCGAGACCACCTCAGCGTCACACAGGGGGCTTGGACCCTCGGCCACCCCGGGAACACCTGCCTGGAGGGCTCAGGGAGACTCTAAGAACCCCAGCAATCAGGCCGAGGGTCGGGGACTCAGGGAGCTGCCTGTCAGCAATTCTGGGAGTTTGGGGACCTGGGATTGCAGAGCAGAGGCCATCTGGGGTCCCTAGGGCGGTGCCGGCCCCGCGTGGTGGAGGGGTCACCTACGGGGGGCGTAGCGGACGGACACAGGGTCGCTGCGGGCCCCGTCCCTGTAGTAGGCCAGGATGGTGATCTCATACTCCGCGTGCCTCCCCAGGCCGGGCAGGACGGCCGCGCCCTGGCTCCCCGGGACGGAGACCTGTGGAGAGGAGGGACCGGGAGTCGCCCTGCGGGTGGTGGCCTCATGGCGGGCGGGCAGCCCGGGGAGCGGGGCGTGGGAGGGGCTCCCCACACACACCTCGTGGGCCTTCCCGTCCCCCAGGGGTGTCCACTTGATCTGGTACACAAGCACGCCGGACGCCGCCGCCCACCCCAGCTGCACCTGGTCCCCGGGCAGCTCTGTCACCGACAGCTGGCTCGGGCTGGGGGCTTTCCCTGGGAGACAAGGAGGGTGTGAGGCTGGGGTGCCCGGGCCCAGACGGCCCCTTGGGGGCCCGTTGCAGGTTTTGCTGGCAGGGGTCACACTTGGGGCAGAGGAGACCCCCAGTCTTCGTGGTGCCTGGGCCCACATTTCCCTCCTGGAGGGGCCCCAGCTCCCAGCTCTGCCAGCACCTGGGCCCCGGGTCCCACCCTGAGGACCCTGCACGGCACCGTCACACCTGCCGGGCACCCGTCCCCAGGCTCGGGGCCGCAGAGCGGACACCTACGTGCGTGTGGATTTGAACCACCCACGGGGTGGAAGGACTCACGTGTGGTCAGGCGGCCAGTCATAGTGGAGGAACTGCCCCCGGGGTAGAGGCAGGTGACATGGACGGTGTAGGTGGAGGAGGAGGACAGGGGGCCCAGAGTGGCCGAGGTGGCGTTTCCAGGGGCCTCTGTCTGCAAGGCAGATGGGGGTCGGGGCACGGCCTGGAGCCGAGCCTTCAAGTGGGAGGGGGCAGCCCCTGCCCGGACAGAGACCCAGGCTTGGGCCTGCAGCCCGGGAATGGCCCCACGACCTCCCCCAGAGTGGGCAAAGGGGGTATGGGTCCCCCACACTGGGTAAGGGCCTCCTGGGACGCCCCCAGACCAACAGCTGCATGCCCCCCACAGCGCCTGTGCCCTGGCCTCATGGGGCTGTCATTCAAGGTCAGCTCACGATTCTGTGCGTCACACGCCCCCCGCCCCCAGCCAGGGCCCCAAGGGTGGAGACGGTGTTAGTCCTCTGTGGATCCCCGGTACCAGGCTGTGAGTGCAGGGTGGGGGCAGCTGGGGGTGCCAGGCCCCTGTGGACACTTCAGCATCCTGGACACCGGACCCCGGGGACCCACCAGGATACCACAGCTCTCACCTGCCCAGAGTGGGTGCCCTCGCTGGACACGTAGCTGACCCTGAACAGGCGCACAGGCCTCGGGGGGCCCTCCCAGGACACACGGGCCGAGTCGTGGCTCACGTCTGAGAAGCCCAGGTGTCTCGGGGGGTCCAGGGGTGCTGTAGACACAGCAGGCTTCAGGGACCAGCCGCCACCCCAAGTGTATGAGGGAAGTGTACGTAGGTGATGGCCAGGGCCACTGGGGCCACCAGGAGGGAACCCCACCCAGGGAAGGCTTGGGGAACCAGATGGCACCTCTGCCCATTGGTTGGTGGCAGACGGGGGGGGGGGCACTCACGGGTCCTGGCACGAATGGTCCGGGCCTCGCTGGCCTGTGTGCCCTGCAGGCTCCACACCCAGATGCTGTAATCTGTACCTGGCTCCAGGCTGCCCAGCAGCACCTCTGGCCGCCCCACCCGCACCTGTGGGGACAACACTCATGCTGGACCCTGCCACCGCGATCCCACCCCGTGGGCCCAGCAGCCTCCTCCACCCCCTGCCACACACCTCTCTGTCCTGCCCCTCGCCCTTCGGGGAAGCTGGTGAGCACCGCACCAGGTACTGGGTGGCCCCGGCCGCGGGCTGCCAGGTGAGGCGGACGGTCCTGGGTGTCACCATGGCCAGGGCGAGTGCCTGGGGCGGGGGCAGAGGCGCTGGAAGAGGGGGAGCCACAGGCAGGAATCATACCACAGACCAGGGGACAGAGGCTGGGGAACAGTCCCTGGGGGGCCATCCTACGGACGATTCTAAATCTCTGTCCCCAAACTACACCCCAGGCCGTTTACAGCAGACGGCGCTGGGGAGACACGGCCACCCCATGGGTTTCCATGGGTGAGCCGTGGTCCCGGGATAAGGGCCCCACGAGGAAGCCAGAGGCAACCAGCCACAGGCTGTGTGGTCCAGAGATGGCAAGGACCGACCGGGCAGGGCAGGAATAGCCGTGGGCAGGGAGAGCTAAGGGTCCAGGGTTTCTGTTCCAAAGCTGACCCATGATGGGTGCACGGTTCCGTGAACACGCTGAGCCCTCTGGGCCGTGTACTGTACATGCTGAGCACAGACACGTTCAGGGGCGGTGGCCCAGGGCGGGGGGGGGGGCTCCAGAAATGTGTGAGCTGTAACAGGAAGGGGCCCTGGTTGGCTGACGGCACAAGGACATCACTGGTCTTCAGAGGAGGACACTGAGGGTCGGAGAGGTCAGTGACTCAGCTCCGGTCTCACAGCAAGTTGAGAGTGATGCCCTCACCCGGGTTAAGACTAAGACAGGTCCCGCCAGCTGCCCCACCCACCCGTGGTCACCAGGCCCCGCAGGCCCTCGCCAACCCCCGCCTCGGAGACGGGGAACACAGACAACAGGTACTCGGTGCCGGCGGTCAGGTTGTGCAGCTCTGTGGACCAGCTGGGCCCCTCCACCACCACCTGGAACGGGAGACTGGATGGAGGTGCAGGGGGTGCAGGGGGCGCAGGGGGCGCAGGGGGTGCAGCGGGCAGGGCAGGGAGGCACTGTTGGCTCTGGCTCGGGCTGGGGTCAGTGTGACCCCCTGCGCGACCTTGTCCCTGGTCCTGGAGCAGGGCAGCTCCCTGGCACGGAGCAGCCACCCCTGCTGCCTCCCGGGCCCCCGAGGGCACCAAGGGCGTGGGCTTCTGCAGGGCGGCCGGACTCTGCCCTTTCCCCGCGGTGGCCCCGCTGTCCCCAGGCCTCCACTCCAGCCCTGACTGCCCAGAATGGGGGCCTCTCACCTCCCTGGGGGCGCCACCCCCGGAAGGCCGCCACACCACCAGGTACTTCAGCGGGGGCTGCCGGGCTGGAGTCCAGGACAGGTGGACGCTGGAGGGAGTCACCTGGGTCAGAACCAGGCCGGTGGGAGCAGAAAAGGGGTCCAGGGCAGGAGCAGCAGCTGCTGGTTTAACTGAGGGAGGAAAGGGTCAGGGTGGTCCCAGCGGCAGCTGCCATCAGGCTCCTCCTGCTCCCCCTGGCGGCCACTTGGAAGAAGAGCAGGTGTTCCCCAGGTGGGGACTGCAGACCCCCACGGAGCCATGGAAACCGGGCAGGAGAGGTTTCGGGAGGCCGCACGACCTGACCTAGCTTAGGTGACCCTGCCCTGGAGCCCCGCCTGAGCTCACCTGGGCCCGGGAGGGGGGTCCCCTGCCCTGGAGCCCCCGCCTGAGCTCACCTGGGTCTGAGCGGGGGGTCCCCTGCCCTGGAGTCCCCGCCTGAGCTCACCTGGGCCCGAGCGGGGGGGGTCCCCTGCCCTGGAGTCCCCATCTGAGCTCACCTGGGCCCGAGCGGGGGTCCCCTGCCCTGGAGTCCCCGCCTGAGCTCACCTGGGCCCGAGCGGGGGTCCCCTGCCCTGGAGTCCCCGCCTGAGCTCACCTGGGGTCCCCTGCCCTGGAGTCCCCGCCTGAGCTCACCTGGGCCCGAGCGGGGGTCCCCTGCCCTGGAGTCCCCGCCTGAGCTCACCTGGGCCCGAGCGGGGGGCCCTGCCCTGCACCTGCTGGCAGATGAGGCGGCTGAGCAGGCCGGCCAGTGTGCTGAGCTGTGGGAAGTCCTGCACGTTGTGGACGGTGATGTCCAGGGGCTGGGATGCCAGGAGCCTCAGCTCAGCCTCGTCAGCGTTCTTCACACCTGCCCACAGGGCGCGGACGCTGAGGAGGGGCCCCTCAGAGCTGTGGTCACATCTCCCAAGTCGCCCAGCGTGTTGGGGGGCCATCCCAGCCACGAACCTAAGATCCCACAGGCCCCAGGACGGGGTCACGTGGCAGGGCCCCGGGAGAGATGGCAGCTGGGGCTGGTGGGGGTGGGGTGAGATGCTCACAGCGAACTGGCCCAGCGCCCTTGCCCCCCAACTCGCGGCCTCCCCGCAAGGCCCAGGGGCTAGGGTCCCGGCTCGGGCACTGTCAGCTCCGGGAGCAGGGACGGGTCCTCCGCTGCGCAGACTCAGAGCTGTGTAGGCGGGACACGGGCACCCCCACTCCCACCTGTGCCGGGAGCTGCGGCCGCGAGGCCCACAGAGACCGGGCTGCTCACCCACAGCAAAGACCTCCACGTCCAGGCTCTTGAGGACGCGGCCAGCAGCGCGGGCGTCGTCCTGGGACTTGCCGTCCGTCACTAGAACCACCACCTTGGCCGCCTCTGGACGGGGGCCAGCCGCAGGCTTCAGGTTCTGCTCCAGCACGTGGGTCAGGGCCAGGCCTTGGGAGCAGCGAGGATGAAGCTCAGGGGTCCCCGCACCCATCCTAGCGCCTCCCGGCCCACAGCGCTCCTCTGGCCGTCAGCCCCCCTCTGGCCCTGGGATCAGCCCTGAACCCTCCTGGCTGGGGCGTCCACGGGGAGGGGACACCTCCTCCCCTGCCCTCAGAGGCACCCCACGCAGGAGACCCAGGGCCAGCACTGCACACCCTGCCAACGAGTGGCCGGTGCTGGGCTCGGAGCAGGGAGCGCCCCCTGGTGTGGGGGGCAGGGAGGAGACTGCGGTGGAGACACCCCGGGGAGCTGCCTGGGCGAGGCCACACCCACACCCATGGGAGGCCACACCCACAGGAGGCCACGCCCACAGGAGGCCACACCCACGCCCACAGGAGGCCCCTTCCAGCAGCTTCTCTCAGGAGAGCCACCCACACTCAGCAAGACCACCCCCCAGAATCCACATTCTCGCCAAACAGAACGGAAGGAGACTTCCATCCACGGAGGTGAGAGTGGGGTCGCCCCTCCCCCCCGCACACAAATGTGCAAGTGCGGGAAGGGCCGACCTGTGGACAGCGTGAGGTTTGGGGCGCAGGGTCGGGGCAGACCTGTGAACGTGTTTCCCCCTCTGTAGCGGAGGCTGCGCACAGCTGCCAGCACCTCCTCCTTGGTGCTGAAGGCGTTCAGGTCCCACTCGGTCTGGGGGTCCCCACTGTACTGAGTCAGGCCTGGAAGGGCGGGTGCCGGGCGTGGTTGCTGGAGTGTGGAGGGGGCAGGAGGCACAGCCTGGCTTCCCGGGGTCATGGGGTGGGGGGCATGCTCACAAAGCCCCTGCTTTCCACACAGTCCCCAACCTGCCCCAGGACCCAGCTGCCCCTCCCTCCAGCTGGGAACCCCACCTGGCAGCTCAGGACATACCCATCAGCAGAACCCCTCCTCTGCCCTCTGACCCTCTTCTCCCCAAACGCACCGGGGCTGGGGAGAGACTAAGGACCACGGGGCGGGGACGCAGGGCCGGGGGCCAGAACCCACCTACTTGGACTCTATCCGGCCCGATTTCGAAGGGCTCGATGACGCTGGCCAGGAAGTCTTTGACCTGCTGGAAGTGACTGTGGCCGATGCTCCAGGACCCGTCCACCAGGAAGATCATGTCCGTGGGGGTGGGGGGCATGCAGCGGAACTGGGGGCCGGCTGGGCGGCAGGGAGGGAGGCGAGGTGTGGGCAGGGCCCCACGATGCTTGGGGCTGGGCTCCAGCACCCAGGACCCCTTCCCTGGAATGTGGGGGCCCACGGGCTCCTGCTTCCACGTGAGGCTGAGTCTGGGGGGGGCAGGGACTCTAGAGGGGTTCAAGACTCGTCAGACTCAGAAAAGCCCATGTGGACCGTGGTCCATGGGGCCCGCCCCTCCAAGCCTCGGAAGAGGGCTAATGAAACGCCCAGGTCCTGCACCTCTGTGCTCCAGAAGCCTCGGCGGGGTGGCCACCCTGGTGGTTGTGTGAGGGCTGCTATTCGAGGCCCACCCTCCCTCCCCAGGGGCTGACACCCAGGCCCAGCGGCAGAGGCTGCCCGAGGTGGGGCCCACAGGGGTGGGGGGTCAGCACGACAGCTCCATGGGGCCCTCTCTGGGCTGAGGCCCCTCCTTTGGGGACCCAGGAGCTCTCCAGAGACAAAGCCCCGCTCCCCGCCTGGGGTCTGGGGCCCCCTGAGTTGTGTACAGAGACGGTGCCTCCAGGCTGAGCCCAGAGTAAGGGTCAGATGCCATGTGGAGGCCCCTGAGAAGGCAGGTGTAGGGAGACCTCACCTGATGGGGGACCCCCAGCCCTACCCACGGGGCACAGCGCACCTGCCCCGTCCCCCGCCAGCCCACGGAAGCTGCTGCCCCGGCAGTCTTACCTGGCTCCTCTCCGTGTCCCACGGATGTCCTGGTGTGACTCTGCTCCTCTGCGCCAGGCTGAGCAGGGGCCGTCCCCTTGGGGCCTGTGGGGGGGCTCTGCTCCTCGTCGGGCACTCCTGGGGTGGTCACAGCTGTGTCACCTCCCACCTGCTACACTCAGGCTGAGGGACACCTGCGGGGGTCAGGAGTGGTGGGACCGGGCACCCCAGGGGACGACCTGCCCCTGTGGGTTTAGTGAGCCTCAGAGAGTGGCCACAAGCTCGAGTTGAAACCAGAGACTGCGGTCAGAGATGAGCAAGAACCTTCTGGCCACACGCAGAGAAAATGTGAGACACTAGACCACCTCTCTCCCCAGCAACTCACCCTCATCCCACTTGGGCCCATCCAGAGCGGGCCGGTCTCGGCTTGGGTCCAAGGTGACTCGGGGTTCAGGCTCTGAGCTCCCCACGTGGGAGGGTGTGGGCTCCAGGGCTGTCCCTGGGGGCCTCTGGCTGCTCCTGCTCACGGGGTGGCCCTTCAGCTCCTCAACTGCAGCAGACAGGGGAGTCGGGACCCAGCAGGGAGGAGCAGCGGCCTGGGGGCTGGGGTGGGGGCTGGGGGGTGGGGGGTGGGGCCTGCATGCACAACCCTCCCTGCAGGGCACATCCTGGGCTCTGTGGGACCCGGCCTAGCCCTGACGAGACAGGAGAGGTGTCAGGAGTTATAAGCAAGGCCCCTGGGCGGCCACATGGGGAGCGGAGCTCACACCCAGGCCCAGGGCACCCAGGGCACCCGAAGGTGTTGCCAGGGCTCCGCTCCGGGCTCCTTGCCACACACTCTCCAGGAGCTGGACTCGGTGGGAACAGTGGACTTACTGACAAAGTCCCTCCGCACCAGCAGGGCGTTCCCCGAGCCCGTGAGTGTGAAGATCTGCAAGGTGTACCCCTTCGAGGGGCTCAGGCCCCCCACCGTGGCCTTGGGGGTCTTGGTGGTCAGCATCACCTCCTGCTCCGAGTCCCCTGGGGTGGGGTTGGGAAGGGCTGTTGAGGTCAGCAAAGTGTGTGTGTGCACGTGTGTGTGTGCCCACATGGGTACTGCGTGTGTGTGCATTCATGTGTACATGTGTATCGGGTGGTGAAGTCCTCCAGGCTCCTCCTGGTCCCACACACACACCGCCCTGCTCGGCGCCCACACCCCACCAGGCCTCGGGGACCCTGGGTCCTGGCGTGTGAGCATCAGCTGTGCTCATACTCACCCCGTCTGTCCCAAAGGCTGTCATTGCTTTCCTCCGACCCCCTCCGGTCCCACCCCACCTGTCCCCACCTGCTCCGTGCAGCCGGAGCCTTGGACCCGAGAATGAAGCCCCCTCCCCGGAGCCCCGCAGTCTCAGGCCGAGCACATCTCCGGGGCAGAGCGGGCGACGTCCCACCGAGCGGCGTCAGTGCGTCAGCTCAGCCAGCGCTGCCTTTGCCGTGGCCGTGACCCCAGAACACCCTGCCCGCCCGCAGCGCCAGGCCTCACTCAGAGCTGGCAGCACCCCTGCTGCCAGGACAGTCCTGAACCCGGACGAGGCCTGAGAGCGGCAGGGAGGGCCGGGGAGACGGAACAGGCGGGACAGAAACCTGGAAGACGGCAGATGTGAACCCACACGGATCGGTGATCGAATGTAACGGAAATGGGAAAGAAGTTTCAACGGAAAGGCAAAGTCTGTCTCGCTGGGGAAAAGCCACACCAGCGCTATGCCCCTTGGAAGACGCAGCTAAAATGAGGAAAGGGTCAGAAAAGATCTCGCCGGGCCAAGGCGATGGCAGAAGATGGGCTATCAGAGAGGAAACCAGGACCCCACCTTCACACAGGGAGGCAGCCTGCTGGGAAGACGTAGTCGAAATGTGTGCTCACCGAACAGCTGCCTCAACATATAAAACAGAGACAGAGAAAGACGCAGCTACACCCTCAGTAACTGAGCAGGTGAGCAGACCAGACGTCAGTAAAGATACCAGGGAGACCGGCAGCACAGCGGAAAGACAACCTACAAAGAGTCTCGGGTTTGATTCCAGTCAAGGGCATGCACCTCGGGTGCGGTTTGATCCCCGGCCCTGGTCGGAGTCATGTGGGAGGCGACCAATCAATGTGTCTCTCTCACATCAATGTCTCTCCCTCTCTCCCTCTCTCCCACTCTATCTGAAAATCAGTGGGAAAATATCCTCCTGTGAGGATTTAAAAAAAAAAAGGAACTCATACAAATCAATAGCAAAAAAAAAAAAAAAAAGCTCCCAAATCATCCCATTTAAAAATGGACAAAAACCTGAATAGACATTTCTCCAAAGAGGACATACAGGTGGCCAACAGGTACACGAAACGAGGCTCAATGTCACTAATCATCAGGGAAGTGCAGACTGAAACCACAGTGTGGTACCACCTCACGCCTGTCAGAATGGCTGCCGTCAATACATCAACAAGCAAATGCTGGGGAGGACGTGGAGAAAAGGGGGCCCTGGTGTACTGCGGGTGGGAATGCAGACTGGGGCAGCCTCTGTGGGGAACTGTATGGAGACTCCTAAAAATTAAAACTGGGCCCGGCCGGTGTGGCTCAGTGGTTGGGCATCGACCCCTGCACCAAGAGGTCACTGGTTCAATTCCTGGTCTGGTCACATGCCCAGGTTGTGGGCCCGATCCCCAGTGGGGGGCATGCAGGAGGCAGTCAATTTGTATTCTCTCTTATCAATGTCTCTCTCTCTCCCTCTCCCTTCCTCTTTCTAAAATTAATAAAGAAAAAAAAATTGTTTTAATTAAAAATGGAACTGCCCTGGGACCCAGCGATTCCATTTCGGGTATTCACTCAAATGAAACTAAATAACTATCTCGAGAAGACATCTGCATCTCCGCGGTCACCGCAGCCTTGTGGCAAGAGCTGACGTCACTTACAATTCGCCCCCCCGAGGAGATGTGACCTGCGCACAGGGGAATGTCACTCGGCCACAGAAACGAGGAGACCCTCCAGTTTTCAGAACTCAGCGGACCTTGAGCTGAGGGAACTGGGTCAAAGGCAAGTGCCGGTGGTCTCACTTCTAGGTGGAATCCAAGAACCAAGCAACACTCACAGAGGCAGAGCTGGGGCTGCGGATGCCAGAGGGTGTGGGCAGGGCTGGAGGGGGTCAAAGGTACAGACCCCAGAGTCAGGGCTGCAGAGGGATGTAAGGTACTGAAAGCTGGCTGCGGCTGACCCTGGCCTAGGAGTCCCGGACAAGTGGTTCGGGAAGGAAGTTCTCTCTTTTCATCACAAGGAAACACTGTTTTGTTTTGTTGCGTCTGTGAGGGTGGATGGCGCCCACGCTACTGTAACCATGTCACTATGCATGTGAACAGCCACCGGTAGGCCTTTAGCTGGCCCACCCGACAAGTGTCAGTTATTTCCCACTAAACCTGGGAAAGGTGTAAAAGATTTGAAAAATCTTAAAATTAAAATATTAGAAAGTGACACCCAAGTCGAACGGGTTCTTCTTGAGAGCAGAGGGAGGGGCGATCGGGAATGGGGTGGAGGGGGCCCGGACAGGCTGCTTCTCACCCCCAGGTCAGCTCGGGCCCCGCATCCCTGTCCTGTCCCTGTAAGCACACGCCTGCCTGTGAGCTGTCCTTCGGGTGTTTAGGACGCGTGACCAGCCGTGTCTGCGGGCGCTCTGGTTGGCCTGCTCAAGGCCTTCCAGGACCCAGGGTCTCCCTCCCGGACCTGGAGGGCTCTACCCTGGAGCAGGGACCCACTGTTTCTTCCAAAGTCAGTGATGGGGCCCCTTCTGCAAGTGCTGGGCTCTGGGTGGGGGGAAACGTGATTCTCCGCCAGGTGCCCCTCAGCAAGGAAGGCGGAAGCACACAGACGGGGGTGCCGAGACGCAGGATCAGGCTCAGCCCGGCCCTGCAGCACCGCACGGTCCATCCTCAGCGGAGGGGGAGCCACGGGGCCCTACCTGCCATGGGCTTCACCTGCACCAGGTAACCAAGGCTCCGCCCTTCTGACTCCGTCCACTTCATCTGCAGCCGGTCCTCGGGCAGCACAACTAGCTTCAGGCGGCCGCTTGCTGGGCAGACAGGACGGTGGTCAGGACTGACCTTCAGTGACCACCCCAACAGCTGGGAGGGGCCAGGGACCTGCTCTGAATGGTGTGAGGAGGCCTTAGCCCTACTGGGGGGAACTTGAGGAGATGAGGCCCTGCCTAGGGCTGAAGGGGGACCGGGCCCCCCTAAGGGTCCAAGGCACCAGGGCTCCCCCCACTGGCTCTCTGAAGGGTGTCCCTTTTCCCAGGCCGAGGGAGGCCCAGGCCAGCACCCCATGGATGCAGTAACAGCCTTGCCAGGCAGTTGGGGCTCCAGGGCCGCCCGCCCGAGTCTGAGTGGGAGGGCGGTATGAGGAGCCGCTGTGTGGCTGTTGCAGACCCCCAGCCGCCGAGGTCACAGCTGGGTTCACACAGCTCCATGGGGTGGCGCACCCTGAAATGTGAGCATACCGTGGGGAGCGGGGGTGCTGTAGGGGCAGGGGTCCCCTGGGGGGTGGCTGTCTTGGAGGATGGGGGGCAGAGGGGGCCTGACCTCCCAGGGAAGCTTCCGGAGCTCCCTGGTGGGAGCAGCTATTTTTGGAAAATGAAGACAGAGATGGGCTTCTTCTGGCCGCCCCACTGAGAGCAGGGGTGATCGGGGAGGAGGCGGAGGCTGGGGGCGCCAGGGGCAGACACAATGCCGGCCTCAGAGCAAGAGGCAGCTGAGCCTGTGTCCGGGTGGCCTGGCTGCTCCCCGGGAGCGTGGGGCTGAAAGGCAGGAATGTCTGGGGTGGAATGACTTTGAAAAGCCACTTGTGAGCAGGGGCCCGGCACTGGCTCAGGAAGGGCCTTCTGAGTGTCACTGCCCTGACCTGCTGCCTCTGGGGTCCCCACACTGGGGGTCTAGGCAGGGCACTGCAGACAGCTGGGGCACCCCCTCAAAACGGCCATGTTTGGGGAAGGGCTGCCCACCCAGGGTCTGCCCAGAGCCTGCAGGGACCTGGTGAGGGGCCTCCCGGTGTGTGAGCCCTGGACTCCGTTGTCATGGGGTCACTTAGTGACTCGACCCCACCTTGGGGTGGTCCTGTCAGAACCACAGGGACCCAGGGACCTGGCCAGGCGGCAGGTGCCGACCCGGTGCAAAACCAAACAGAAGACACACCACAGAAATAAGAAGGCAGGTCGGCAGCCCGCTGGTCTGGCTGTGAGCACCCCAAGCAGAGGCGCCCTAACAAACGTGACGTTGGCCCTCAGCTGTGTCCACGAAGTGCAGCTAGCACAGTGCCCTCAGTCACTCAGTGGAGCCGGGGCGCCCGGGGCCTGCACCACGGGGGCAAAGCAGGGCCCCACAACCAGAGCCTCCGTCCCCGGGACACAGACCGCCGCCGGGGTCTCTGACCCAGCTTTCCTGGGACAAGCTCAGCCAAGACATGTCCCTTTTGGGGTGTCGCAAACAACCCTGCAATGGACGTTACCCCGAAAGGGAAACAGGGCAAAGACCCCACAGGACGCGGTCGGATTGAAGGCGCGACCAGAGCCCGGCCACGTGAGGGGCTGGAGAAGCTCCGTGGACTGTGGCCCCCAAGCGCCTCGAGGAGCTGGGAGGTGCTCCGAGCCAGCGCCCGCGAGGCGAGGGTGCCACTTTGCTGCAGTCTGAGAAGAGGCGTCCAGGGAATAATGAACAACAAAACGGGAATGTGAGAAGATTAAGTGCAGAGTGTTAATAGCTGTTTTAAAAGCCAACCAGGCCCCGGCCAGTTTGGCTCAGTGTTTGGAGCATTGGCCTGTGGACCAGAGAGTCCTGGGTTCGGTTCCCGCTAGGGGCACGTACCAAAAAAAAAAAAAAGCCAACCAGAAAACAAGCCTCCCCACCCCTTGTCCTTACCTTGTCTCTGGCTGAGTCCCAGGGTGACACCCAGCCACAACCAGAGGCAGGCCCCCCGGCGGGGGCACAGGCGGGCACTCATGGTGCTGGGCTGGGAAGGAGAAGCCGCTCAGCCTTCTACTCGTCTGCTCCCGACGGCAAAGCAGGAGCTTCTCCGTCCACGCCCCTGGGCCGGGAGCTGAGCCCCAGCTGTCCCACGTCCAGGTGTGGACACCCCAAACGCTGCCCCCCATCCACGTGGGCCATGCCTCCTGGAGCAGAGGCCAGCTGCCCCTCTGCCACACCCCCACCTCTGTCACAGCATGGTCCTGCCTCGGCCACTCACTGGTCACAAGGGACGGCCTCCTGGCAGAGCCAGAGGTGGGACTCAGGTCCTGGGGGAGCCCTCTGGGGTACCCTCCCTCCCGAGCTGCCTCGGGACCTCTGCTGAGGGTTCAGTTCAGGCTTTCCAGTCCCCACCGCCTCAGCCCAGCCTCAGCCAGAGCAGAGTGGCCAGGGCGGGCATGCCCTCCACTGCCGAGTGCATGGGGTCTGCAGTCTGTGAAGGGGCTAGTGGGCTATGTGGGTGCTGGGTGCCTGGACCCTCCAGACCCTTCCCTCCCCAGACCTGGCCTGACCAGGGGGACTCCCTGCAGGGCACAGAGCCCTCTATCCACCCCAGGAGCTCAGCTCCTCCCCACCCTTTCTGAAAGGTCAAGGTCATCCTCGGATCAAAGCCCTGGGCGGATCCCTGGGGTGCTCCTCATCCACCCAGCCTCCAGGACAACCGGCCAGTCACCCACCTGCTCAGTCCTCTCCGCCTGCGGCAGCCACAGGAAGCCCAGGGCTTATGAGGGCCCTTCCCCCCGCCAGCCCCGCCCAGCCCCCCCCTCTCCACCCTCCCCTCTGCTGCCAGGAGGTCCCTCCAAGACGGGGGCACAGAGGTCCCAGTGTAAAGGACCCATCTCCTGGGGGGGCCCCACACGGTGGGGTACAGACTGACCCAGGTCTTTTATCCCTCACTTCACAGGGTCTACCCCAAAGAGGGGCCTAGGAACAAAGACCACCACGGGGGGCCCTGGACACTAGATGTGGGTGAGGGGCACTGGGGTTCTTTGGCAGCTTGGGGGCAGCCTGGAGCAGCACCTGGATCCCTCCCCAGTCCTCCAGCATCACCCTCAGCGTCAGGACCCCAAACCCGAACCTCCAGGTCTGTGCATGGTCCCTGTGCCCAGCCCGCACCCACCCGGCTCTGCCCGGACGCCCTGTGCATGGGCTGTGCCTGCCCCTCCTACTCAGGCTGCAGCCTCAGCCCAGCCTCCGCGCCCTCCCAGCCCACCCTGACGGCTGATGCCGACGGCCCACAGCCTGGCAGATGTGGTCCCCGGGGGGTCAGTGCCTGCCCCGGGCCCCACCCCTGCCCAGGTAGTTGAGGGGTGGGTGGACATGATTTCCGGGTGCCCTCAGAGACCACTCTGGCCCTGCTCTGGGTTCAGCTTCTGCAAGCAGAAGAGTTTTGGGGGGAGGTGGACACAGGTTAAAAGGAGTGAGGTTCGGTGGAGGCTGGGGTGCATGGGGGTTCAGTGGGTTAAGGTCAGGGCTGGCCCTCCCAGAGCCCCGCCTTGCCCTGCTGGCCACCGTGGCCCCAGGCCTGGACGAGGAAACCGCAGCCGGGAGCCAGCTTCGCCCCAGGTCTCCGAGCCCCTCCTGCCAGCATCGGGAGCCCAGCCTTGCCCCCTGGTGGTTGGTGCTCCTCCGGCCAGGACATGCCTCGGGGCAACAGGAGCCCTGGGACCCGACTGAGCCTGGGAGCCGCCCAGCCTGAAGGCCAGGGCATCGAACCCGGACACTGCAGGGCTGAGCTGCGGGGCGTGGGGGCGTCCTGGGACCCCTTTGGTGACGAGGGCCCTGCAGACCCAAGCAGCGGCCAGCAGAGGGCGGTGGCGGCCACAGCGCAAACGGGGCTCCGGCACTCGGGACAAGCACGGACATGGGGGCTCACAGGCAGCCGGCTGAGGTGCCGCCCACCACACCCGCGAGACCATCCATTCTTCGCTGTACCCTGCCCACGGCTCGCCTGTGTGCCTGCCCCGGAGCCCGTGCCCAACAAGCCCGAAGACCACAAGCAGTGCTGGGCCTCAGCCCGCTCGGGCTGCCCAGGGCACAGCCAGGAGAGGGCGGGACAGTCAGGCATTGGCCTCGCTGAGCAGTCCTGTCCTGGAGGCCCCACGGCAGTCCACGCCCTGGTTGTCACAAGCAGGAGGCCAGAGCCCCCGCAGCCCCCGCCGTGGGGAGCAGCCCCAGGAGCCCTAGTTCTGACCTGGAGGGAGCCGGCTGGGAGTTGAGCAGAGCCCTGCCCTCCCTCCGGTGCCGGCCCTGGCCCAGGTGTGGGGCGCAGGAGGGGCCTGCTGGCAGGGTCTGGTGTGCAAGGCTGAACAAAGGTGGAAGGGGGGGGGGGGACTAGCTCTAGGAAAGTTCCAGAAAGGGAGCAAAGCTGGGCAGGGCTTGGCCTTGAAGTGTCTGCAGGGCAGAGGCCCCCAGTCAGCCTGGCCTTCGGGAGGTGGCCTCCAGGGCGGGACTGGGGCCGAGGGCAGCTTCAGAGTAGGGTCCAGTCTCCCACCCAGCTGGCCAGTGCAGGCGGGTGGTGCTGGGACTCAGCCAACACTGGACGGCAGGACGGCCCCACCCAGGACCCCTGCCCCATCCACTGCCTTGGACCTGAGGCCACAGGAAGACACAGCCCCCTCCAGACGGCTCTCTGGCACTTCCTGTGTTCCAGACGGGCCGTGAGGCACTGGCCTGCCATCCTCCCTGACCACACTGAGCTCCCTCCCTGAACCGTCCAGGGCGTGCCGGGGGCCAGCGACCAGCTCAGAGGGCAAGGCGGCCTCAGGCGCTGCCCCTGCTCGGGCGGGTGGGGCACAGTCCCTCGTGGACCACGGGCCGGGGCAGCGGGGGCTCAGTGCGGCTGAGACTCGGCGCCTTCTCTTCAAGTAGGGAGCCAGGAGGTCACGCTCACGGGCAGCACATCACATCAGACACGGGGCAGCACGTCACATCACGTCACGTCACGGACACTGGCTGCGTGCAGCCTGGGGAGGGTTTATTAGCGGGTGCAGCCGGCTTCCCGCAGCGGCAGGGCCCTGCCCTCCTCTGCACCTGGAACCCAGGCGGGTGGACACTGGACAAACACTGGACACTGGGCAGCAGGGCAGCGGCCCGGCCTCTGCCTGCCGCTGCCGTGAAGAGCGAGCCCCATGCGCTGAGCCCCACGTGGCAGGCGGCGCCACCCCGAGTCACGCCCAAGCCTGTGTCCGGCCCCAGCGGGCTCCTGGGGACGGAAGGTGCGGGAGGACGCGGCGTGCAGACAGGGTGCGGCCCAGGGCCGGGCCGGGCGCCTACCAGTCCTGGGTGTCCCAGCCCTCGTCCACCTGCGCGGCCCGCGGAGCGGCCTTCCTGGAGGCCTTGGGCCGGCCCTCCCCGCCGCCCCCCCAGGCCTCCCCGCCATCGCTGTTGTCGCTGTTCCTGTGGTTGGAGGCGGAGCCCGAGCCCCACACGTCCCAGCTGTCCGAGCTCCGCTTCTCCGCAGACGCGTCGGCGCAAGTCCAGCTGTCGCTGCTCGGGGACCGGTGGGCCTTGGCGGGGTCGGCGCTCCCGAAGGTCTCCCAGAAGCTCTGGTCGATGGCGCTGTTCTGGGAGTTGTCCCCTCCGCTGTTCTGGTAGCTCTGGCCCTCCAGGGGTCTGGGAGAGAGGGGGGCTCTGAACAGCTGCTCCCCAAGCGCCTCCCCGGAGGACAGGCCCCAGAGCTGCCCCCCGCCCAGAACCATCTTTCTCTCCGGAGCAGAGACCAGCTCAGTGTGGCTCCAGGGCCCGCTGGAGGGACGGACCGACCTGCGCCAGAGCCCGCGCCCCCTCCCCACCCAGACGGAGATGCTGGAGGAGACGGAAACCCAGAGCACTGAGCCCCGCCCTGCACTGTCCAGATGACCAGCCCAGGACAAAGGCCGCCCCACCCGAACAGCCTCAAGAGACCCTGGGAAAAGCCCAGGGAAGGGCCGTGTCAGGACGGATCTGGCACACCTGTCCGAGGGGTCCTCTGCTCTCCCAGAAAAAAAGGTGGTGACGTCCCGCCAGCCCTTGCTGCCAACTCCCTGGACCTGGAACAAGATGGGGACACAGCTCGACCCAGTCCCAGTGCCAGGGACACGGAGCACAGGAACAGCCTTCTGCTCAAAGCCCCGGCAAAGCTCCGAAACTCAGCAACACAGCCAACCCTGCGTCACCACTCACTCAAACGGGGTCTGCTGGCAGGTGCCGCCAGGGGACAGCGAGGACCATGGCCCTCAGGGACAGGAGCTCACTGGCCGGCACAGGAACAGCCACCCCCCACCCCCACCCTGGTGGTGAGGCGGAGACGAGCGTCCCCAGCTGGCCCAGCAGCCGACACTCACCAGGGAAGGTCAGCGGCAGCAAGAACAGAAGGAAGAGAGCGACAGGTCAGCGGCTGTGCAGCCCGAGGCCGTCTCCACAGCCCGGGTGCCGGCACCAAGCCCCTGCCCGCCCTCCTCACCTCCAGGGCAGGTGCAGCCTGGGGCACTCGGCCCAGAGGTGACCTGGGCACAGCGCACCAGCCCGCAGCCCGGGTGCCGGCACCGGGATGAGGAGACTGGCCCCAGCTGCGCCCGCATGTCGGCGGGCGCCCTACCTTGGACGCCAACTGAGAGACCCCACTGGACACGTCATCAAAAATCTTTCCCTCCTTCACCTGCGTGGGTTGAACACTGTCGTCACCCAAAGGGCAGCAGCCCACCACCAGCACTGACAGGACAACGCCCACCACAGCAGCTGGGCGGGGAGCCGGCTCCCTGCTGTGACCCCCACCCCAGAAGTGACGGGGAAGCGTGGGGAGCCAGTGGCATTCTGCCCCACGCTGGTCTAACACTGTGTCCTCCGGTGGCCTCTGCATCTCCCACGCCCTCCCGAGGACAGACGGCACGGCCCACACCCCAGCCCGAGTGCTTCTGCCCAGTCTGGGCTCCTCCATGCTGCCAGTTCCCGGAGGACACTCTGAAGCAGAGCATGGAACACGGACATGTGGGGGGCACGTGGGGACATGGGGGAACCACGGGGAGCACACAGGGACACGGACACGAAGACATAAACACGAGGAGCACACGCCGTGCACCAGCTCCCAGGACAAGGCCCCGGGAGACAGGAACAGCAGGCCCGAGGGCCCGAGGTCGAAAGGGCGATGCTACCTTCTCCTGGGCAGGCTTGAGGACGTTCTCATTCAGACTGTGGCCCAGCTCCGATGCCTGTGTGAAGGGCAGGGGCAGGAGAGGGAAGCTGAGGGGATCCCGGGCACCATGCTCACCCCAGGACGAGGGTCAGCACAGCAGCACCAGCAAGCCGCCCACCAGCACACAGGGCGCCACCCTCACAGCAGCTGCGCCAAGGTGGCTCCGAGCACCCCTGCCCCAGAGGCCGGGCCCGCTGCCCCAGGCTATGCGGTCGTCCAGGAGGGACCCAGGGTCGGCACGCACCCTCGGCCGGCCCGCCCGCCCGTCCAGCCGTCATCTCCAGGGGCTCCCCCAGCGCCCAGGGGTCCTGTCTGGTGGGGACAGCCTGTGAGCCAGCGCAGGTCACAGACACTCCCAAGGGGCGCAGGGGTGCGTGTTCAGCAGCCCAGCTGAGCCCCACCTGCCCTCCCACGGGCACTCGGGAGCGGGCTGGAGGGCAGGGAGCGGCCGGAGACTGATCGGGTGGGGGCAGGGCTGGGATGGCGGGGCCACGGACAAGGGCTCCGAGTCGTGCTGGCCCCCACAGCACGGGTGTGAGGGCTTTACTTCCAGGACAAGCCACCTCTGCTGTTTGGTTCAAGGCAGTGACACCGTGAAAGTCCTGCCAAGTCGCCCCAGGGGCTCCTAGGCCATCAGCGCCCACTGTATTCTGGGCCAGAGGAAGCGCAGGTCCCCAAGCAGCGTGCACGGGCCACACAGAGCGGCGAGCAGCTCTGAGCGCGAGCACAACACGCGGACACGAAGCGGGCCCAGCAGACGAGGCAGCATGCGGAGGGCTGACGCAGGCCTTACCAGCTCTGGCTGCTGCTTGGAGCCCCAGAACTTGACCCAGCAGCACAGAGACAGGGGAGAGAGGAGAGAGCAAGGCAGTAGAGCACGGGCACCCCAGAAACACCTCGACTTATGGCACCAGCATCACCCCAACAAGCCCCAAAGTGACCTCAGAGCCTCCTTCCCTGCCGCTGAACCTGACTGATTTCCACTCCCAACTGACCACCGGCAGAACCGGGTGCGCGAGGGTTTCAGGGGCCCGCAGTGGGGGCTCAGAGAGAAGTAGAACAGGGGTCCCCCACGGGTGGGGAGAAACCACCCCACCTCACTCAGGGCCTGGAACAGCCCTGTGGCCGCTGCCTCGAGTCCTGCTCCCAACCCTGGGAGGACGGACCTGCACAGAGACCTGGCACCTCCTGGGGACTGCAGGGGCCACGAACAGGGTCTGAAGAAAACAGGGCTGAGGCCCGAGACGCCCGCCTACAGGAAGAGGTGGCGCTGACCGGCAGAGATCAGCTCCAGTCCCGAGAAGGTGCCAGTTCCGCAGCTCAGCCCAGCTCCAGCGACGCTGAGCCTCCCTCCCGGTGGTGCCAGCCGCCTGCCTGTCTGCCTGACCAGGAGGCTCTGCACAGCGGCCTCGTGGCCGCCCGGCACCCGGTGCAACGGACGGGATGTCTCGGCCCCACAGCCCTAAGCGGGTGCAGCCTCTTACCCTGTCTGCCAAACCCGCAGGCCCCTGAAGTAACGTGTGCTGCCGCGAGCTTGGGAGACAAACCCACACACGGCCCGTCAGTACCCAGGCCACACACAGCACTGTCCCCTCCCCCAGCTCCGGGCTGAGGAGGCACCCCAGGGCACCCCAGACGCCTGACGGGATGTCAGACCAGGAGTGACAGAGCTCAGGCCTCAGAAGCCCCCGTTACCTTTTGACTGGCCTGGGATCCGAACTTGGTAGCCTGAAAGAGAAACGAAGGGCTTGCTATGGTCCTCAGTGGCCGCCATGCATCCCCCTGGGCGCGGACGCCGCCCCGCGGCCAGCCTGCCGATGCCACCAAGGCTCCAGTGCTCGCCCTGCGGTGGTCCCAAGGGCTGAGAGCTGCCCAGCACACCAGCCCCACTGAAGAGAGGCTGGTGGGGGTGGGGCGCCCCTGCAACCCCTGGGCAACTGTCCTATTAGCTCTGGGATGCAGGACCCCCACCAGCGGGGGCGCCGCCCCAATCCCACCTTCAGTGTCATTCCCACAGCCCAGCCCACGCAGCTGCCCTCCGGGATGCCACTCACTTTGCCCGGCACTCCCATCACTATCCTAACAGGAGAGCCTGGCCGCACATTCCAGCTGAAAGGTGCCTGGAGCCCCCCGGCCACAGCCCCTTCAGAGACGAGGCCCTGAGAGAACCGGCAGAGGCCATAGGGCTAAGGGGTGGTGCTCCAGGGGCGGGAGCCCCTCAACTCCGGGCTCCTCCCAGGGCCTCCCCTGCAGGCCGGCCAGGCTGTGCGTCCGGGGCAGCGATGCGGAGACGGTACTTACACCTTCCTTAGCCACAGAGGCGAACTTGCTGGCTCCAGTGGTGAAGCTGCTCCAGCCCTGGAAGGAGCAGGGCCGCGTCAAGACTCCACCCGGACGCCTACCGACCACTCTGACCCACCGCCCTGTCCACCTCCCAGGAGGGCTGACCACCTCCAGCCCGACAGACAGGAAGAACTTGGAAGAGCCAGGCCTGGACCACAGGGTGGCGCCCTCTCAGGGGGGGAGGAGCTAGCACCCACCCAGGGTGGGCCACCTGGGCTGCTGCAGCCGCTGCAACCTGTCTCTTCTGTCTGAGCTCCAGGTTTCCCGTGGAGCCTCCAGAACAAACCTAGACTACTTAGGAACATAAACACCTGACTGAATTCAACCAGAGCCTTTCACTCCTGAAGAAATGCAAAAGGCCGTGCACGCAGGAGACACTCGGCCCGCTCAGGTACCTACAGGAGGCTGGGACACCTCTGCAGGTGGCGGCTTGCTCCCCCACAGCAGGCTTCCAGCCACAAAGCTGCGACCAGGCCCCAGAGACCCAGCCGAGACGGGCGATGGGTGGTTAGAAATAACTGAGAAGTTGTGCCCTGGCCAGTTCGGCTTAGCAGCTGGAGCGTGGGCCTGCGGTCCAGAGAAACCCAGGTTCGGTTCCTGCTGAGGGCATGTACCTCGGTTGCAGTTTGTCCCCGGCCCTGGTTGGGTCGTGAGGGTGGCAGCCACTCGATGTGTCCCTTTCACATCAATGTTTCTCTCTCTCTCCCTCTCACTCTATCTGAACAAAAAATGGAAAAATGTCCTCAGATGAGGATTAAAAAAAAAACTGAGAAGCTGCCCCCTTTGGAAGCAAGTGTGCACAGGGCAGGACGGAGAAAGGGGCAGAGTGAACCGCCTGCCACGCCTGAGTCAGGATCCCAAAGGAAAGGCCGGGGCCCTGGCCAGTGTGGCCCAGCGGTTAGAGCGTCGACCTGCAGACCAATGAGTTGTAGGTTTGATTCCGGTCAAGGGCACGTGCCTTGGTTGCAGTTCGGTCCAGGCCCTGGCTGGGGTCGCGTGGGAGGCAGCTGGCCGATGGCTTTCTCACATCGATTCTCTCTCTCTTCCCCACTCTATCTGAAGACAAACGGAAGAACACCCTCGGGCTCCCTCCAGCTTCTTCACGCCACGCGGCGCCGCTGTGGCCGCCCTGCGGTGGCTCCGCTTCCACCCTTGCTTCCTGCACTTGGCCCTTCGAAGACCCTGTCCCACCACCTGGCCAGGCCTCGGGTATTTCAAGTTTCCCATCACATGACGCAACGCCGCTTTTTAAAAACAGCGCAAGTTTCCTCGGAACACAGTGGTTTGACCCGGCGCGGCCGAGGGCAGGCCGGGACCACGCGTGGCTGAGGGTGCCGACCCCAGAGGACGCCGGGCTTATGCTGCTTGGACCCGTCCCCTCTGCCACCAAACCATCTTTCCGGCTGGCCAGCAGAGCAGCAAGAGACCCGACATGGGCTGCGTCAGGCGGGGCCTGCACCCCCGGGGAGAGCCGGCCACACAGGTCCACAGGGGACACCTGTTCTTCGGAGGAAATGCGCCTTGTTGACTTGAAATGTGTGTTTGTGCCGAAGGAACTAAGTGAGTGACAGCTTGGAAGCTGAACGACACAGCAGACGTCTGGGGAGGGGAGGAGAGGGGAGGGGAGGGGAGGGGGGACCCGCTCAGACTGCCCCGGGCCGGCCTCCGCTCCAGGAGGCCCTGGGTGCTCGGACGCGGGTGCACTCTGGCAGGACGGCGGGCTCACCGAGTACAGGGACGACATGGCGCTGTTGAGGAAGTCGTCGTCCTTCTTCGGAGGCGGCACCGTGTTCCCAAACCCCACGTAGCGGCTCTCCTGGGCCCTGACAAGGAAGCACAGCCACCGCGCTGCTCACTGGGGCCCCCTGCTGCCCGGCCAGGGAGCGCCACACGGCAAGGTCCCGGCCAGCTCAGGGACAGCAGGAACGTCCCAGCACTGTACCCAGGCCCCGGTACCACTCATCACCAGCCAGGCAGAGCCCAGCACAGAGGCGTGTCCTTCCCACTCAACACTGGGCTCCTCCCCACTCCAGACCCCATTCACGGCAGGGCTTGTGCCCGCCCTGGGCCTCACCCCTGGTAGGTGCCGAGGTCCTCGCTCAGCCAGTCCTCAAAGGCCTTGTCGGAGGAGGCGGTGGAGCTCTGTGCCGGGCCAGAGGCTCTGAAATGGAGCCACAGGTTGGTATGGCCGCCAGGGGGCAGCAGATGCCCACCAGGCACCACAGGGCCTCTGAGAGGTACTGTCCAGACCACCTGGTCACACCTGGGCTCCTCCAAAGACAGAGCACAGGAGGCCGAGCTGGACTCCAGCTCTTTCCAAAGGCAGCTCATGACGCCAACAGAAAGCAGTGCGGAGAGTGCGCCTCACAGATGGGACCTAACAGCAGGGACACCTGGACCTAACACGCAAGGGCAGCAGGTGGGGCAGACCCTGGCACCCCCGGTGTGAGTGAGGAGCCTGCTGAGACCCGCCACACCGGACACCAGCCTCCGGCATGTGAGACAGGACAAGCGCCATAGCAGCGCTGACCTGAAGCCTCCTGCACTGGGGGAGGTGGGTGGCCCTCAGGCAGCACAGGAGGCTAAGCACCTACAGGGCTGCGGCACAGGAGGCTGAGCACCTACAGGGCTGCGGCACAGGAGGCTGAGCACCTACAGGGCTGCGGCACAGGAGGCTGAGCACCTACAGGGCTCATCACAGGAGGCTGAGCACCTGCAGGGCTGCGGCACAGGAGGCTGAGCACCTGCAGGGCTGCGGCACAGGAGGCTGAGCACCTGCAGGGCTGCGGCACAGGAGGCTGAGCACCTACAGGGCTCATCACAGGAGGCTGAGCACCTACAGGGCTGCAGCACAGGAGGCTGAGCACCTACAGGGCTGCGGCACAGGAGGCTGAGCACCTGCAGGGCTGCGGCACAGGAGGCTGAGCACCTACAGGGCTCATCACAGGAGGCTGAGCACCTACAGGGCTGCGGCACAGGAGGCTGAGCACCTACAGGGCTGCGGCACAGGAGGCTGAGCACCTACAGGGCTACAGCGTGCTGTGGCACATTCTAGCTGGCGCCTGCGGAGTGGGGAGGCAGCCGCTGTTCTTCTAGACCCGTCTTCACTGGTTGACTGGAGCTTGTACGCTCTCATAACCTGAAAGGTCGTTCTCCCACTGACTTCGGGAAGAGCTCGCACTGTAGCTGTTTCCAGGACAGCACAAGGACCCTGAGCTAAAGCTAAGGTCAGGACCGGGCCGAGAGCAGCGGCCAGAGGAGCGGCTACCGGTGGGCAGTGGATGTCAGCAGCTTGGACTGTGGCGGGGTCCAGTTCTGTGCAGGTGATGACTCCAAAGACCATTCTCTGCCTTCGGCCAGAGTGGCCACCTGCCAAGGGGACACGGAATCAGAGAGCCCAGACCTGGCAGGGTAGCTGTGGATGGCGCTGGCTCCGGTGAACCCCCAGGCTCAGTAGCCATGGGAGAGGGTCTCTGTCTCGTGTGAACATGAGACCAGGTCTTTGCAGTGGTGCCAGTGAGTTCTTGGTCAGGGGCTGCAACCCCAAATGCCCAGGACCACCTCTATCCCCCGCAGGCACTTCTGTCTTCGGGAGTATTTTAACCAAGATGGACAGAGGCATGGGGAGGAAGACCCATCCTTCACCTCGCTAACCACAGACTATCTGCTTCCCCGGAGGCAGGGGGGCAAAAGGGCAGACAGGAGCCACATACTCTTCTGTCCATGGACTGGAGCCACTAAAGCCCTGAGGGAGCAGCCTGGGCACTGCTGGGGGCCTCACCTTGTCCCTGAAGAGGGCGGCCGCCTTGCTGTTGTACTTGTCCTGCAGGGACCAGCAGGGGTCATAGTCCTCCTGAGACTCCAGGAACTGCCGGAACTTAGCATTCCCACCAGCTTTCATCTTCTCCAGTTCCATGTCCTTCCACTTGTCCATAGTGACGGAGCGCACAAAGCTAAAGGCAGGGGCGATGCAGTTACTGAGAGCTGGGTACCGAGACCACCCACACCCAACTGGTGACTAGACACGTGTGCTTCCTGGGACAGAAGCGCCCGGCCACGAGGCCTCTGAGGGCGCGAGGAGCACTGAGGGAGGTGCCTGAGCTTTGCCAGCACCCGCCACCTGCGGGCAGGCCCTCGGGGAGCCGAGTGGCAGGCCGGGCACTGACCTGAGGTGCACTCCGAGCCCGCGGTGTCTCCCTGAGCACTCCAGGCAGATCCAGATGCCGTAGGTCACACTCACCCACTGAGGGTTGAACGCGCCACACTCAAAACACACCTGCAGAGAGGGCCATGTGCGACTTGCCCAGGCGGCTCAGGGCAGGGCCCAGGGACCCCAAAGACCCAATGGGTGATGGGGAGGGTGGGCTCTGGGGCTTCCAGCTTCTGGAGGTCTGGGAGCCCTGACCAAAGCACAAAAGAAAAGCAGAGGCTCACATTGTTTTCATCCTGCACCCTGACTTCCTTCAGAACTTTCCGGGTTCTTGGGCTGGCCATGATGCTGCAGAAAAGAAAAATAAGCTCTTAAAACTTACAAATAGCCCTGGCCTGTTTGGTTCAGCAGTTAGAGCATCAGCCTGTGGTCCAGAGAGACCCGGGTTCGGTTCCCGCTCAGGGCATGTACCTCGGTTGCAGTGTGTCCCTGGCCCTGGTTGGGTCGTGAGGGTGGCAGCCACTCGATGTGTCCCTTTCACGTCGATGTTTCTCTCTCTCTCTCTCTCCCTCCCGCTCTATCTGAACAAAAAATGGAAAAATGTCCTCGGGTGAGGATAAAAAAAAACAAAAACTCACAAATAGGTCACTTCACAAAAAGAAAAACACCATCAAGTGCAAAAATACTACAAGGCAGAGCTTGGGGAACTGCTTCCGGGAGAAATACTTTCCAAGAAAGACCCGGAGCAACCCTGCCCGGTGTTACGCAGCGGTTAGAGTGTCAGCCCAGGACCAAAGGTTCTCGGGTTCGATTCCAGGTCACCGGCATGTACTGGGTTACGGGCTGGATCCCAGCTGGGTGTGGGTTGTGGGGAGGCAACCCACTGATGTGCCTCTCGTGATGGGGTTTCCCTCTCTCCCCCTCCCCGCTTCTATTTTCTCTAAAAAAAATCAGTGGAAAGAAACATCCTGGGGTGAGGACAAGAAAAAAACAACAAAAACAAAACTGGTGGTTTGCAACCAGGTTGTTTGACAGGCCGGACGCGGAGCACAGTTCTACACAAATCCACGCAAACAGGGAGAAAATGTCACGCTCTCCCCCGCCCCCTCCCAGACGGTCATCCACCGCCAAGGGCCGGGCCCCGACACCCGCCGGGAGGCGTGCAAGCCCGGGGCTCCGCTGTGTCCAGGCCGGGTCCTGGGTCCGAGGGAGGGCCAGGCCGCGGCCGGCGGGGCCCCGCGGGGCGCGTGGGCAGCGTCGGGGGAGAGGGCCGGGGGCCGGGGGCCAGGGTCCGAGCGGGGGCGGCGCCGAGCCGGGGCCGGTGGGCGGGGAACGGGGGCTGGGGCCGCGCGCTTACCGGGCGCGCTCGATCCTGTGCACCGGGGTCGACGGGTCCGGGCCGGGGTCGCGCCGCGAGCTGCACCGAGGGCTCTCGCCGGCCGCCTACCCCGCCGCCACCAGCTTCCGGCTACGTTGCTCCTCGCAAGGCATCACGGGAAGCCGGGGGCTGCTGGCAGGGGCGGGACTTCCGCCTCTGCCCGCCCGCCGGAAGCACCGCCAGCCGCCGTCGCCATGGGGACGCGTCACCGGCGCGGCGCGGCCAGGCGGTGGGGCGCGGAGCGCAGCGGGAGGCGCGCGGACAGCCCGGGCGGCTCGGGTCCTCCAGGCGCCGCCCCCGCTGGGCCTGCAGCCTGATGCCGCCTCCCGCGGGTCCGCCCCGCTGGGCCCGCCGTCCTCGCGCGGACACGGAAATGCGCTCGCGCGTCCTGTGTCGGCGCCAGTGGGAGGCCGTGGGTGGCTTAGGGGACCCCGGCCGATGACGTCAGCAGGCTCCAAGGAAAGGGGCGGAGGTCCCGCAGCCTGGAAGGAGTCAGGGCCACTGGCAGCTCGGGTGGCGGCCTCGCCAGCCCCGGACCGGCAGGGGAAGCTCCGAGAATGGACAGCTGACCTCTCTGACCTCTGGCCCGTTGGTCTGACTTTGCCTCCCGCTGGCCCAGCGCATCGCTGCAGTGGGAGGTGGAGGCTGGGAGGGGGTGGGGCCGCTGGACAGACAGAGAGACAGAGACCGAGAGACGGGAGGTGGAGACGGACAGCAGGCGGGTCTCCTAACACTGACCTTGGCAGCGGCTAAAAGCCGTTATGCGAGGAGTAAGCTCCCGAGCGTGGATGTGTGAGTTCGGAAAGGGAACTGGGATGATCTCCAGGGGCGTACAATTGCAAACGATTTTTTGGTTTTGTTTTTACTTGGTGCTCTTCTGTGCATTCCACCGATTTTCACTGATCTGCGTAGCTTTCGGAACCATCAAGTATAAACACTTTCACTGAGCTATGATTTATATTCGGTAAAAGGTACAGTTCCGCCCTGGCCGGTGTGACTCAGTTGATTGGGCGACCTCTGGTGCACCAAAAGGTCACCGGTTGGGTTCCACTCAGGGCCCATACCCAAGTTTCAGGTTCAAGCCCCAGTGGGGGTCAACTGATAGATGTTTCTCTCTCTCTCTCTCTCTCAAATCAATAAAAACATATTTTTAAAAAGATTGTTTTTAAAATAAATAACTAAAAATAAAATGTATACTCCAGTGAGCTTTGACCAACGCATACCCCACTGTAACCTCCACCAGGGGTTACATTGCTCTCATTTCTAGCCTCAGACCTCAGTTTTGTCTGTTCCGGAACATCACAGAAATGGAGTCACACCGTAGGTCGCCTTCTGTGTGCGGCTCTTTCACTGAGCATCCTGTTTCCAAGGCTCCTCTACCTTGCAGCACGAACCAGGGCCCCGCATTCCTTTTAATTGCCGAATACAATTTCATTCAATGAATAGACCACTCTGTTCATCCATCCACATAATGGACACTGGAGTCGTTTCTAAGTTCTGGCAATGATGAGTAAAGCTGCCCTGAAACTCCTGTGTAAGTCTTTTTGCAGGCATGTGTCTCATTTCTCTTCTTTAATTACTTAGCAGTGACATTGCTGGGAGGTGGGGGAGGTGTGTGGACCCTCGTGAGAAGGTGAGAGTCCCCCACCGTTGGGTACCTCCCCCAGCAGTCTGAGCGCGCCAGTCTTCCCACAGCTTTGTCAACACTTGATATTGTCAGCCTCGTTATTGCAGCCACTCTAGTGGGTACAAAGTGGCATCTCACTGCACTTCAATTTGCCGTTCCCCACATCGTGGGCCTGAGTGCTTGTCTTAATTCCCAGGCATTTCCAGCCTGCTCTGTGCCCAGCTGAGCATGGGCACCCTCCAGCAATGGGGGCTGCCCTCCAGGAGGAGTCACCAGTTCCTGCAGTAAGAAGCCACTGGCATTCACAGGCGAGGGCTGAGGTGATGTGGACGAGGCACCAGTGGGGTCTACACTGTGGACTTCAGATCCCGTGGTTGGGCCTGCGTAGGTTCCACGGGTCCAGAGGGTCAGAGGCGAGTGCTGGATCAGTTACGGTGGACTTCCTGGAGGAGGCAGGCCAGACTGTGCCGGGGGAGACATTGAAGAGGAAGAGAGAAATGGGAAGGCGTTTCTGGAAAGAGCACAGCTGGAGCCAGCACTCGACACTGACAAGCCCAGACAACCACTCTGTGATCAGGGAATTTTCCATTTCCTGATCACAGAGCAAAAAAGTTAACCTTTCTCTCCACCCCGAGCTATGGGAGGTCTGGGGCCACGTTCAGCCCCAGAGCGAGGCCCATGTCCCCAGAGCCAGAGGGGTGCCCCTTCCGAGGGCAGGACAAGCCTGCCCCCTGGCACGCAGCCTCTGCCGCTCTGCGATCCCCTGGCTGGTGCGGTGACTGCGTCCCGGAGAAGACCAGAGGTTCCCTGACAGGCAGAGTCTGGACAATAGAGTGGAGAGCAGTCTGGAGTGTGTGGCTGCAAACCGAAAGCATTTTATAACTCCGTCTGAGATACTTAGATAATTTGTTTTTCTCTTGGAACTGCCAGCGGTCCATTAATTTTCAGTTATAGTAATGTGATCATCTTTGTGGTTTCCTCCCCGGGGCTCTTGAAGTTCTCAATGTGAATACAGTGGAAGGGAGTTCAAGGGGGGGAAATAAAGGCCTCAGAGTCAATGGCTGCTCAGAGCTGGAGGGCTCCTGGCAGCAAGGGGCCACGCAAGATGAGCAGGAATAAAGCCTCGCCCCCCCCCCCAAGCCAGGCAGCAGGTCAAATCTGCAAATCTCTACTTTTTTCTGGACTCAGTTTCCCCATCCGTGAAAGGGGGTTTCCAACTCCCCTTCAGGCCAGGACCCCACACTACTGAGCACCCTCCAGAAGTCAGGCCCTGGGCTCCATAAAGACGACCTCGCGTAAACTGCACAACAATCCTGCTGCTGCGAGACGGACCCACTGTTCAGATGAAGAAACTGAGGCCCACAGCAATGGAGTACTTTACCTAAGGTTGAAAGATCCTGAGTAGTGGAGCCCACCTTCTGCACCACCCTCAGAGCATGAGGACGTGAGGAGCTAGGGCACAGGAAGGGGCGGTGCATCCCTGTGTCCTCTGATCCGGAGACCCAGCGCCAGGCTCAGAGGCAGAACCACAGCGGTTTCTTCCAAACACATGCAGGTCACATAGAATGGGCTGTGGGGCTGTGAACACTGGTTGTCGATGGCTCCATGGACCCCACAGCCAGGTCTGCCAGGTTTAGGGGGTCCAGCGGCTCTGGCAGGGGTGGAAGAGCCCAAAGAAACATCTGGGGCTGCACACAGGGCTGGACCTGCCAGACTGATTTTCCCAAATAAAAACAGAGATGGTGTCACTCGGCCCCTTTCTCGGCACTGTGCTGGGCAGGCACTTCTTGCTGATCAGTCTTTACAGCAGAACCTCAATGTCCTAAGTGCGGCACATTTTACAGTTTCTCCAAGTGGTCCCTGTTGCAGACTGGGGGTTCGACGGTCACCATCGTCATCACTGTTATCATTCTGCTTCGCCACAGTTGTGCCGGACATCTGTGCACAGTGGTCTCCACACTCATGTGAGCATCGCATGGCGTAGACCTCTAGAGATGAGGGTCCTGGGTAAATTCAGATCGATTTGATCAAATTGCTGCCAAGTCCTTGGAATCAAGTGCCCAAATGTGCACAGGGCTGTCCCCACCGCCTCTCCCTGGCTGGGGACTATCGAGCTGCTCATCTTTGCCGGGAGCACGCGTCCTCATTGCTGTTTTAGTTTTCCTGTCCTTAGCGGTGGCAGGACCAAGCACACACAGGACCATGTGCGTCCCCTCCTGAAGACCCCTGTATCTGTCCTCTGTCCATCATCTTCCACTGCTCACCTTCCACTACCAGGTCCTTCTGGACACAGCTTCGTCCTGCACCTGGAGAGAAGAGCACGGGGTTGGTTGGGTCTGCCCAGCCGGGTGCCCCACTCCTGGCCTCTGGCCTGCTGGCTACTAGGACTCAGCCCCATCTGACCCCCTGCTGCTGCCTCTGCCCAATGCACAAGAAACATCGGGGAGCAGGACAGAAGGAACTAGAAGGAATGTGGGAACATGTGGCCCTGCTAATTTGAGAGGCCACACATCCCACAGAAGTGCAACTGTCCCTGGACATCTGAGCTATCTGAGCTATCACTCTATCCCAAAACACCCAGGAGCAGGCAGCTGTGCCGGGTGGCACTTGTTCACACCGGCTAAGGAGCCGCGGCTAAGAATGTCTTGAGACTGGGCCAGCTTCTCAGATTGCCAGCTGATGGCTCGAATCCTGAAGCTCTGATAGTAAGGACCCACACCCCTGTGACCATAGCCCCTCCCATACCTCTCTTAAGACTCTTTCCAGATCCTAATTGCTACAGACAGAAAACCCAACCCTAAATGGCTTAAACAATAAAGGGAAGTTATTGACTCATACAATTAAAAGTCCAATGGTAAGCCCTGGCCGGTTTGGCTCAGCGGTTAGAGCGTCGGCCTGCGGTCCAGAGAGACCCGGGTTCGGTTCCCGCTAAGGGCATGTACCTCGGTTGCAGTTTGTCCCCGGCCCTGGTTGGTCGCGCGGGTGGCAGCCACTCGATGTGTCCCTTTCATATCGATGTTTCTCTCTCTTTCTCTTCCTCTCTCTCTCTCCTGCTCTATCTGAACAAAAAAATGGAAAAATGTTCTCGGGTGAGGATTAAAAAAAAAAAAAAAAAAAAGTCCAACGGTAAGTTAGCTTTCAGGTGAGGCTTGATCCAGCAGCTCAACATATTGCCAAGAACCAGGCTTCTCTGTCTCTTTGCTCCACAGTTCCACCTTCATCCTCAGGTCCTGAGGTGCAGCTCCTAGGGCTGCATGTTACCTTGTTTGCATCCCCCAGGAGGAAGTGGCTTTGAACCAGCATTCCAGCCAAAAGCCTGCACTAGCTGGGGTCACGTGTCCATTTCTAAGCCAATCACAGGCGGAAGGATGGAATGTGCTGACCTGTGACATTTGGGAGTGTCAGCCCTGGAGTCCTGGGAGGAGGTGGGTTCCCCACAACCATAAAGACCCCTGAACAGCCATCTGAAAAGTTGGAGAGCTGGAGGGCAGTCCACACACCCATGCTGTGAGGCCCATCTCCACACTCCAGGGGCCCGGGGAGCTGTCCCTGAGGCAGGGGTCCAGGTGGGTGTTCGTGGCTTCCGGGTCCCAGGGGCCCTGCACAAAGCCAAACTGTGCACAGCCAGCTTGGTGCAAAGGCTGGTCATGGGTGCATGGGGCTCAGCCCCTCTCCTCTGGCCTTTGAAGGCAGAGAAGGAAGGAGGACCGGACAGGCAGAGAGGGATTCTGTGGAGAGGCAGAGCCTGGGTCAAGTCAGGGAGGGAGGAGGCATGTGTGCAGGGAGGACAGAGGAGGAAGCAGGCCCGGGCATACAGGAGTTATGAGTCCAGATGTGGACATGTGGAGTTCGGGGCACCCGGGGAGGACCGAGAGGTTGTGTGCAGAGGAGGGAGGGCCGGGAGACCCGGGAGGGGGCAGCACAGACTGGGCGACACCCTCTGAGGGACAAAGATCTCCGGGGTTTCAGGTGGCTGTGGGGGTGGCTCCTCAGAGGCAGCCAGAGTGGGAGACTGGGAACTGCCACCGGCGGACTGTGGGGTCCAGGCTTCTGCAGGGTGAAGTGGCTCAGCTGCTTGTCCGGAACGGTAGCTGCTTAGTCCCCGCCTGCGTGGGCCGGGCTGTCCATCTTGTCCACGGGCAGTGCAGGGCCTGGAGTGAAGCCAGGAGCCCAAAGGCTCACACACGGTTGCTTAGTGACCAGAGGTGCTGTCCCACCCCCTTATCAATGCCACCCAGGAGCCCACATGCTCTTTACTTTTGAGAAAATTGAGCCCACACTGCACAGCTCTGAGGGGTGTCCCAGGGGGTGTTTGTCCATGTCTGCAAATACCGTTATGTCATGACTGGGGGGTGTGCCACTGGCATCTAGTGGGAAAAGCCCAGGGTTGCTGGGGGGGCACCTCCCAGCACGCAGGACCCCCCAGCACACAGGACCCCCCAGCACGCAGGACCCCCCCAGCACGCAGGACCCCCCCAGCACGCAGGATCCCCCCAGCACGCAGGATCCCCCCAGCACACAGGACCTCCCAGTGCACAGGACCCCCAGCTCCTGTTCATGGTGCTGCTGTTGGGTGGCCCCTTGGGCATGACATCTTGCCGCCTGCCCTGCTCCGTACTGAGTAATTTTCCGTGAACGTCTTCCGAGGAAGTCCTGCCCTCTTCACTGGGCCGATTCTGAAGGCCAAGCCGGCAAAGGAGGCCAAAGACCTTGGGCAGTGCATCCAAGCTTCCCGTGTGAGGCCTTGTCCCTGCGGAGCCCTCACCCAGGGAATCATCAGGTCAGGGGTGTTACCTCACACTCCAGGGCCACACGCTGGGCTGGCCCAAAGCACTCCTGTGTCCCTCTCCTCATGTGGCCCCTCCTGCCCCCAAACCACGTGTCCCTCTGCTCAGGTCCTGCTCCTCTCTAGGGCCTGACCAGGGCCATCTCTGCCTCCCGGCACAAGTCTCAGCTCCGAGGACAGGCGTGCCTGTGGCTCATCCTGACCTGGAGCCCCAGTGGTGTCTTATGACAGATGGGTAAGTCCACCCCAGTGTTCAAGCAAAGCCTCTGGACCGGACCTGACCTGCCTCCCTCTCGCCATCTACTGGACAGGGAGTTCAGTCCCACCTCCACACCTTTGCCCAGTTGTGTCCTCCCCCAGCCCTGTCGCACACAAGACCCAGGCCTCAGGGCTGCCTGCAAATCCAGGGCTCCCCATGGCCCCTCCCCGCCCCAGTCACCCCAGAGCAGACCTAGACTTCAGGTCCCCCCATTCCCTGGACAGGTGAGCTCCTGGTAGGCTAGGACACCTTGAGGTTGGGGTGTGCCTGGGACCCCACTAGGAAGGAGGTCGTACCGGCGGCTGGGCAGACCCAGGAGGTGCCCCGCAGAACTTTTTCTGATGCAGGATTGTCGCTGGTTATCCTGGCTCCTGTGGCCCCGGCTTGAAGCAGCCTCGGGCCTGTCATGGGGCCACCGCGCAGCCCCTCAAAGCTCGGAGCTGCCAGAGAAGCCATTGCCCCTTTAAGAGGGTCCCGTGGCCCCTCCCCAGCTGGCCCAAAGTCCCCAGAGGCCGCGATTAGGGGCGGGGATGGGGTCGGTGGGAGAGACGAGGCACAGCTGTTATTCAAGGGGGCGGGGCTGGGGGGAGGGGGACCTCGCTGCGGGGGAGGGGCGGAGCTGGGACAGGCCGGGGCCGACGGCCAGGCTGGGGTCCAGGCTGGGGTCTGTGGGGTGGGACCCGGCCAGCGGCGGTGGCAAGTCTGTGAGTTGGGGTCAGGGGGCCGCCGCGGGGTGTGGCCAGGGGCTGCGGGAGACCCGGGATCGGGGGCGGGGCAGAGCCGGGCTGGGGTCCTGGGGACTCGGAAGGGCGGGCCCGGAGTGGCGGGCCGGGGGCGGGGCCAGGGTGGGCCGCGGGGCTAGGCGCTGGGCTCCTTGTGCGGTGGCTCTGGGTCCAGACGGCGGAGGCGGCGCCCGCGGGCCTCGCCGGCACCATGGGCTGTTGTTCCGGCCGCTGCGCACTCATCTTCCTCTGCACTTTCCAACTGGTGAGTGGTGACCCCTCCTCGGGCCCGGCACGGGGCATCGGGCGCGATCACCAACCCCCAGCCCTGCTGCTGGGTCCGCGCCAGCCTGTGGGGACTCCTGGCTGGGGGTGGCTCGGACCCACGGCCTTCTGCAGCCCAAGTTCGCCGCCGGCCCGGGAGGAAACTAGCGCCCTGTGCGCGACCCCTCCGGCCCCTCGGTTCCTCCCCACGCGCCCCGTTGTGCGCGCGCGCAGGGATGGCAGCGGGGTCCCCGACAGCGGGGACAGCTGCAGGAAAGCGGCTGGAAGGTGCCGGGGCAGAACAAAAGCCTTCGGGCGGGGTGCCTGGACCCTGTTCTCCCCGGTGCCTCGGGTTAGGGACTCAAGTCCGGTGGGTACGGTGCGGCCGGAAAGGGGCGCGGCTGCGCGCGCGGTCCACGCGTGTCGGAAAGCGTGTGTGGCTCCGAGCGCCCGCGCAAGAGCCGGTGTGTGTGCGCGGGCGTTCCTTCTCCCAAGCCAGCGCCAGGCCCCAGCGAGCGGCCGAGTTCCGTTTCCGAGGCCTGACAGCCCGTTGGGTGGGGGGTGCTTGTGAGTTTGGGAGTTGTGAGCCCGGCCCTGCCCGACCCTGGCGCCTCGGAAACTGGAGGAGGCTGCCCTTCGCTGCTCCCCAGAGGGTTCTGGGGGGTTGGGGAGAGGACAGGGTGTTGGAGCCAGTGCCCAGGGCTGCACTTGGGCGTCTTTGTGTTTGGGTTTAGCTGGGCCCCTAGATGCAGCTTTGTGGAGGGCTTGGCCACCCCTCAGCCAAGTGTCCACTCAGTGCTTGGAGAGCAGGGGTTCCAGGCCAGTCCCATTCCTAGAGCCCTCTGCCCTGGGGGAGAGGGCCAGCAAAGGTCTGGGCCACTGAGCTGGGGAGGAGATGCCGATGGACCCTGGGTCTCATCTCAAAAAGGAAATGACACTTTGTGGAGGCCAGGTTGGTTGTGCTCTTACTCAGATAAGCATGGTGCTTCCTCCTCCTGAATCCAGCGGCCAAGAAGAAGAGAGTAGAAGGTCCCCCTGCACCCACGGCTGTGTGGGGTTGGTGTCCGGTCCTCCGCCTGGGAGCAGGGCTTGCTGGCCGGGCTGGCGTGAAGCTGACATGCACAGGCCAGGGAGTCCCACCTGGAGTAGCAGGAAGCTACTTCCCTGCGGGGCACTCAGAGCTGAGGAAGCCTGAGGGGCGAGGTGACCTGGAGCAGGGAGGGAGCTGGGCAGTCTGCAGCGTCTGTGCTGATAAGGCCGGGAGAGGACCCCCACCCGGCAAAAGGCTCTCGGGCCCAAGGACTGTCCTGCAGGCGGTGGGGAGCTATTGTAAGCCTTGGAGCAGAGGTGCCGCTCACCTTCTTTAGGTGGGAGGCTCCCTCGGGGGCAGGAATCATGCGGGAGGCTCCTGTGGGTGGGTCAGGAAGCAGGAAAGGGGAAGGAAGGGATGGTGGGTGAGGACAGCCCGGAGCCAGGTGACCAGTCAGCAAGGGGCAGAGCTGCTCTGGGGGTGTTGTGACTTTGGTTTGGTGTCATGTTGAGTTTGGTGTGTGGGGTGCCTGTGGGGTTGAGCTGATGAGGGCAGGAGAAGCAGATGTACTGCGCCAGGGATGTGACCTCAGGCGCAGAGGGGTCAGGTCAGGTAATGTTGCCTGTTTACCCTCCAAAGTGGACAGTGGACAGAGGAGAGTCCCTGCAGGCCCCTGGACAGGTAGCTGCAGCGTAGGGGTTAGGGTCATCTTGGCTTGAGGCCGCAGGGTTTCCCTGGACCGGGGGCTCTGGCAGACTCATTCTCTGCGAGGCAAGGGCCGGCCAGAGCTGTGTCCCCACCAGGGAGGCCAGCCCGGCTGAAAGGCAGAAGGGAACTGTGAAAAGCCTTTTGTCCTGGGCCAGAGGAGGGGGCAGAGGGGCAGGAGGGGGAGGGGAGGGGGGTCTGACCTGGCCCACCGCTCTGGTCACAGTGTGTGGGGTGGGGGCCTGAGGGGGAGCCCTGTGGCTTTTCTTTTCTCATCTGACAAGCGTGCGAGTTTCCTGGTTACCCGGCTACGGGACAAAGGCCCAGGCTTGTCTTCTGGGAGCCTTCTCACTGGAGAACAGCATGAACTCCGCCGCTGCCGCTCCGAGCCGGCGGAGCAGTGGGGCTGTTTCCCAGGCTGTGCCCCACCGTGTGCCAACGGGGCAGCGAGGGCTCACGGGGTTTGGGCAGCAAGCAGCCCTCATCTCTGCCCTGCTCACCAACGTGGCCACAGTGCCGAGCCTGCCGGGGTCTTGGCTTAGAAACGAAACAGACAGACACCCCACCCAGCCTCTGCTGTCCTGGCTGACCGGCCAGGCTGCAGGGTCTCTCTTCTGGGAGCAGAGCCTGGGACTGCCCTTCTGACTTGAGAGCCATTAGCAGGGACGTGCATGACAGTCTGGTCCAGGCCACAAGCCCACTGTGTGCCAGGCGCCCCGGGCTCAGGGGGGAAGGTCAGGCACAATGCAAACAGCCAGTGTCTGTCTCTAGGCGGGAGGCTCCCTGGGGGCAGGAACCACTCCTCTGGGTGGGTCAGGAAGCAGGAAGTGGGCAGGAGGGGTGATGGGTGAGGGACACCCCGCAGCCAGGTGACTGGGCAGGGGGTTATCTGAGCCCAGGCCCTGGTCATCTTCGGAGACTGGAGACTGACTGTCAGCTTCGCTCAGTGTCTTAGGAGAGCACAGCCCACCACCTCCTGGCTGCAGTCACCCAGCCTCAGGGGACTCCTCTGGAGCACCCCAGGGCAGGCCAGTGTGGGGGACGAGCTGTGACATGCCGGAAAGTGGCTCAGAGGGGAGGGGGAGGGGAGGGGGAGGGGAGGGTGTGTGGGAGGGCATGTCCGTGGGAAGTTTTCCTGTGCTATGGATGCGTGCCTGCTTTTGCTGTCCACACCCAGCTGTCTCCTAGGGCCGGCCCCAGCCCCCTACCCCCAAAGGACATGCTTGGAATATCCCCCTGCCCAGGCCTCCTGGAATTAGCCAGCCTCCCCCCCCCCCCCGCCCCAGGCCACCCATAGCAACCGGACAGTGCCCAGGACACACCCACAGCAGCTGTTTCTGGGGCGGGTTGGGGTCCCCTAAGGGCTGCAGGACACAGGTGGGAGCAGCTGAGAGGAGCGGGGTGCAGAAGGGCCGAGAGCTCTGGCTGAGGTCAGGCCCAGTGACCCCAGGGAAATCCACAAGGCTCACCCTGCTGGGTTCTGTCCCTAGTCACAGTGCTCCTTGGAGGGACTCCCCCGCCCCAGGACTCAGCCCGAGGCCCCCAGCCCACACAGAGACTACTGGAGGCCGGGACTGGCCCTGTAGGTCTCCCAGGGGCCAGGGCACGCCGGCGCAGTGGGCCCGAGGCGAAATCGTGGAATGCAGCCACGGCCCTGCCGCGATGCCACCCCTTCTCCGCTGCTGTCCTCCCAGGATTTGCCGGTCTCTGGGCCCTCACTGGGTGCAGGGGGTGCGGCTGTCCTCCCTCCCCGTGTTTCCTCAACACCAGCACTGACCGCCTGGCTCACGACCCTGATGAAAGCAGCAATGGACGAGCGAGGGAATGAATGCTTTCTGGAGTCGTGGCTGAGCTCAGCGCCTGGCAGTTTCCCGACACAGGAAACATCGCGTTCCTTCGGGGTCTGATTCCTTCCCATTTGTCCTCCCTCTGCTGTACCCACAGGGCTGGTGTCCACAGACCTGGTGGGGCCAGAGGGGCCCAGGGTGGAGGAGCAGCCTTGCCCCACCCCCACTGTCCCCAAAGTAGGGAGCCCAGCTGGCTCCCAGCCTCCAGCTTCCTGCCCCTGTCTGCCATTTGTCCCTCCAGCCCTGTGAATCAGAGCAGCCCTGGATGGAGTTCCCATTCGCCAGATGACAAAACTGAGGATGGGTTGTGGGAGTTTGCTCAGAGAGGACCTTTTGAAACAGAAGGCACACCCAATGGAGAGTCCTTGGGGCCGTTGGGCTCACTGTAGAGTCCTTGGGGCCGTTGGGCTCACTGGAGAGTCCTTGGGGCCGTTGGGCTCACTGTAGAGTTCTTGGGGCCGTTGGGCTCACTGTAGAGTCCTTGGGGCCGTTGGGCTCACTGGAGAGTCCTTGGGGCCGTTGGGCTCATTGGAGAGTCCTTGGGGCCGTTGGGCTCACTGGAGAGTCCTTGGGGCCGTTGGGCTCATTGGAGAGTTCTTGGGGCCGTTGGGCTCACTGGAGAGTTCTTGGGGCCGTTGGGCTCACTGGAGAGTCCTTGGGGCTGTTGGGCTCACTGGAGAGTTCTGCTGGGAGAGCCGGGATTTCAGCAGGCGCTCAGGGGGGTAACCAGGCAGGAGAGGCTGGCCGGGGCCTCCGGCAGGGGTTCACTGCTCTTCGTGTGCCCTCCTGGCCTAGGTCACCGCCCTGGAGCGGCAGGTGTTTGACTTCCTGGGCTACCAGTGGGCACCCATCCTGGCCACCTTCATCCACATCGTCATGGTCATCCTGGGGCTCTTTGGCACCATCCAGTACCGACCTCGCTACATCGTGGTGGTGAGTCCACCACGCTCCTGTCCCCTCCGAGGGCGGTGGGCCAGATGACTGGCATGGGGCCTCCAGTGGCAGATGATCCTAGAAACCCCCAGAGCCCCCAGAAAGGCCAGGACTCTAGCTGCTCACCGACCTCCAGGCTCACACCTTTTCCGCAGCCTGGAATTCTGACCCGCACGCTGAGGCACAGAGCAGGGACTGGGCCCTGGGGGCCCCAGCCCAGGCCCCTGCCCTCCACCCTCCTGCCCACGATCATTGGTTTAGACCTGGGTTTGTGACAAACTTTTTCTGCAAAGCGCCCCAGGGCAGGTGTTTCAGGCCTGTGGGCCGCAGTCCCAGCCCTGGGCTCAGTGAGAATGGGGACATCGCTGTGTCCCGGTGAGACTTCACAACAGCATCCTTCAGACCCAGAAGGCAGCTTTCCGGGATGCTTTTTTGTGGGGGAGAGCAGGGGCTCTGGAGTTCAGGCCATTCATGCCCTTGCTCGTCATTTGTCCACCTTGGATGGGCCACGGGCATCTCTGAGCCAGGACACGAAGGAGGGAAAGATCCCTCACGGCTGGCTGTTCCCAGGGGCCCCATCTCCTGGGCGCCCCCTTTGGAGGAGCAGGAGCCCTGTCACCACAGGAAGACTCCATGGCTGAGACCTGGGAGCACAGCCTCTGCCCTCTGGAGACCTCCTTGCATCTTCTTCAAGGGCACTCAAGGGCAAAAGCAGGGGGGGCCTCCTCCCCTGAAGAGCTAGCCCCCCGCCCCTGTCTCCCTAGGACACCATCTAGGTCAATTCACCTTCTCACCCCCTTTCCCCCCAGTATGCTGTGTGGGCAGCCATCTGGATCACCTGGAATGTTTTCATTACCTGCTTCTACCTGGAGGTGGGGGGCCTCTCCAAGGTGAGTCAGTCCAGGAGACCCGTGCAAATGGAGGGGGCATGGCCACAGGGGCGCCGCATGTTAGTCACCTGCCACCCACACACCTCGCAGACTGCAGGTCCTGCGGGGCCTGTTCTGTCCCTCGCCCCCAGGACGGGCCTGGCCCACAGCGGTGACTAGTGACGGTCTGGGAAAGACCAGTGATGTGATGGAAGGGGGCGGGGTGGGGCACTGGTGGCCTCCAGCTGGGGAAAGGGCTCCTGGAGGAGAGTGAGTGCCTCCCTAGGATCCTGGGCAGCGTGAAAGGGGAGTCAGGGCTGGGGGCCAGGAGCAGAGACCAGCCCTGGCAGAGGAGTGCTGGTGGGAACGTCACCTGCCTGCGTCCTCTGGGCTGCTCTGTTCCTTAAACCCTGATGAAGTCCATGCATCCCTCCTGTGGGGGTGGCGGGGACCACATCCAAGGCATGTGTAGCTAGGAGTGCCCTTGGTGAACAAACCCTGCCTGAATGGCTATTCTGGGCGCTTGGCACATAGCGTTGATTTCATCCTTGCATGAAGCCAGGAGGTAAGTCTTAAGAGCGAGGAGTGGGGTAGGGTTTGACTCCAGGTGCAGCAGCGGGGAGGGCTTTGGTGTCCTTGTCCCTCACGGCTGTCGTCCAGGGTGGAGGCTGGTGGTGTCTTTGGTGCTAACCCGATCCCACCCCCTTACCCCCAGGACAGTGAGCTCCTGACCTTCAACCTTTCCAGACATCGTTCCTGGTGGCGTGAGCATGGCCCTGGCTGTCAGCGTGAGGAGCCAGGGGCAGGCTTGGAGCCCCCCAATGGCCAGGCCCTGGGGCCAGGTGTCAGCTGCACCCTGGAGCATGGCTACGTGGAGGCCCTGCACAGCGCCCTGCAGATCCTGGTGGCGGTGAGCGTGGGAGAGGGGCGGGGCACAGGGGAGGGGACTCATGAGCCCCCAGGCGACCAGGCCCCAGGATGTTCGTGCACAGAGGGCCCCACCATCCTCCACCAGTGCAGGGTGCCCTTCCTTGCTCCTGTCTCTGCCTAGAGGTTAAGGACTCACACTGCCGCTCTCCACCAGTGTGGCTTGAGCCACCGGAGCCTCAGCGTCTTGCTTCAGGACCAGCTGTGACCCCAGGGGCAGCCTGAGGATGAACAATGGGAACAGAACCTGAAGGTTTTGATGATACTATGGGGCTAGGGATGCCAGGACTCCCGAAGTCTGTCCCCTCCAGCCCTGGAAGCAGCGTGGGCAGGGGAGGAACCCCGAGAGTCCCACCCTGGCCAGCCAAAGGCCAGGGCCTGAGAGGGAGGCGGGACCCAGCGCATCCCACACCTGCTGGCTGCGTTCGGCCTCTGTGGCGTTGAGAGCGGGGCTGCAGATTGTGAAGTTCGCATTTCAGTGAAACAGCAAGTCAGTTGTAGTGTAAGTGTGTTCCACCCCGTGCTTAGGACACGCTTACACTGAAACCAACACACACACCGAAAAAGCCCTGACTCATCCTGTGGCTGAAGCTGAGACGGAACCGATGCTCTTTCGTCTGCAAGCCCAGCACAGAGAAGTGACTTCGTGCAAGGGGCCTGGGTCCGCAGGGCCCCAGGTGCATGCTTGGCCTTGTGGGGGCCCAGCTCTGCCATTTGCTTTGGAAGGTCCAGGAGAAGTAGATCCTCGGACGGCCCCACGCAGTCCTGCCAGGAAGGAGCCAGCCAGAGGGGGCAGAGCTGGGGGATCTGAGGCTGCAGGTCCTTCCGGCCTCTGGAGAGCTTTGTGGAGGAACTGGGTGGCAGTTCAGGGAATGGACCCGGAGGGGCTGTGGGAAGGCAAAGGTGTGGCAGGTGGGTTGTGCTCCCCAAGACCCCCACTCTAGGAAAAGCAGGGAAGCGGGAGGCGTTTTCAGCACCACGGCCAGCTACCAGGCCTGGGCCCTCTCATTCCGGAAAGCGGTTCGACTTGTCCTTCAACTTGTCCTTCAGCCCTGAGGAGACAGGCCTGCCTCTCTGGCATGGAGAAGGCCCGTGGCCGTCCCCTGAGGAGGGCAGGGCCTCCAGAGCAGGGGGCACAAGTCCAGCTTTTCCAGCGTGTCTGTCAGCCCTGGTGGCTGTAAACACCTCGCTCGGGAGTAACTCATCCCATGGTATTGTTGCCTGGGCCACATGAACGTGGGCAGTGCCGACCCTGCCCCATCCCAGCTGGAGCCTCTGCTTTCTGGTTGCCTGGTGCCCAGGGGTCCACGGGGGGTTGAATGCTGGCCTGCCCTTTATCCCCTGAAGTCTGAGCATCTTGTAATGGATCAATGGAGCATCAGTCCTGCCAGGCTGAGCCCCCGATTCCCCCAGAGCAGCTGCCAGCCCGCTCCACTCTGCCCAGAATTGCCTGGGTCTGTCTCTCCTGGACCTTCATCCAAACCATGGAGCCTGGTTAGCAACCTGTCAACTGGAACTACCTGGAGACAGCCCGATCCCCAAGGAAGAGAACCCCAGTGATCGGCTGCTTCAGGCTCCTGGCTGTAACTGGGGGGTGGGCCGCAGCCTAGGGGTCCATCCAGGCTGTGTCCCATGTCTCTGAGGGCCTCTCTCGGCATCTCGCCCCCCTGTTAAAGCAGGGATTTGGTCATCTTCCTGGCTCACTTGTCCCGTGGCCAGCCCTGCCCCAGAGGCCCTCACCCAAGGGGCTGAGCCAGCCCCTCTAGGGAAGTCAGGCGGCATCTGGAACTTCAGAGCCCCGGCCCACATCCTGAATCGATGCTCCTGCACCTTGCCCGGCACCCTCACCCCAGCCTCTCGTGTCTTTCAGCTGCTGGGCTTCGTCTATGCCTGCTACGTGGTCAGCGTTCTCACCGAGGAGGAAGACAGCTGTGAGTGTAGCCACAGGCCCCCCCAGATGCCCTGTAGAGACCCAGCTGGGCCCAGCAGTCAGGGCGGGGGAGGCAGCATCTCTGTTCTCCTGCCCTGCTCTCCTAGATGGGTACCCGTGCCTAAGGGGGGGCTTGCTTGAGCAAAGAGGGGGATGGCCCAGTCATCTGAGAAGAGGTACGGGGGGAGCCCCAAGCTGTGGGCACCGGGGTCAGCTCACCCCAAGACCTGCAGGCTTCCGGGCTGGCCCCCCATGACTCCCACGGCTGCTGCAGGTGGAGAGTGGAGCCCTCAGACCTACGGGGGGATGGGCCACTCACATCCTGGCAGCTGAGAACAGGCCCTGCTGGCTGGGCCCTGGGGGCCTCGGGCCTGGCCTGGACACCTCCGGGCAGCGCTTGCACTGCCCCCCCACTGGCGCCCCTTGGACTCTCCTCTCATCTGCAGCATCAACCCTCAGCTGCCCTCACAGACATTCCACCTGACATGGTCTCATGGGGATGCCTGCAGAAGAGAACAAAGCCAGAGTGGGCAGGGCTGGGTGCACTGGGGCCCTGGCTCCCACAGGCAGACCCCTCCCTGGGGCTGGGATCAGAATTCAGAGCCTCTGTCCCCAGAGTCAGGGGGCTCTGGGGTGGGCAGTGCCCCTGTCCATCCTATGGCTTGGAGACCAGGCTAGCTCCCTGACCTGCTCCTAGCCGCCCTTGCACTGGGTGAGCCACCCAGCCACCTCTCGGGCCACAGCTGGCCAGGAGGGACAAAAGACCTCGCGTGTTGGCCACACACGAGGACAGAGCCAGCCCTGGGGTTAGAAATGGATTAGTTTTGCCCGCAGAGCCCCTGGCCCCCGCTAACTGTGCAGACAGCTTCAAAGGGGCGGGCGAGTGATGTTTGTGAATAGGATGGGGGTGATGATTGGGGGAACCTGCAGCCCCAACCCCCGGCTCGGAGGATCCGGCTCCCCAGGCCACATTCCCAGCTGAGCCCGGCAGTGCCCATCGAAACCTCTCGCCCTGGGTTGCCTGCACTAATCCTGGTTCAGGGAGAGCCGTCTCCTGGCCTGAGCCTGCTGGGGGCGCTCACCCTCCCAGACTCCTCGCTCACTCCCATCTCTGCCCTTCCTGCCTGTGTGGTTGGGCAGGGCCTCCATTCTGCCATCTTTTCCATTGTCTGGGTTTTGTTTTATTTGGGTCTTGATTTCTTTCAGTTGATTTCATTGGTGGATTTGATCCCTTTCCTCTCTACCATGTCACTGAAAAGCCCTCCAACCTCTTGTTCGAGCAGGTGTACTTGTAAGTATGGCCAGCGCAGCCTGCCCCGCTCGGCCCGGCCAGCCAGACTAGCGCAGCCCTGGGCTCCTCTCCTCGGGACAGCGTCCCCAGGCACTCTGTCTGTCCATCCTGCCATCGTCCACATGTCCCCCACTTTCCTGAGATCTAGTCTATGCATCTCCAGGCCAGGAATGGGGGTGCAGCTCTGGGGCTTGGCTCCCCACCCCCTGGAACTCCATGCCCAGTGGAGTCTGCAGGAGTCAGGATCCAAGCCGGTTTCATGCCAGGGGGTTAGTGGGGCAACAGGGAGCCACGTACAAGACGAGTGGTGTCTCACCGTGGCAGGAAGTTAAGGGTGTTGGTTTCCTATTTTTGGAGGAACAGACTTCTTCCCTCACGAAGAGCAGTGTCCCTGCCCTGCACACCCCAAGCGGGGTGGGGATGCCTCCTCACCTTCTCTGAAGCAGCTTTTGCCACCAGCCCCGCCTGCCCTGTCATCCTGAAATTTGGTGGCTGGTGGTCTTGTCTTGGTCAAGCTATGCTTTCTTCATTCTGCCCGTGTCCTCAGAGGCAAGCCTGCCCCAACTGTGGCCATGCCCTGGGGACCCCGGCCCTCCTGTCGGCTCCCCAGCCTTTCTACCCTGCAAGCGAAAGGCACAGAGTGGCCCAAGGCCAGCAGAGGCAGCAGGCACCTCGCTCCCATGACAGGGAGAGGCCTCCCTCCGGCCCCCGAGCAGCGCAGGGTTCACGAGAGCCAATGCTGGGGGCACATGGGCTCTGAAGTGACAAGCCAGGGCTCAGGGGCTTCCACCCCCAAACACACGAGCTGTCTGCAGATGAGGCCTGCCCTGCCCAGGTGGGACCCCCAGGCCTGGGCTGGCCTTCCAGCGCCCGGCCTTCTGCCCGTGTCAAAGCCCAGGAAGCTGTCCCCCTCCTGGGTGTTGTCCCATCTGCATGTTGGGCTCTCCAGGGGAAGAGACAGTGGCCTTGATGACCAATGACCTCTGACCCCTAAGCCTTCCTTCCCAGCCCGGAACAGGCTCCTCAGGGATTCTCTGACCCCGCCCTTCTCCCTGCAGGCCTGCGTAAGTGAAGCTGCGCCCATCCTGCTCGTGCCTGCGTCCTCTGACCCAGCCCAGACGGAGGGGACTCCAGGCAGTGGGACTCACCGGGCTCCCTGCCCCCAGGGCCCTGCAGGTGGCCAGGGCACCTGCCCAGGGTCAAGCAACTGGACACCAGCCAGGGTAGCAAGCCAGCACCAGGCCAGGATGGCTGCAGCGCCAACAGTTTGTAATTTCTTTAAAAAAAAAAAAAAACAACAAGAAAGAAAACCACGTCCTCTGTCCACAGCAGGCCTGGCACTGTTGTCCACGGACTCTCCCTCAGGCGCCTGCCCTGGGGCTGCGGACCCTGCAGGCCACACGTGATGCCGAGGCAAAGGGCTGGCCTGGGGGGCTTCCGCATGGAAAGTGTGACCCCACCTTGAAGGTGGAGTGAGCCCCGCCCACCAGGAAGGACAGCCCTGACTGGACACGGGCCTGAGCTCACACCAGGGGCTGCAGCCCTGGGGCGGCCGGGCTGGTCCAGCAGCTGTGGCCCTTCCGCCCACAGGGCAAGGTGCTGCCTCGGGTTGGCCCTGGAGCTGTACCCGAAGAGGCCCTTCGGCAATAGTCCTGCAGGGTCCCCCAGGAACCAAGTGGGTAATAAACCACTGTCCCCAGGAGGCAGGAGCCAGGTGGGTCATCCCAGGTTTGGTCTCAGAGGTGGCTTAGCCACAAGGTTCCAGGAGCCCTTCTGCTGAAAACTAAGGACAGGAAGAAGGGGGAGGGGACGGAGGAGGGGTGCCCTCCACTGTTAGGAGGCATTTGGGGAAATGACCTGGGGAGGGCGGGAGGCACAGGCACTACCCTGCTGGTGAGCAGAAGTGGGGGTGGGGGACTGGGGGGCTCCCGGTTCAGGAACACAGGCTACTGAGCACCATCAGGGAAAACCTGACATTTATTGTGAATCTTTAAAAACGACCACACTTAAAAAATAATAATAAAAACCACCAAACTTAGCTTTAAAAAAACCCCACCCCCCACATCCGGCTGCCTTCCACCCCGGGCTGCTGGTTGGGAATCAGCAGGCTCGCTGCGTGGAGGCCGCTGGCCGAGCCAGGCGAGGTGCCCACCGGGCAGGGTGCCCACACTCGGCACCTGGGGGAGAAGAGGGATGAGTCAGCCGCTGCCAGGCGGCTTGTCCCCCACCTCCCTGGGTGCTCTTCCTTCTACCCCTGGAAGATTCTTGGGGCACACAGGCCTTTGGGAACCCCGAGAAGGCCAGGTTTCTGTCCCCCCTTCCCCATCTATGATGATCAAAGGTTCACATATCTGCCCACCCATGTCCATTCCCACCAGTGGGGGGCCCAGTGTAAGGTCCCATCCAGGGTCCAGGGCAGTATTTTCCACAGGCCTCCCCCCCCTGGCCTGGCTGCAGCCCTGTGTGCCCAGCTGGACAGGAGGCGCTGTCCCCGAACACAAGGACAATCAAGGTAGAGATGTGCCCCCAGGTGTGGTTTAATGTGCCAAGCAGAAGGTAGTGCCCCTCTCCCAAGGGAGGTAACAGCTCCATTAGGACGGCTGCCAGGGCTGGGGGTGAAGGAAGGGCTGCCCCCTGCTGCCCCTGGTCCCTGCCTTGCCTGCCAGCCCAGTTCGGGGCGTGCTTCAGCCACCGCCCAGCACAGGGAGGCGCCTCCCCTGGAAGGTGCACGCACCTGGCCTAGGACAGGAAGGTGCGCACGCAGCTTTGGATGGGGGCCCTGCAGATGGGGCACAGCTGCAGGCTAGCTGCGCACTGGACACAGGCCAGGTGGCCGCAGGGCACGAAGACCACACACACCGCCCGGTCCAGGCACACCCTGCAGGTCCGCTCCTCCTGCAGGCGCTGCAGCTGCTCCTCCAGGTTCCCAGTCCCTGGCGAAGGGAACCCCCAGGCTCCATCTGTGCTGGGCTCCACCTGGTTCCTCCGAGGGGGCGGGGCCTGTGACACCTCCCCACACTGCCCTCCACCCTCTGCCCTGGGCTGTGGGGGAGGTGGGTTCGGGCCACTCCCGGAGTGCAGAAGAGCCAGCCCTGCCCCCCACCCCCTGCGGGCCCTCCCTCACCTGGTTCCCTGGCTCCCTCCGAGTGGGCCTGTCTTCTGGGTGTGGGCAGCTCAGGGCCTGGGCTCACAGGAGCTGTGGGCAGAATAGACTGAGACCGAGGCCCCTGGGGAAGGTGAGGCTGGGCCAGAGACAGGTTCAGTTCTCCCAGGAGCTGCAGGAGGACCAGCCCAGCTCCAGCACCTGTCCTCCCACCACCACCAATCCCTAGAGCCCCTTCCCCGCCCCTCGTGCAGGGGCCATGGGTGCTGTGTGCCTGCTAGGCCCTAGAGGGGCAGCGAGGGGGGCTGTGCCCAAAGGGATGAACAGGACAGGAATAGGGGAAGGTGGGCAGCGTCCACAGAACCGGGGTACCTCTGCCCCCTGCCATCCTGCCCCTGCCTTCTTCCTAGAACAGGCCGGCCCCCAGCTGTGATTCCTATGGCATGGCTGGCCCCTCCCCGGGATATTTCTGCTGTGCCTGCCTCCAGCCGGGGCCGTTTGGAGTGTGGTGCATTCCACCAGGCACCAGCTCCACTCAGAGCATGCCTGGCCACCCCTGGCATCTGCAAGGCAGGCAAGGGTACTGGACTGAGGGCAGGGAGGGCCTGGGGCCTTGGGTCACCGGAGAGAGGCAGACAGCCTGCCACGTGGCCAGTCGCCAGGGCTACCTCTACACGGGCCCATGTGGCCATCACAGCTACTCCATCAGCCTCTAGGTGGCGGGGCGCAGAGTCAGACCCTTTCAGCAGAGGGGCTGTGTTTCCCTCTACCGGGGAAGCCCTACACCTGGCCAGCGAGGCCACCACAAAGCCCCACCAGGTGCCTGGCGCTGTCCCCAGGGCATCACACGGGCCCTGTTTAACCCCAGACAGGGTCAGCTCTGTCCGCACCTGACAACTCAGGGCAGGAAGCTCAGAGAACAAAAGTTACCTGCTCTGGAGTCGGAAGAGCCGGAATCTGAACCCTGGAACCCCTGCGCCCCCCGCCCCACAGGCCTGGGCACGGGTGTGGAGGGCAGAGCTCAGCTCAGCCCGCTCCCCTGGGCTCATGACTGCAGCCAGGTCGGCTCTCGGGCTGTGGTTGGTGGCCATCCCAGCAGAGGCCACCTGGGACATGGAGCCTCTCCTCTCATATCCGTCACCTGCCCCAGGACTGGCCTCACCTGGAGTCAGGATCACAGTGCCCTCTGGAGCCCCATGCAGCCTGCCTAGGCAGTACCCTCACACCTGGCCGAGCAGCCTTCTCTCCCCCTCTGGCCGCAGCAGGGGCGCCGGGCAGCCTTGGCCACAGCGCAGCCTGCAGTGACCGAGGGCGCAGGCAGGGGGCACGCACACGCCATGGCTCACCTGAGAGGGTGGCAGGGGCTGCGTCTTCCAGTTCCTCCCATTGGTCCTGAGAAGTGCCAGAGAACACCTGTGCCCTGGGGCAGGGCGGGGCAGGGCAGGGCAGGGCAGGGCAGGGCAGGGCAGGGCAGGGCAGGGCAGGGCAGGGCAGGGCAGGGCAGGGCAGGGCCGGCAGCCCTCCCCCCAGCCCCAGGAGAGGCAGGACTCACCCAGGAGCCAGGCGGGTGGCAACAGGACTCCTGGACACCGCAGACAAAGTCTCTTCCTTTTGTCCGGAGCAGGAATTCACACCTGAAGAGAGTGAGCTCAGAAGCCCCATGGGCAGTGGGCTTGGGCTGGCAGAAAGCTCCCCTCACTGAAAAGCCCCTGGGGCCGGGGTCCTGCCTGCTGCTCCTGTCCCCCCCCCTCACCACAGTGCCCTGCGGGGGACAGGTGGGGCTCCCTGAGTGATGGGCACTTGCTGAGAAGGCTGTTTGAAAAGCAGCCTCTGTTGAGCATCAGGGAAAAAATGGCAGAAGAGCCATCCCCAGAGGGGCCCCCACCCCCAGCTCAACATCTCCAGGGCTGCAGACCAAGGAGCTTCCCTCAGGGCCCTTACCTGGGGAACCACCTGGCGTGCTCTGTCCAGGGGTCATCCCCTTGCTCCCAGTTCCACAGACCCCCGCAGCAGCAGAAGCACCTCACCATGTCCTGTTGGCCTGGGGGAGCAGAGATGCTGGCCGTCCCCACACCCAGCCGCTCCCCTTGGGCTAGGTGTGTCTCCCAGGCTGGGGACAGAGGCTCTCAGGTGGTCCTTCCTGATGGGGCAGGGGCTCTCTGAGGTCACACGAGCCTTGGGGCTCCCCCCAGCCTCTGCCACCTCCTTGCCCCACATTCTTCCCAGGTATCGTGTGCACCTCTGTCTTCTCAAAGGGGAAATGAAACAATGGCACCTGAGCACTTGCCTAAAGGGGCAGGAATGGAGCACCCAGTCCCAGAAAGGCAGGCGGTGGGCGGGGGCAAGCCCCTGCCCTGGACCACCCTGTCACCTGGGAGCTTCAGGGGACAGAAGTACACCCCCGTACCTCTACCCAGGTGCCACCTCCCCAGGATGGATTCTCAGCGAGAGAAAAGGGGGCACTGCCAGGCTCACATCTTTGCGGGGGGGCTCTTCTCTCTACTTCACCCTCCACCCGTCGTCAATAGAATTGGCACCTGGTACAGCCTGCAGATGAGGGCTGCAGGCACGTCCCCCCAGCAGACCTCTTGAGGGCCTGTCCCTGGACTCCCAGGGGCCCCACAGATGTTCCTCCTCCCGGCTCCAACTGTCCCACCATTGACCCCCCCATCAGCGTCCACCTGTCCTGTCGTTCTGGCCTCTTCCCAGCTGCACCTGTCACAGTCTGAAGCATACGCTCAGGAGGGACACCAGGGCAGGGAGCAGGGGTGCCAAGCTGCAGGACCCCGCCCCTTCTTCGTCAGGCCTGGAGTTCCCTGCTACGGGGGATGGGCTCCTCGGAGAAGGTGGGCCCTCAGTGCACAAGGGACTCACTGGAGTAGAAGAAGCCAGCGGTGGCCAGCAGCTCGGGCCGCACCATGGCAGTCAGCGGCCAGTCATAGAAGGAGGCCAGCCGCACCTCCCGGGAGCCCATCGAGGGGAAGGAGGGCCTCAAGCAGAGTAGGGTCCTGGGACTCCAGCATGGGGTAGCCCTAGCCCCCTCCACCTGCTCTGCCAGGGGATGCAGCTGGCCCAGGATCTGCCCGTCCATGAGGTCCCGGCCTCCCCAGGACAGGGTGCTGCTGGAGTCCTGGCCCAGGAGGTGGCTGCACTGAGCGTGGGGTCCACAGCACCCCCGTGTGGGGCTGTCTCCAGCTGCCCAGCGGCTTGGCTCCAGGCCACAGCACCAGCACGTGGCCCCGTCCGCAGGCCCTATAAAGGAAACACCAGCCCTGACCTGTCCTGCTGCAAGGCCAGGGGCCCGGGCCAGCCAGGCCTGGAGCATGCCCGGCCAGCCTGCCTCACGGCTCCTGTGCCTCGGGCCCTGCCTGGGGGCAGTGGTGACCTTTGCATCACACCGCTAGGAGATGAGGGCAGGCAGGGTCCTGCCCCCCAGATGCCCCAGGTGGGGGAAGGGCCAGGGGACCCTGAGGGCCACTGGGGTCTGCTGCTTTCTGAAGGGGCCAGCCTGGGAGCCAGCTTCACGTGCTGTCTGTGGTGGGCATGTGCCATGGGGCCGCAGGGCAGCGCTAAGGTAGTAGGGGCTGCAGTGAGGGTCAAAGGTCTCCCTCCACCTCTGGGACAAGCGGGAGGGTCCAGAGCACAGAGACCCCTCCCAGGCGGCTGAGGGCTGGCTTCAGGGCTGCAGGGGCGACGCTGGTGGCGCGTTCAGAATTTCTGGGCCTGGCGCCCAGGCAGCCTCTGCACGCAGAAGGTTCCAGGTGCTCTGAGCTATGCAATTAGTCCTGCCCGGGAGGCTGGGTGATCCTCTCCCCGGCAGCCCGGGGCAAGCAGGGGTGTGGAGGGAAGGGGTGCGCCTGGAGCCATTTACCTGGATGTCCTCCTGCTCTGAGCCCTGGAGCGGAAGGGGCTTGAGAGATCCCTGTCCAGCGGGCACGGGAGGGCCTCCACAGGTTCAGGCAGCTCTAGTGCTCAGGGTGTGGAAGGGGGGCAGATGGGGTCCCGCCTCCCCAAGGTTCCCAAGCCACCCCCTCCTCCCCTACCTCCCTCTGGACCGCAGGCCTACGCTCTAACCGCTGAGCCAAACCGGCCAGGGCTCCCCTACCTCCCTAGGCCTCAGGGAGGGTCTTTGGGACTGGGAACATTTCAAGGTCAGTTTTCCCATTTGAATTCGAATCCTGGCTCCTGGTCTGGAGGGGGCCTGGGGTTTGGGATGGCACCTGCTCCAGGCCCAGGTCGAAGCTGCTGGCCATGCGGGTGTCCCCTTCCCTGGAGGGGTGTCCCCTCAAGCTTGGTCACAGCCACATGGTCTCCGCCAAGCAGCCCAAGCCCAGGGTCCCCAGTGTCCCCAGTCCCAACAGGCAGGGAACGTGGGAGAAGGGATGTAACTTTCGATAAGCCTGAGCCCCCAGGTGAGCAGGTCACAAAGGCTCTGGTGTGGAAGGGACAAAGAAGAATACTAGATGGGGTGCGGGGCCCTGCCCCATCGTCCCTCCCCGGGGCAAACCTCCTCCCTCAGCTCTCTAGCCTGCTCAGGCCCTAAACCCCATCACCCCTCTTTCTCGTTGCCTGATCCGGTCAGCCCCGGCCTGATCTCAGTGCGTCAGACTCTTAAAAATAGTTCACCAAGACTAAAACGAGGAACCAGGCTCCGAAAGGCCATTGCTGATGGCGGATGGGGTTCCCAAAGCCTGGCTGACAGCATGGAGCTAGGAGGAGGGGTTTCCTAACCTGGGCCCGAGCTCTCCGGCACCCCACTGGCCTCCACTCACCTCCGACCTGTGTGAGCTCACGCAGACCAAAGCCTGGGGCCCGCCCTCTTATACACCAGGGCGCAGCTGTGCCTCACTCCTGGCAGGTGGGGATGGGGGTGGGGAGCTGCCATCCACTTTCCTGAGATCCATCACTCTCACCGTCCTGGCTACACCACCTGCTCGGCCCAGTTGTTGCCGGAGTTCTAGCAAGTCCCTCGAACCCTCTCCTTTCAGGGTCCAAGGCCACCTGGTTTCCGGCCGGAAATCCGGGCAAAGGGTGTGGCCCAGGAGCACCCTGACCTGTGGTGCAGGGCAAGGCCTCCAAGGGAGCCCAGGGTCCCAGGTGAGCCCATTCAGGGCCCAGGAGAAGGCTTTCAGTGAGGGCCGGCATGGGCTAACAGGGTCAGGAAGGCGGGGCACACGGAGCCTCTGAGCTCCCTGCTGGCGGCTGCCGGCTCTGTGGTCCCCACCTTGACGTTCTTAATACTTTTGCCCTGTGGCCGGTGTGGCTCAGTGTTTGAGCGTCGACCCCCGTACCAAGAGGTCTCTGGTTCAATTCCTGGTCAGGGCACATGCCCAGGATATGGGCCTGATCCCTAGTGGGGAGCATGCAGGAGGCGGCCAATCGATGTTCTCTCATCGATGTTTCTATCTCTCCCTCTCCCTTCCTCTCTCTCTAAAGTCAATAAAGAAAAAAAACCTTTTGTCTTTGCATTTGTGTTTTGTAAAGTGATGTCTGATAGGACAAAGGGGCGTGTACTGGGGCCTTGGGGCCTCCCTGTACCACACCCTAGGACCCCTTCTCAGCTGCCCACACACCTGTCAGTGACTACGACCACCCTTCACCCCGTGTGGGCCTGAGTGTGAACACAGAGGAGTGCCAGGTCACAGTGGTGGGCTCGGCATGTCCATGAGGGTCTGTGTTCCCCTGTGAGCACTGCTGCTCGAGGGACCATGACATTAAGTAGCAAACAGTAAATCCCAGGACAGGGCCAGAGAGATGACTGAGGAGAGCATGGCCCACGTACCACCCAGCAGCCAGCCGGCTGGGCCTTCCTGGGCTGGGGCCACCCTGCTGGTTGCCAGGTGAGGCACCTCTCCAGGTGCCAAGGTTCCTCTCAGTACCATCTTGGCACCACCTGGTCTGGAGGGGGCTGCCAAGCAACCCTCTTCTGGCTGCCACATGGGCCACCAGGCAGGCATGTCCGCATCATGCTCCCACACTCAGGACAGAGGACAGTTTGTGTGGAGGCAGAAGGTGCCCTTGTCGGAGTGGAGTTAGGACAGTGCAGGTCCAGCTGCTGGATAAGCAGAGAGGGAGGTGACTGGGCCGTGGACCAGCATTGGGGACTGCGGGCCCCTCGGGGAAGCCCTCAGAAGCAGCAGGGTCCAGGGGAGTCCACCGAGGATGGGGCGGGCTGCCGAGCACCAGGAGCTGGTTCAAGTCCTCCAGCTGGCCATGGATGATCTGCATTGCCCGGGTGAGCTCTTTAACTTGTGGGAAACTCAGCTGCTTCTAACTCAGTCATTTGCTCTCTACCTATTGGGTCACGGGCCTTGCACGTGCCGAGTTGTCTTGCCACAACTACTCAGAAGTAGACACAGGTGTGTCCTGGGTGGCACTTCCCTGGGCTGCTCTTCGAGCGGGTGAGCAGTGACCTTTGTGCCCTGGCTAGGAGTCCTAGCTGGTGAGCATCTGCCCTTCCTTCCTGAGGCTGGCGCGGCACACCTGGCTCCGTCTCAGCTGTGATCCAAGGTGACCCGATTACCCCCGCCTTTCTCCCTTCTGGGTCCCAGGACAGCATCTGGTTCATTCTGTCCGCACGCCTGCTAGGGTCCTGGCACACAGCAGGTGAATGAATGCTGACCAAGCTGAGCCACTTTGCAGGCTGCGGAAGTGTCCCCTCACCGGGAGCTCCACAGGGCAGGGACTGGCTCGGCTCGTACACTGCACGGGCTAGGGCACGGAGCAGGTGCTGTTCATGGTAACACTTAGAACCAGGTATTTAAAGAGAAGTTCCACAGCTGTAAAGGAAGCAAGTCAGGGTTTCTCTGGAGGGGGAGTAGGAGGAGCCTTCAGAACAGGAGCAGGAATTTTGGGGACAAAGCAGCTCCTGAGACAGCACATGGGAGGGGCTTCTGGAAGGAAGTCGCTTCGCTGACTAGGGACGAGCTGCAGTTTAACTGAGGTGACCGGGCAGTGGGAGATGCAGAATGGTGTCTTCATTTTCAGGCCCCTAGAGGCCAGCTGTTGGGTGTCCAACACCCAGGTGGGGCTTGCTCTGGCTGCGTGGTCACCTGAACTCAGAGACACTGGCCTTAAGGTGTCCCCCCTCCAACCCCCAGCTCAGAAGAAGGTCCCCCTGTCAGCTAACCGGCACAGCCACTTTGGGTGGTGATCTGCCAGATCTAACACTGCATAGGTGGCCGATGTGAGTGCACTTTGACCCAGTGACCCCGCTGCAGGAACCTCCCACCAAGTGTCCTCGCACAGGTGTGCACACTCATCAGCGCCAGGGCACTCACTACAGTGAGGCCAGAACCTGAATAGCCTCAGAATGACCTCAGGAGGTAAATGGGAACTGGGCCAATAAAGGGGAAAGACCATGTGACCGTGGAGGATGAGCACCGGAATGCCAGAGACGCCCGGGGCCACCAGTAGCTGGAAGAGACGGAAAGGGTCCTCCCCTGGAGCCAAATCCCCCAGGTCAAGAACCTAACATGCAAACTGGTTCTAAACTGGGGAGCCCAGAAAGCAGCACCGTCGGAGACGCCGGGCCCCGGGCTTCAGGGGGGCAGCTGGCCCAGAGGGCGAGGCCACACACACAACTCAGGAAGCCCAGGCCTAGAGGCAGAGAACCCAGAGCTCACACCCTGGGCGCCCCTCCTAGGGATGCTGGTGCAGCGCTCGGCGCGAAGGGCAGGGCTGCCTGGACTCCAGCCTCCGGAAGTGGCTTTAACCGGTGGCGGAGCTCGCAGACTTGGCTTCTTTGCCTCCCCGGGACGAGCGGGGTGCCTTCGGGGCTCCGACCTGCGCCAGCACGCGCCTGGGAGGAGCAGCATTACCCTACGCTGCCCACGTGACTTCCCGGGCGCGCCCCGCCCCCGGCCCCGCCCAGGCCGTGCGAGGCTGGGACCCGGGCGTGAGATCCGTCCCGCGGGGCTGCAGTGCGCAGGCGCGGCGCGTGGCTGCTCCTCGGCGCTCCCGGCTTGCCCCGCGCGCGCTGACGTCGCACAGCCTCGTCCCCGCCGTCGCCGCCGCCGACGCCGCCATTGGAGTCGGCGCCTCGTCCGTGTGTTCCGTCCCTGCTCCCCGCGCTGCGTCGCGTCCCACGAGCGGCTCGCGCGCCCATCAGCCGCCGCCGCGGCCGCCCGGCCGGCGCCCGGGGAAGGGGCGGCGGGCCCGGGGCCGCGAGAGCGCGGTGACAGGCCCGGCCTCGCGGGAGGCCGAGCCGGCGGGCGCTCCCGCCCCGCGCCGGCTGTTCATGAAGCATGTCGGCCACCAGCGTGGACCCCCAGGTAGCGGGCCGGGCCGGGGGGTCGGGCCGGGCCGGGCGGCTGGGCGGGGGCCGGGGTCGGGCCGCGGGCGGCGTCGCGTGTGACCGCCGATTCCGTCCGCGCCGCCGCCCGGGAGGGTTCCGGCCAGTAACTTTGTTTCCCTTCCCTCCGGGTCCCGTCCGCTCGCACGTGCCGGCCTGCGGGGTGCAGAGAAGCAAAGGACAGGAGAGTAAAGGTGAGCGGGCCGGGCGCGGTGCAGCCCCGCGCGCGGGGGGCCGGCGGGGTCGCGGAGGGGGCGGGGGGCCTCGAGGAGCGGAAACTCCCCCGGCCTCGGCGACGGAACTCTAGCTGGTGGTGTGGGGGAGGGGGGATTTGACAGGTCGGAAGCTGGGACTTTTCGTGGGTGGTGAGAGGAACCGCCAGGCGTTGGTTTGGGTCGCGGAGGGGCCGAGGCCCAGGAGCCTGGCCCCGGGGTGAGGGGCTGGCGCCTGGCGGGGGCCGTGGCCCTCCCCTCCCCGCGACCCCTCCACGCCCGCACTGCCAGCGCTGGTCTCTGAGCCCCCCGTCCTCCCCTGCGATAGTCTGGCCTGGGGGAAACCCCCAAAACGCACCCTGTGAGAACCTGTAAGTGACACTTCACGTGTACTTGGAGGACTGTTTTTAACCAGTGTGTGTGACTCGGGTGTAACCAAATATGGTTCATCGTGTTTTCGGTTGGAAAAGGCCCAGTACTTTATTTACCTTTCCTTTCCTGGCTCAGCCTTGTAACTGTGGAAAATGCAGGGAGAGCCAGATAATAACAAGTTGAGAAACGTCATTCAGATACAGCCTGTTTGTTTCCCAGCTGCGCCGATGCTGACCGAGGCCCGGTCCCCTCTCCTCCACGCAGACCGTGAAGCGCCCTGCTCGACCTAAATGTTAGAGGCTTCACCTTGACCAAAACCTGCTTCCAGGGTCCTTGCGTCATTTTGTCTGCACCTCTGTTTTGTCCACATCTATGAAACGATGATAGAATCTTGGTCAAAAAAGCATCACCTCGGTTACTGAAAGTTCTAATTAGTTGCTCTTCGAGTTAGTTGTTAAATGTCAGTTGTATACTGTTTATGTCCATTTTTAAATAAAAGCAGTTTCTATCAGAAATTGGTGGGCTTAGACTTTGCTACCTTTCAACTTCATTGCTTAAAAGTAATTTATAATCGTTTTTTTTAAATCCTCACCCGAGAACATTTTTTTTTGCATTTACCTTTTGCAGATAGAGCGGGAGGGAGAGAAGGAGGAAGAGAGAGAAAAACATTAACATAAGAGAAACATATTGAGTGGTTGCCACCCACACGACCCCAACCAGGGCCGGAGACAAACTGCAACTGAGGTGTGTGCCCTTAGCGGGAACCAAACCTGGGCCTCTCTGGTCCACCGGCTGATGCTCTAACCGCTGACCCAAACTGGCCAGGGGAATGCTTAACAGTAATTTTTAAAAATTCAAACATATTTGTTTCTACCATTTGTTCTAGTGCAAAATGGCTCTTTGCATCAGAAGGACACAGTTCATGACAATGACTTTGAGCCCTACCTTTCTGGACAGTCAAATCAGGTGAGTTGGTTTCTTAATATGTGTTTCTCCACTGGTTTTGACTGAGTTATGTAATCTGCTCGTAGTGCCGTATTGCTGACTCGACTGTCGAGTGCTAGGAATCAGAGAGACTGCCGATGAGGGCGAGCTTGCATTGGTCATGGGCATGGCACAGGGAAGCTGGATCTCGAGGAAATGCCATCCCACCAGGACTGGCATGAAGCTGATTTCCAGTTGGCCTCAGCATTGGTGGGTCAGCGATGAGCTGCCTGGGACCAGGTGGAGGTGTGGTAGTTCTCTGATGATCTGTTCTCAGCTCTGGAAGATGGGAAGTGTGGTCCAGGACAGCAGCTAAGAGCCCAGCTCTGGGGCCTGGCTCCTGCCGTGGGTTTGAATCTCAGCCCCACCACTGACTGCACTTTCTCAGACGGCTTGTTTTCTGTGCCTGTTTCCTTTTCTATAAACCGGCATTGGTGAGTTTCAGAGACGTGTCGGGGGTGACATTAGATGGTGCGTGTAGAGCTCGGGCACGGTGCCCCGTTTTTTGATCTTGGCACTGTGGACATTTTGGACTGAGACATTCTTTGTGTTCTGCGTGGTCGGGTGTTTAGCAGCCTCCCCAGCGTTCATCCGTGAGATGCCATTAGCAACTGCCCCAACCACCACCGCCCCCAGTGTGATGACCAGAAGTGTCTCCTGGGGGTAAATCGCCCAGGTTAAAACCACCTACGATACTTGGAATTTAGGTTTATTATCTAAATATTTATAATGTCTATCTCTTGTAAAACACACTGTACTCATTTGTTTTAGAGTAAAAGCAGGTGTTGCCTCTTCCCTGTGGTGGAACAGAGCCAGTCTGCCCTTTCCTGAAGTGTTCAGGACTTCTCCTCACCCACCTTCCTGCTGCACTGCAGGTGGGCGTCCTGCCCTGAGAATCTGCCCTGCCTCTGGGGGCACCGGCACTGCGGGAGTAGCTGAGCCGGCCTCCGTGGTCCGCTCGTTGTGGCAGCGTGCAGTTGATGGAACTTTTTTGACTGTCTCATTTTTTTCTTAGGTGACTTAAATACTATCAAAATATTGTGTGTTAACTTTAACCAAAAGGGACAGGGTACTTCACTACACTTGAAATACATTTCTGTGCCCTGCCAGTTTGGCTCAGCGATTGAGCGTCAGCCTGTGTACCAGAGTCCCGGGTTTGGTTCCCGCTAGGAGCACGTACCACACACACACAAAAAGACATACATCTCCATGAGGCGGGGCTTTTGTGTTATCTGAGGATTTGTTTTAAAACGGACTAGATTTTTGGTGTCAGTGGCGTGGTCACAGCTCTGTGTGCCCTGGGGAAGCCACGTGGGAAGACCCTCGTGTTTGAAGCTCTGTGTGAACGGTCCCTTCATCCTGTGTGCTGAGAGTTGCACATTTCAGCCCTTCAGAGTGAGTCCAGGCTCTGGGCTGAGAACAGGTTTTACAGAAACACCGGCTGTCGTGGAGGGTGGGGAGCGGGGAGATACGGAGAGGAGAGCTCTTGGTCTTGCAGATGAAGAAACCAAGGCTCTGAGTCCTCGTCTGTGCGTGGTGGAGCCCAGCAGTGCGGAGCCAGGTCCATGTCCTCTGTCCCTGTGTCTGTGGCAGTTCCTCACGGGGCCATGTGGGCCCTGCTGGCAGACATACTCCTATTGGAAAAGTACTCTCTAGCCCTGGCCGGTTTGGCTCAGCGGTCAGAGTGTCGGCCTGTGGTCTGGAGAGACCCAGGTTCGGTTCCCACTAAGGGCATGTACCTTGGTTGCAGTTTGTCCCCGGCCCTGGTTGGGTTGTGTGGGTGGCAGCCACTCGATGTGTCCCTGTCACGTCGATGTTTCTGTCTGTCTCTCTCCCTCCCACTCTATCTGAACAAAATATCGGGAAAAAAATGTCCTTGGATGAGGAATGAAAAAAAAGAAAGAAAAGTGCTCTCTGTGTCTTGTCCCCCAGTTCTCACTGAGGATGTGCCGCTGTCCAGCCGCCAGGTGGTGGTGAGGGAGGTCAGACAGGCTGGTGTGGCAGGAGCGGCAAGCTGAGTCCTGTGGCTGCTCACAGTGCGCTGAGGCGGTGCTGACACGGGACGAGCTGTGTGCGCCTGGCAGTTCCGTGAGGACTCCGCGTGCACATGCACACCTGGCCTGTGGTGCTTTTCCTTCACCCAGACATTTGCCGCAGCCAGAGGCTACCCTGCTCTTTCATTCCGTGAGGCTTGACGCTGGGTGACATGGAGAACAGTTCAAGGCCTGCTGTGTCGGGACCTGGCTCGTGACGCCCTGGTGGGCAGCAGAGGCTGGCACCTGAGACGCCCGGCAGGGGCCGAGGAGCCGGCCTGTCTCATTGCTGCAGGCCTCTCCTCTAGGCAGGAGGCAGATGCAGGAGTCAGGCAGCCAGCTCCGTCTGACCTGGGGAGTTGGAATCACAGCCTGGAGCTTTAGGGAGTCTGCGTCACTTTGTCACTGTCGTGGTGATTGCCCTTGATACTTTTCCTTTTTACACACTTTAGTCAAGCTTTTTTTGTTTCCTTCTTAAGTAAGTGCTTCTCAGTGTACTCCAAAAACGGTCTGTTCCCCTGGGCTGCTGGGGTCCTTCCTCTCCCTCTAGTTCCTGCTCTTGGTCACTGTTGGCTGAGTCACCTCATTGTTTGTGAAATGTGAGCATTTGAGTAATTTCAGAATTCTTTTCTTTCTCAGAGAAATGGATATAGGAAGCAGACATTTCAACTTTAATGTGGTTAAATTTTAGTAAGTATGAAAAACTTTAACTCTAGAATAGGCTTATAGTTCTGCTGTACATCTGCCGCTGTTCTTCCAAGGAACACGGTCTGGGCATGGCAGTGCTGGCTGCGTGAAGCCCATGCCGAGCCTTTTGCTCGGTTTCCACTTGGTCACCAGACACGCCCAGAGCCCTGCCTGGAGGTCTCCTCTAAGCCTCGAAGCTGGTTTTGCCTTGACAGCTGTCTGAGGTGTGGCCTGAGTGGCAGTTAGCTGTCCCTCCTGTGAAAGCACCAGATGTGGTGAGTTTACCCCTGGAAGGAGATTCCTGCTCACAGGTGTCACCGTGAGGGGAGCAGGGCTGAATATATTCTCACCTGGTTTGCCCCCCGTCCTTGGTGAGTGGACTCCATCGGCACTACCTCGGTGTGCAGTTGACCGCGGGGACAGCTTGTTGGCGGTCACGGGCCAAGCGGGAGTGTGTTTGGGCTGGAGCACGTCTTGCCACATCCTGTTGGGAGCTCACGTGGGCCATGCTGGGCGCGGGGAGAAGTTGGCGGATAGCAGTCCACTTCATGCTGACGGACGGGGGTTAGGGTGGATTCGGGGTGGTTTCAGTTCCCTGTAAGTTCAGGAACGACCTCCCTCACGAGGCAGGGCCGGAGGCGGTGGTGTGGACAGCAGCCTGACCGTGGTCCATTCAGACCTCCCTTGGGGCAACATTCTCGGGCTTCTTCCTGCTCGGTGACTTATTCCCGTAACTTGTTGAACATGTGTGTCCTGTCAGGTGTGGCCGGTGCTGCCCAGTCTCGTTCCCACCGCCTGCCCTTGTGCTTGACAGGAGGCGTGGATGTCCCTGTGTCTCCTCCAGCCATAAGGCTAACTCATCCCCTGTTGTTTCCACAGAGCAACAGTTATCCCTCCATGGCCGACCCCTACCTGTCCAGCTATTACCCGCCGTCCATCGGATTCCCTTACTCCCTCAATGAGGCGCCGTGGTCAACCGGAGGGGACCCCCCCATCCCTTACCTCACCACTTACGGACAGCTCAGCAACGGCGACCATCACTTCATGCACGACGCTGTGTTCGGGCAGCCTGGGGGCCTGGGGAACAACATCTATCAGCACAGGTTTAACTTTTTCCCGGAAAACCCTGCCTTCTCCGCCTGGGGAACGAGTGGCTCTCAGGGGCAGCAGGCCCAGAGCTCCGCTTATGGGAGCAGCTACACCTACCCCCCAAGCTCCCTGGGCGGCACCGTTGTGGACGGGCAGACGGGGTTTCACAGCGACACCCTCAGCAAGGCGCCCGGGATGAACAGCCTGGAGCAGGGCATGGTGGGCCTGAAGATCGGCGACGTCACCACCTCTGCCGTCAAGACGGTGGGCTCCGTCGTCAGCAGTGTGGCGATGACCGGCGTCCTTTCTGGCAGCGGTGGGACAAATGTCAGCATGCCGGTTTCGAAGCCAACCTCCTGGGCTGCCATTGCCAGCAAGCCGGCAAAGCCACAGCCGAAAATGAAAGCCAAGGGTGGCCCTGTCATCGGGGGTGCCCTGCCCCCTCCGCCTATAAAACATAACATGGACATTGGCACCTGGGATAACAAGGGGCCCATGCCCAAGGCTCCAGCCCCCCAGCAAGTGCCGGCCCCTCAATCTGCCCCCCAGCCTCAGCCGGTCGTGCAGCCTCTGCCCGTTCAGCCCCCCCCTTTGGCCCAACCACAGTATCAGAGCCCGCAGCCGCCACCACAAACCCGCTGGGTAGCCCCACGCAACAGGAACGCGGCGTTTGGGCAGAGCTCCGGGACCGGGGGTGATAGTCACTCCCCTGGAAGCACCCAGCCTAGTTCTGCCCTGGGCACAGAATCCCACCCGGTCCTTGAGAAACTGAAGGCTGCCCACAGCTACAACCCTAAGGAGTTTGACTGGAACCTGCGGAGTGGCCGCGTGTTCATCATCAAGAGCTACTCGGAGGACGACGTGCACCGCTCCATCAAGTACTCCATCTGGTGCAGCACTGAGCATGGCAACAAGCGCCTGGACGGCGCCTTCCGCTCTGTCAGCAGCAAGGGGCCCGTCTACCTGCTCTTCAGCGTCAATGGCAGCGGCCACTTCTGTGGGGTGGCCGAGATGAAGTCGCCTGTGGACTACGGCACGAGCGCTGGGGTCTGGTCTCAGGACAAGTGGAAGGGCAAGTTCGACGTGAAGTGGATCTTTGTCAAGGACGTGCCCAACAACCAGCTCCGGCACATCCGGCTGGAGAACAACGACAACAAGCCCGTCACAAACTCCCGCGACACCCAGGAGGTGCCCTTGGAAAAAGCGAAGCAAGTGCTGAGGATCATCGCCGCCTACAAGCACACCACCTCCATCTTCGACGACTTCTCCCACTATGAGAAGCGCCAGGAGGAGGAGGAGGTGGTCCGCAAGGTGCGTGGGGCCGGGCCTCACCTCGGGGCCCGCCTCGCGGGCCGGCCCTGCTGGTGACGTCCCATCTCCCCTGGTTTCTAAGAAATGGTGATCGGGACCACCGTGCACTGTTCTGTGTGACGGCTCGGGGTGACTCACTGCTCCTCTGTGAGCCGTGGTTCTTCCTGGAACAGTGCCTCCTAGTCCTGGTGGAGTCGGGGACGCTCACACATTCTGCTCTTGGGCACGGGCTGCAGGGAGCGCTGGGCTGCAGGGCATCGCTCACTTGTTCTCGGAACCCAGCACCCTGCAGTTTTCAGAAAACTGACTGGCTCTGTGGGTGCTGAGAAAGTGGGGGGCTGGGTGCAGACACATCAGAACAGCTGAAGCCCGGAGTCGGGTCTCTGAGGGCCACCTTCCCATTGTGCAGAGACATCTGGAGCCGGGGGGTTGCAGCCCCAAGAGGAGGGACGTGGGTGCCCGCTGGCTGGCCCGAAGTGGGAGTGAAGACAGCGGAGCATTCCAGGGGCTGCTTCGTGCCTGACCTCAGCCCAAGATTTTTCCCTGTGATTTTGTTTTTAAAATGTCCTTTCTTTTGTGAAATGGTAGTTGATAATAAGTGGGTTTTTTATCTCTTTTTGGTTGTCCATGTTTTTTAAAAAAGTATTGCCCATCTGTGAGCTTCATATGCCCCAAAGTGCTTTAGCAGAAAGTCTACGGTTGTGAACTTACTAGTGACAACTCGGTGAGCGGAACCTTGGGAACAGGTCACTCTCTTCTCTCGTTCTCTCATGGAAAAGAAGGGCTCGTCATTTATGTCCCGTTACTGAAATCCCATATTTTAGATCTTTAAGGTGTAGCATAAAATAGCTAAAATAAATAAAATTGCTGAATTCACAGGGTCAGAACAGAGCTCCTTGGTTTGCAGCCCGAGGGCCTTAGGCGGCTTGTGGCTGGTGCTTGGCTGTGTGTGTAGTTCATTTTAACATTAGGATGTTTCCCCGAAGCTCACTGGTTCTGTAATTTTTTTTATCCTCACCCGAGGACACTTTTCCATATTTTGTTCAGATAGAGTGAGAGGGAGGGAGAGAGAGAAACATCGACGTGAAAGGGACACATCGAGTGGCTGCCACCCGCACGGCCCAACCAGGGCCGAGGACAAACTGCATCCGAGGTACGTGCCCTTAGCAGGAACCGAACACCTGCTTGATGTTCAGGGGTTCTCGTGCCCCGAGACTTGCAGTCGCCGCCTGTGAGTGAGTTGGTTGTTGGGAGGGAGAGCCTGTGGGCAGATCAGCACGTGGCTGTGCGCCTTCCCCCAGCAGCCCACAGGCTTCTGAACTCCACTGGGACACAGGTCCGGCTGTCACTCCCTGGGCGCCCTGGGAATCTCAGGGTGTTAGTGTTCCCTTAACTCGCACGCCAGGAGTGAGAGGCAGGAGCTCACTGCAGTGCACTGGGTGGCTCTCTGCAGCGCCTCCCAGCAGGGCGCTCGGGCTCCCTGGTCTCAGGAGTCGGACACGGGGCTTTTCAGACCCAGGCTTGTGTTTAGGCCACCTGGCTCACCACACCCAGGAGCAGCCGCCTTTTGTCAGTAAGGTGGAGGTGACATCTGGCAGGACTGCCGTGCTGTCCTGTCTCGGCTGAAATGTGTGAGCCCATTGACCCCTTAGGGAGCACTGACTCTTAGGAGCTGCGTCAGACCTGGTCCTGCAGGGTGTCAGCCTGGAGACCCTGCCTTTCCGTTCTGCGCCGAAGCTCTCGCTCCAGTGGGACAGCCTCGTGGAGCCGCGGAGCCGCGGGCTCGCAGCCCAGGGCAGCAGCGGTTCATGGTGGTGATGCTTTTTCTTCACTCTCCTAAGGACGTTTTTGCATTTGTCTTCAGATAGAGCCAGAGGGGGAGGGGGAGGGAGAGAGAGAGAAATGGCGACATTGAGTGGTTGCCACCCACATGGCCCCAACTGGGGTGGGGGACAAACTGCAACCAAGGTACGTGCCCTTAGCGGGAACCGAACCCGGGACTCTGGTCTGCAGGCCAACGCTCTAACCGCTGAGCCAGACCAGTCAGGGCAGTTTATGATGGTGATTCTTTTTAAGAGAATACAAAATACAGTTGTGGGTGGCCCTGGCCAGTTGGGCTCGCTGTCGGAGTGTCAGCCTGAAGACCAAAGAGTCTCGGGTTCAATTCCCGTCAAGGGCACGTACCTCAGTTGCGATTCAGTCCCTGGCCTGGTCAGGTTCATGCAGGAGGCAACCAATCGATGTCTCTCTCACATCAATGTTTCTCTCTCTCTCTCTCCCTCTCTCTCTCTCTCTCTCTCTCCTTTTCTTTCTCCCCCTCCACCCACCCCTCCTGTTCTCTCTCTCCCCCACTGTACCTGAAGATAAATGGAAAAATATCCTCGGGTAAGGATTAAAAAAAATATATAGTTGTGAACTTACCAGGTTTAAAGGTCAGGGCAAGGAGGAGGTGCTACTTCTTAAAGCAATGTTGGCTTTCAGGACTGGCCCTGGGTGACTGGGGAGAATTGGGATGTGTTGTTAACCTGAAGACACATTCAGTCCATTTTTAGCAAAAGAGGGATTCCCTTTGTTGCGTAACCCTTTCAGTATCTAGTAACCCCGTCTGCTGAGGACTCTCCCACACTGCAGTGTCTTTCACAAGCCTCATCCTGGTTACCAGACTGGGCGGGATGAAGTGGGCAGGCAGGGCACCCCCAGTGCGGGGCACATGCTCCTCCTCGGCACGGCCCACACCCCAAGCTGAGTTTGGTGACAGCGTTGTGAGAGGCCCTGCTGCCGGGACACAGGTGGGCGAGGAGGCTCAGCGGGGAGTTGCAGCCGGTCACACCCGCTGGGACACCAGCCAGAGGAGCCTAGAGCAGGCAGGTGCCGGGTGCAGTGGTCAGCAGGCCTGGTCTGCCCAGCCACGGCCTGAAACTGGAACTGCTGGCAAAGGGGGTGTCCAGGGGCTCAGGCCCGGGGCCGCCTGGGCACAGTGTGGGGGGGGCTCTCAACTGTCCACCCCGGGGCCGCCTGGGCGCAGTGTGGGGGGAGCTCTCAACTGTCCACCCCGGGGCCGCCTGGGCGCAGTGTGTGTGGGGGGCTCTCACCTGTCCCCCGGGTTAAGCTGGCTTCCTCTCTCTCTCGCAGGAACGGCAGAGTCGGAGCAAACAATGAGGATGAGCGGTTTCTGTTGTGATCTGATGTTTGGTTGAAAAGCTGAGTTTCCGATGTTGCTCGGTGCTGTGTCCTGGCCTCAGCTCAGCCGTCTTCCTGTGCGGCCCGTGTGGCCTCTGCGTTCTTTGTCGTTTGTTTTGCCCAGGTGGCTTCTCACCCACGTGTATTTTTCTGTGTATTATAGTATTGTAGGACTCACTAATAAAGGAGAATGTTTTTGTCATCTTATCAATCAAATCGATTTAATACAAAAATAAGTATTTAAAAAAAACACCTAGTACACCCCAAAGATTTATTTTTTAATTTTGGCAGAAATTATGTTCTTGTTCTTATATTCATGGTCATTTAGCATCTTTCTTTGGAACTTCCTCACCCCATTGCTTCGCCGTGAGCACAAACCATAAGTTGTTTTGTCTGCAGTGTACGTATCGAACATGCTTCGAAACGCCGAGCTCAGCAGGTGAGCCGTCCCCATACCTGGCTGGTTTGCCATCTTTGTGATCAGTTAACCTGTCTGAATGCTACTCTGCCCATCTGGTCTTAAGACCACACAGAAAGAAGTTTCCCTTTCTCACAGCTGGTGACAGCGTGTTTCCTCGGTCCCGCCGTCTGCAGCCTCACCGAGCAGCGCGTGTGTCCAGGCTCCCGTGGCCGTGTGCACCGCGTGTTGATCCCTTTCCTTCACCTGGGAGTCCTGATGCCAGGTGGGCTTCACTCTGGTGTCTGAGCTCTGCCCGAGGCTCTGCTCCGGCGCAGAGGGCCCCGGGGCGCTGCGTGTCTACGCTCCTCTCTCCTGGTCATGGGTCAGCGAGCAAAAAGCAGACAAAAACCTCTAGAAACTGAGTTTGCGGTCATGGGTGGAATGAGGACCCGCTGAGCTGCCGTCACCTGGAGTCCGAGTCGAAGCATGAGGTGCTCCCGCCTGCCACGCCAGCACATGTCTGCACGTCCCCGTAGAGGGCCTCGCCGCGGAGAGCGGTTCCTCCTGAGAACTGCTCCGGAAGACCCTCCGAGTCCAAGTTCAGGCTGTGCTATTTAGACTTGTGTGTAGGACGTGTCCCTCTCTGAACTGGCAGCGCCTGGACGGAGTCCGAACAGCACGGGACAAGTTCCTCTAGGAGAGTACAAGCCTTAATAAACAACCTGTTAGCAGGCCTGGTGTCCTCCCTGCTTCACCCCGCTTCTCCGGGCTTCCGCTGCAGAGCCAGTTAAAGGGCGCTGCCCTGAAGCCCACATGTCTGCTGGGGTGCCGATGGCCCCCTGAGACCAAGCCATCACCTCACTCACTTGAGTGCTGAGTGGGTGGAGGAACCTGCAGGCCCAGTGTTCCCTACGTTTACCAGGAGCCTTTGGGATCAGCAGCAGAAGTGGGGCTGTGCCCTGAGGCCAGCACTCAGCTGCTGACTGCTCGTCCCCCCACCCCCATTCCCGCACCCTCTGCCCGGTCCCAGCACTCAGCTGCTGACTGGTGGTCCCCCCACCCCCATTCCCACACCCTCTGCCCGGTCCCAGCACTCAGCTGCTGACTGCTCGTCCCCCCACCCCCATTCCCGCACCCTCTGCCCGGTCCCAGCACTCAGCTGCTGACTGCTCGTCCCCCACACCCCCATTCCCGCACCCTCTGCCCGGTCCCAGCACTCAGCTGCTGACTGCTCGTCCCCCACACCCCCATTCCCGCACCCTCTGCCCGGTCCCAGCAGTCAGCTGCTGACTGGTGGTCCGCCACACCCCCATTCCCGCACCCTCTGCCCGGTCCCAGCACTCAGCTGCTGACTGGTGGTCCCCCACACCCCCATTCCCGCACCCTCTGGCCGGTCCCAGCACTCAGCTGCTGACTGCTCGTCCCCACCCCCATTCCCGCACCCTCTGCCCAGTCCCAGCACTCAGCTGCTGACTGGTGGTCCCCCACACCCCCATTCCCGCACCCTCTGCCCGGTCCCAGCACTCAGCTGCTGACTGCTTGTCCCCCCACCCCCATTCCCGCACCCTCTGCCCGGTCCCAGCACTCAGCTGCTGACTGCTCGTCCCCCACACCCCCAGTCCCTCCTGCCTGGCTGCAGAGGTGCACCCTGTAGAAAACCGGTGTACAATCAAGAGTGCACCAGTTTTCCCTTTGGGTAAAAGCTTTGACAGGCGTGACAGGCAGAGCATCAGCGTGGTCCCGGGTGGTGACACAGGAACTCAGTGCTGGGTGGAAGGGAAGTCTACCGAGGACTGAGCTCAGAGGCGCGTCTGCTGCCTGGGGACTGGTCTGCCAGGAGGGGCAGCTTTGCCTTTGCTCAGAGTTGCTTCGGTGGCTTTATCAGAGGAAAGTGATAGACCTGGAGCATCAGCTTCCTCGCACCTGCCACTTTCTTACGTTTGGTCATGAGTCCTCCAAACGTGGTGTGGTCCCTGGTTTGTAAAGTGACAGGCTGCATGTTGCGCTGGGTGTGCTGCAGTTACAGCAGCATGTCCCTCAGTGTGGGGCCTCGGCGGGTGGGTGGGCAGGGGACGAGGCGGTGTGCTGATGACCAACCTGTGTGGCAGGTCAATGGCTGAGTCCTTAGATGATGTCATCACCTCTCTGAAGGCTCCCTCCAAGCCCTGGGCAGGGGGCTGCCTCCCGCTTGGATCCCTGGCTCCCAGAGGGCCTGGTCTGCAGGGAGGCTGTGCATCTGAGGTGGGAGATGAGTGTGAGGGTGGGGGTGGTTTTCTTTTTCTTTTTTTAATTTTTTTTCTTTCTTTTAGAGAAAGGGAGAGAGAGAGAGAAACATCGATAAGAGAGAACATTGATTGGCCGCCTCCTGCATGCCCTCCATTGGGGATCAGGCCCACAACCGGGGCATGTGCCCTGACCGGGGCATGTGCCCTGACCGGGAATTGAACCTGTGACCTCTTGGTGCAGGGTCAGTGCTCAACCACTGAGCCGCACCAGCTGGACAACATGGGGCGATTTCCTGAGGATGCCACATAATGTTCAAGGGCACAGGTGCTGCCAGTTGCATGCCCCCCAAAGCAGCTGGGTCACTCTTTCCCCCGTGCCCACCCCGAAGCAGGCCATGTGCAGACTCCCAGTTCCCCCGGGAGTGCTGTTAGCCCGCTGAGCTCGCAGAGGTCCCCCAGGCTCTAGGATTTCCTCACAGGGTCTCGCCCACCATGGCCCTCGCAGGCCACCCACCGTGGGCCTATCAGCGGATTCTGTCGCTCGGGGCTCTTGCCGTCCGAGACTGAGGAACTCTGACTCCGGTGGGATGGAGGCAGCCTGAAGCCGAGGCCCGTGGCCCCGCCACTCACCCGAGTCCTGGCTCTCGTTCATGTCTCACTGAGCCAGCGGCCAGCGCCCTGACCTCTTCCTGCACCCCTCCCTGCTGGTGCCTCCTCTGCAAAGGTCCTCCTGAACCCTCCTATGCCCCCCGTCCCCCCATGCCATCCCTGCATGAGCCCCAGTCTCCCACGATCCCTTCTCTGCAGCCTGTGGTTGCTTTTGAGATTTGCGGGTTGAATTATTTTTTCAAAAGCAACGTTATTAGAAAAGGCATTTGAACAGCTGTCCTGCACCACGGTTTTTCTGTAATAATTCTTTCTGTGGGTGAGAGTCACATGGTGAAGTGTTTTGAGCTTAAAGAACACCCAGTAGAAAATGTTTCTTCTCAGAGTTCATCTTTATTTACTGGAAAGAACCCCAAGAAGAGGGTCCAGGGTAAGATGAGACTGTGCCTTCCAGAAGAATGGATGAAGAACGGCTTGCCCCTGGGGTGAAGTGATTGGGGAGATGCAGTTGGGGTGCCAAGATGGAGGTCTCCCTGACATTTTGGGGGATTGTGGGGAAAGGATACTGGAGACTACTCAAGGGTCAGCTGGGTCTGAGGCTTGGGTACTGATGGCCAGGACCCTCCATGGCTTGGAAGAGCTGTCCTCATGTGGGGTTGGGGATATGATATCACACATCCCACCCTACTGTCTGTCACTGAACACCCCACACTTCACTAAACCCTCATATCTACCTTTCCTATTTCCTCAGCATGGGGTTGCCCTCCTAAGAGCACATGGGTTTCTGAATGACCACAGCTCCAGTGGGTCTGCATCTTCATTCTGCTTGCCCATTCCTGCTGCTTCAACAAACTGAAAATAGGACCCCATCCTTGGAGAGTGATGGTGATGATGATAGTGGAAATGATGCTGGTGGTGATGGTGATGGAGATAATGATGATGAAGGTGGTGATGGAGATGGTGATGATGATGGCGATGGTGATGATGGTGATGGAGATGATGGTGATGGAGATGATGAGGATGGAGATGGTGATGATGATGGGGATGGAGATGGGGGTGGTGATGAGGATGGAGATGGGGTGGTGATGGTGGTGATGGTGATGATAGTGATGATGGTGATGGAGATGATGGTGGTGGAGATGATGGTGATGGAGATGGTGATGATGATGAGGATGGAGATGGGGGTGGGGATGGTGGTGGTGGGGATGGTGGTGATGGAAATGATGGAGGTGATAATGATGATGGTGGTGGAGATGATGGTGATAGAGATGGTGATGATGATGAGGATGGAGATGGGGTGGTGATGGTGGTGGTGGTGATGGTGATGATAGTGATGATGGTGATGGAGATGATGGAGATGATGGTGGTGGAGATGATGGTGATGGAGATGGTGATGATGATGAGGATGGAGATGGGGTGGGGATGGTGGTGGTGGGGATGGTGGTGATGGAAATGATGGAGGTGATAATAATGATGATGGTAATGGAAGTGATGGAGATGATAACTGCTCACACTTACTGAGTGAACATATCTTAACTCACAGATGAGGAAATCAAGGTACAGAGAGGGGAGGCTGGGAGTGCTCTTGCCCAATGGCTTGAGGGGGGTACCTTTCTCCCTGCTGTCATCAAGAGGCACCTGCTTTGCCCCAGACTCAGTTCTGGCTGGGTTCCTGGGCAGAGTGCATGAACCCATGTTATCCTCTGCTATCAGGGTCTCATCCTCCAGACTTGGTGGCACGAATGGCTTGGTCCCCTGCAAGGGACTCTGAAATATTTGTTGAATGAATGAAGAGCATTTAGGTGTGCAGGGGCCTCACCTTGTGTGGGCCTGGGTGTCTCTCCTCCCCTGGGAGCTGGGTGGGGGCAGTTTCCCAGCAGGAGGGGGCTGTCTAGGCGGTGGGTGCCATGCTCAGGTTCCCACTGGTCCTGCGGGGTGCGGGACCCTGCAGCGGCTCCGAGGCGCCCTCATGTGGTGAGCACTGGCACCTGCAGGAGGTGGGCACAGCCCGGTCTCCACAGGTGAGCCTGTATGGAGGGTCCGTGGGCCACTGTACGCAGACTCCAGCTGAACTTGGTGTGTGTGCTGTGTGGGGCAGCCCATCCTGACCCCACGCAGACAATGCCCGCTGCAGACCTGCTGGCCATTTGCTCATTCTGAGCCATGGCAGGACGCAGCCTGGGGCAGGGAGTGTCCCAGCCTGGTCTTGTTGGTCATCCATTTCTGCGGCTGCAGACTCAGCTCACAGCGCGACTTCCCGGGCTGTTCACAGGTCTTGGTCCCAGCTTGGGGCTCTCAGGAGGGTCCAGAGCAGGCACACACCAGGACAGCTGAGGTGCCCCCCCCCCCAAGTGTCTGGAGGCCCCTGGCATAAACCCATGCGGACGTGTGACCCTGGTGCCAGATGGGAGTGTCCCGTCGCTGGCCTCTGGAGCCAGAGTGGTGTCCCCCACGGCACAGTGATCCTGGGCTCAGGCCCTGCCAGGAGGCTGTGTGGTCCCTGCGGGGAGTCAGGGAAGGGAGGAGCTGCAGGGGGTCCCCAGGCGTCTGGGGCAGCCTGACCCTGACCGACCTGCTGACTGTGGCTGAGGACCTGGTGCCCGCGAGCAGAGCCTTGCTCTCCATCAGAGGGGCTGTGCCTTTCCGTCTTGGTCAATTTCCCACTCACAGCGCTGGGGAGTGGGCTCAGCTGCCCTTGGCTTCTGTCGGGCCCCACCCCCATCAGTGCCTGCAGATGCGACTTGTCAAGGGGCCTCTTCTGAATCCTTCTGGCTCCCATTCCCCAGCACGGCCCTTCCTGCTATGAGCCCCCTGAGTGGTGGGGTCCGGGGATCGGCCTGGCCAGCTGGGGTGGGCGCAGACCTGAGACGCAGGTGTGTGCCCAACTCTGCA